AATAATGCAGTGTGAGCCTCCGATTGGTGTGGTTTACCCCCCCCCCCTCCCCCTCCCTATTCCTTTTCTCCCTCCACCCTACACGAAGTGACACCCCAGACATGTACTTTAGTGGTGTGCGAAGAAAAAACATACACTGCTTTGGTTGAAGGTCATGAATGTGGAAATAATTATAGGTTCGTAAACTTTTGTGGTCGATGAAGCCATGATCATGTTTTCTTTGTATATTTGTCAAGCAGTTCTTGATACCGTAAACTAAATATTTATGCATATCATGATGTGAGGACGGGAAGCTTGTGGATATTGATAATCACTAAAAAGGGAATATGAAGAAAAAAGGAGAAAAGTTATATAACTTTGAGGAGGTATAGTTCGAATATACCCATATGGTAAAGGACACCTTACATAAACATCAGGAAGGCACTGCCATCATTACATCACGATGCGTTATATTTTGGCGCCACACTCAACACTGTGTAACCCCGAAAAAAGTTCACGTGATCTAAGTTCATGGTATGGTATGTAACCACAGACCGCTGCTTCGTATGCTGATAGCTAGCTCGTTGGTGGGACGTTTAGAAGAGAGATCTCCGTCTCTCCCAGACCAATTTGATTTAATTTGGGTAGTGGGAGGGGAGGAAATTACCCAAATCTAGTTATTAACAGTACATGATGGTGGATAAATTGATGAAGGGTTGCGATAATGTAGCACGCGTCAATGGATTAAGAGAAGGAGTGAAGGGAGGGAGTGAGGGGCGGGTAGAGGGTGGTGTAAGATGAAGGGATTAAGACATCAACTCAAAGACTGCAGTATAACCAGGGGGTGTTTCACAAAACTTTTCATTGGTTACAAATAATGACAGTTTGTGTTATAAGCTAGTGAAATCCTAGCTTCTGATTGGTTATCAGCAGATTTGTCACTGATTTGTGTCGCTTGTCATTAAAAAAGGCTTTGTGAAACACCCCCAGGATGATTGTAGAATGGACATGAGCAATATGAGAAGGGAACAAGTGGTTTAAAAAAGAGTTTCTGGACAGAGCTTAGAATTTAAAAAAAACTAAGAAGAGCAAAAGACGAAGGAGAATGGGGGCAATGAATAAAGATGCAAAATACAGAGAGGGTGAAAGAAAAAAAAGAACGATATCATACAGAGAGAGAGAGAGAGAGATAGAGAGAGCTTAGATGGGGAGTTGGGACCGGACGTTGCGTTGAAGCTTCATTTAAAATTATTACACCGTACAACCTGAATTTCAAGAGAACGTACAAACACAACTCTTGGACTATATGTCTTCAAACTTCATGGCATTTTGGAGGAGGCGAGAGCAACGCGTATAATACTTGTACACCTCACATACAACCAGACATGATGATAAAATATGTACTTCTAATTGAAAATATGGACAAAGGTCGACTGCACAGCATTTTGTCGGTCTAACGAACACAGGGTCTAGTCGGTCGTCGGTCTCTTAAAACTCCAGAATAATAAATTGTAAGACCGACACATTCTTGTGGACCTTTGGTCTTACTTGTCCCCTCCTGATACTAATTTGGACCCATATTAATAGCCCAGATTACAATTATCACTATATCATTCTATACTTTGTGTTCAAAGACGAATTATGAATATAATGAATTGTTGTCAAAGACGATAGTAATAATAATGAATGGAAGGAGGGAGGGAATGTGAACCCTTGGGACCAATCCAATGCACGTCACGTATAGGTGGGCCATGTGTCCTTTTAATGCCATCGGCATCACTTGGTTCGTGAAATTAATATGCTTGCTTGCTCCAAATATCAAGATAGTTTCTTTCATCTTCTCTTTCTCTCTCCCTCCCTCTCTCGCTCTGTGTGTTTGTCTGCTTGTCTGTCTCTCCCTGTCTGTTTGCCTCTATCGTTATTTCTATATATTTTGCTTGTATTTTGCTTTTTCACAATTAATACTTGTTAAACAGCGTCTTCACGTGTCTCTTTCTCATTCCAAACATTAATATCCATATATCAAGTCACATCTTTGCAAAGTAAGATAGGCTCCACCTGTTATTTTATGATTATTTTTTAAATATTTCCATCAGATAATATTGTGTGGTCTTTAATATAATGCATACTGAAGTTGCTTAAATAATGAAGTTCATTGTCTAATTCTACAAGTTTACTACTTTTTCTGATTCCATTGAAATAATTTTAAGACAGACATTCCAGACAACACAGAATATAGATTCAGAGCGATGCAATAGAGACGTGCTGTAAAAGCTGGCAGTCGTATCAAGGTATATTATTAGATTGGTACGTTATTAAAGAAGCAGCGATGCCATGGGCTATGTGCACTATATATCAGACTTATCAGATTAATTCTGCTACCTTATCACAATACATGCATCAATACCTTCCTTTATCCGTGCTCTACTTATCAACATATAGCTAGATTGTATTCCTTTTAAACACACGCTATTTTCATAATTATGATATCGGCAATTAATGGTCAGCATGTGGTTGCAACCAGCCTTTGCGCATTTTCATGTTGTATTACAACAGAAAATAAAGTAATAAACACAGCTCGAAAACGTGGAATATGGTTCATTAACATCATTAATTAACTGTCCTTCTTTTTGTTTTCTACTATTAAAGGGTTTAAAATGCATGGCTTGTCTTTCTTTCTGTATGTCTGATGGCAGTTTCCTTTCACTTTATTGGATCCTACAAGTGACCATACCCTATTGTCACAAACGGAGTATTCGGCAAGTTGGCTTACAATTATCTATTACTGTTACCATATATTTTTTATAATCTTTCACATCATCTTCAGTGAGAAACAAATGATTGGGATGAGGTATATCAAAAAGACAGAGGCATCTACTAACATGACGTGAAGTGGAAATAACAGCTAAAGTGAAAGAGCAAGAAGAATAATCAGAACTTTCTAAAAATACGACGTGATCTAAAACGAATAAATATTGATTTTTGTTTATGTTCTCTCCCTATATGCGCTTCGTTAATCAGAATCCGTTTGCAGCAAAAATGTAATGTCATATTCCCGGTCGTAACATAATTACGTATCATCCTCTTGGCATAGTGATGGGATAGTGATGGGATAGTGACAAAAACACCTTCATATCTGGAAATCGATATCATGTTTCCTGCTTGAGCAACCAAGATATCAAATTACAAAGACATTCCCAAGGAGACAATCGTTCATTACTTCATCCAAATGTTTGTTGACTCCGACATCCTTTCTTACTGCTTCTTTCCCTCCTACTTCATCTGTTTGCTGAGGGCAAGACAGTGATCTACTGCTGGACAATATTGGAGCAGAGCAATTCTTGAATTTAACTGGATATCTTAAAGCAACGCTGGCCTACTTGGAAATCATAGATTAGTTGAGGTCATGTGAGGGTACATGGGAAAACCATATAGATACAGATGGAACTTTTGTGCAATCGTGCTTGTGCATGTTTACTCTTGAGAAATTATGTTCCTTTCATTTTGTAGTGAATCACGTCTTTCATTTATTTCCCATTTTTCAGATGTTTCTTGTCCACATTCTCTCTCTCTCTCTCTCTCTCTCTCTCTCCCTCTCTCCCTCTCTCCCTCCCGCTCTCTCTCTCTCTCTCTCTCTCTCTCTCTCTGTTTTCTGTCTCCCTCTGTCTCTGTCTGTCTCCCTCTGTCTCTCTCCATCTGTCTTTGTCTTCTGTGTCTCCCCTCTCTCTCCATCTGTTTCTTTCTCTTTCTCCGCTCTCTGTCTGTGTGTGTGTGTGCGTCCGTGTGAGTAGTGAGCACTATTTTTTTTTTTTGGCCCTCAAAAATTTGAATAATCGCACCCCCCCCCCTTAAGCGCTAGGGGGCATCTCCCAACAATGTTAAATTAACGTGTTTTTACACGGTGTTTTTTCCAGGGGGGGGGGGGGGAGCCGGCCCCCCCCCCTCCCCATGGATCCGCCACTGTCAAAAGTTAACAAGCGTATTTTGAGAGAAATAATTCCTTCATTTTCTGTGTCTCTCTCTGTCTCCCTCTGTGTGTTTGTCTCTCTCTCTTTCACTCCCTTTACTTCCCAGAAATTGTGGTAGAAAAGTCCGAGTCCTCAAAATAGTGCCAATTTTCAGGCATGTATTTCAACATTTGGAATTTAATAGTTTTTTTGTTTAATTAAATTAATTTACAATTTTATCATATTACCATGCAGTAGCAATGTACAATATATGACGGTTGGTGGCGTCTTAACACATTTATCCTCTGTCAAGATTGGTGTCGAGAATGTTGGAATTATTCTTCTTGCTCTGTCGCTTTACCTGCTCGTTCCACTTCACGTCATTTTAGTAAATGCCTACTGTATTTTGTTTCACGTGCAAGCCCCTATTTATGTCACTTCATAAGTCCTTCTTTTCGATTTACCTCCTTCAATTTTGTTCACAAAATATAATGTAGAAGATTATAGCAAAAATGATACAAACGATGCTAGCCATCTTGCTGAATACTCCGTTTGTGTGAATAGGGTATGAAAACTTACAGGATCAAATAATGATAATAATATTTCATTCATAGATCCGGGGGGGGGTATTACATATTAAGGCCTGTATGTGCCGCTCTAATTGATCACTTTTTCACACAAAAATCCCTAAACATTGGTCCCATTTTTAACAAAAATATCCCTATACGTGGGTCTGTTTTTTTCAAAAGTTCCAAAAAACGACCCTTTAAAATGGTTAGAAGTTTCGAGGCTGGAGCGGCACATCTCCGTCCAAACCAAATCTGAGTACCCCAGGCATATCCATGTAGAGTATATCTCTGATATATTGAAGTTACATCAAAGGCAATTTAGATTCCTATACAAGCTGAGGAGTAACACAACAATGCGAGTAGATGTCTAATCACTAACAGCCTAATGTAACCTTCCAGTTCTTTGCGTTAATACTCTATCTTCGGTAATAATATATGGAGATGTGTATCTTTAAAAGCCAAATACAATGTTTAAAGGTCGACAACAGGTCGAGCGATAATGCGTCAGTTAGCCCCGTGATCTCTGTCCTTGGCGGATTGACTGTTTTGCTCAAACAATTATTTCGTCAAGACAGACGAGCACATAATTTCTTCGTCTTGACATTATTGGCAGGGAGACCAGGATCTATTAAGAAACGGTAGTTTAGAAAGTAGGTCACAAGAAAGAGGCAAATAGACAGACTATACCAAGATGAGAGGGGAAAGGAGCCGTTTTTCGTTGGCCGGAATTATCCCATTCATAGTGATTGGATCCATACTGTTTGGGGTTGGGGTTTTGATCGGACATTTTGGAATCCCAGAAGATTCATGTCCATCATTCTCATCAATCGAAGATGATGACATCAGTCAGATGATGGTTGATGAATGTAAAGCAGAAAACATCGAGGAAAATCTAAGGTAAGAACAAAGTTTGTATTTGTAATAATCGCTAAATTCACATGGGCTGTATGTATTAATTGACGTTTGATTATTTATGTGTCTAAATTCAAATACAGAAATGAGTGTTATTCTTTCGTTCCATTTATTCTCGAAAGTATACTTCCATGTTAAATTATGAATGTATGATATATATCTACACAACTACTAGCTGTAATATCAAATATGTACTCATGTACATGTATATACCCGCACATGTATAATGTAGGCCTATTTACAATGAAACTGTAAATACGGACGTAATTTAAATGCAGGGGTAAATGGAGGGGGGGGGGGGGTAAATAGTATAAAAACTGATGAGAGAGGGTTTTTTCAAGAGTATTCAACTCTCAAGTGCTTATGTATATATATATATATAAACAGTATGAAACAAAATATAGCAACATTGATGAAGTATCTTCGTTAATGTGTTTACTACATAACATTACAGAATAACCACATAAGGTTCCTGTTTAAATTATCATGATAACATTTAGATGGTGTCACATGGTCTGTTTATAAACAAATTTTGACTTGGAAAAAAAAATATATCGTTGTTGCTGTGTACAAGATTTGTTTTCTTTCTTCCATTTTCGAGATATCAACATAACGCGACAAGATAATGATAGCGTGACAATATTAGATGACATGACAAAACAAATGAATGGAAGTTTATACCTTTCGCGAAATGAATCAATTATCTAGAATGGCAAATACCAATGATGCGAAAACTAAATTCATACAATTTGAATGCATGGTATCCTGATCATATTTGATTAATAGACAATTAAGCAGCCGACCTCATTTGGCGGGAACACCAGCTGAGAAGGAGAATGCTGAGATGCTTGTTAATCTCTGGACTGAGTACGGATTCGATTCGGTTCGGTTACTACCCTACGATGTTCTCTTGGCTTATCCTGATCCTGATAATCCGAATAAGGTATAACATCCAACCGATTTGATTTGTGATTTTCTATTTAATATCTACAATATACACATCATCCTGATATCCAACGCAATTCACCGATGGTAAGAAAGTTGCATTATCATTTAAATGTTATACTCGTAAATAGGACTAGCCTACATGTTATGATGAAATTTTTCATAATCACATGGGGAAAAAACCGCAAGAGGGTTGAGAGAAGAAGAGACTTTAGTTAGTGAAGAGAAAGAGAGAGAGAGAGGGGAAATAATGATGATGATAATGATGACAGATTGAGAAAAAAAGAGACATTATGAATGGATGATATACAGATTAATTACAGATTATTTGCAAGAACCCTTGCAAGTACCTTGAGCCCATATTTATAAAAGCTGTCTTGGCCTAGGGGTGAACTATAAGTACGTAATAATGAAGAAAGCTAACGAGAGCATTATTTGGCTTTCAAACGCATAAAGACTTTACAGGAGTGATATAAAATCTATAATGTTCATAAGATTCAAAATTATAATGGTGATTAATGCTTTTCTATTGTCAACGAAATAGAATGTACATGTCATGAAATGTGTTCCCCTTTTCCATTATAGCCTTCTTCCGTGAAGATTAGCAAAACATTACGCTGCATGTACTGATCTAGAATGACATTCTTAATATTCCTTAAAAAGAACAGAGAAGTTAGATGATAAAACCTCTTACACCAAAGTTCTTCTTATAATCCACTGAAAAGATCCACGCCCTCATAACATGTTTCTTATATGTTATTTAACGTGCTCGCTGAATACATGTTACAATAACATAACAATAGGCCGATATCATGCACTTTTATGCACATCGTATTATTAACAATGTTTATACACACTGTAATAAAATTGATTTATTGAGACAAATAATGGTCCTGGCCTCCATAAAATATGTTTTATCATGCATGTTGAACGAATAGCAGTGAGTACCATAACAGTTTGTTTTATAGGGACCGATATGCACCCACATAGTATACACAGGCGTTGTCCTTTGAACTTTTATCGTATAGTAGGTCAATATTGTTATGTAATATTGAATTGAATTGATATTGAATTGATATCTTTATTTATACACGGTTAAAAAAGCCCAAACAGTTACAAGACTGATTTCCATTGGGGCCGTGTGACACAATGTAAATACATCGAATTAACATAAAAATGATAATGGTACATCAATGACATATTTAAAACAAACAATAAATAATCAAGATAAATATCTAACAATATAACGATAGAATAGTACTGCCGAAAAAGTATATGTATATTGATAACAATAATCATGAGTGTCCAAACAAGAGTACTGTAAATATAATCCAAATTAAAATAGGTAATACAAATTGTTACTAGTGCATATAAACTGCCAGAAATTATGTATTAAAAAAAAAATATTAAAAAAAAAAATCAAATGTGGCTGGTCAAGATACTGCATTATTACAATTAAGGATATGATTACAATTTTATTTTATTTAAGTCAGTAAAAAAACACTTAAAAGTGAATTAGAATAACAAGCACAGCAGATAAAAGATATATTATTTAATCATTTTCGGATAAAATGAAATGAAATTATATTACATCATATGGAAATTTAAAAATACCTGAGCAGATGCATACACAACAATATAAATTCAAACAACACAAAAATGGACACATCAAAAATAAAAAGGAAACATTCGAAAGTTCATAGACATATTTGAGCATAGTATATTGTATATTATTATAAATTTGTTATTCTTTTGAGACCTGTTGTGAAACTGTACTTGGTTTGTGCAGCTTGCACTTCGTGTGGTAGTGAGTTCCATAGGCAAGCGCCTCTGTACACAAATGTGCGTTTGGTACTATCCGTTTTAGGCTGGATTGTCATAATACATAGATTGCCACTTCTCGTATTATGTGGTCTTTCTCTGAACGAAAATTTATCAATTAAATAAGAAGGGGCTTTTTTATTAAGTATATTGAAAGTCATTAAAGCGATATTTTCCTTCCTTTTCTGTTCAAGCGTATCCCATCCAAGTTTATTAAGGTTGTAGCTTCCCGATGAATCCCAAGGGGTATCATTTATTATTCGAGCTGCCCGATTTTGAAGTTTCTGGAGATCATTTTGAAGGCACTTTCCACAGTTTCCCCATATTACATCACAATAGGAGAGGTGGGATAAAATCAATGCATTATATACTAATTTCAATGTATCTTTACCAACAATATTACGTATTGATTTTAACATATACAATCCACTACTACATTTCTTTTGTACAGATTTAATATGGTCTGTCCATGATAAAGTTTCATCCACAATCACTCCCAAATGTTTGCATGTAGTAACTCTTTTCAGAGGGGTTCCATCTATGTTAATATTCAAATTTGTATTACGTGCTAGTTTAAGACGATTTTTTGTTCCTAGTACAATGTATTCTGTTTTATTTATATTTAAACTTAACTTATTGACATCAAGCCATTTTTTCACATTTACTAAATCTTCGTTTACTTTGTTTTCCAGTTCAGAAAAGTCATTACTAGCATAATATAAAATAGTGTCATCAGCATACATATTTATTTTACAATTTTTTAGTACTAAGGGTAAATCGTTGATGTGCATAATAAAGAGAAGAGGTCCAAGGATGGACCCTTGTGGAATTCCAGATTGAATAGGTAAAAACTCAGATGATATACCATGGACTGTGGTTTTTTGGTATCTCTCATACAGATAACTTGTGAACCAATTAAGTGTGTGTTGTCCAATACCATAATATTTTAATTTTTCAATTAGTAAATCAAAATCAACTGTGTCGAAGGCTTTCTTCAAATCTATCATTACAGAGCACACCACTTTGCCTTGTTCGAAGCTTTTCAGCCATTCATCTGTCGAATTCAGCAATGCAGTGGCTGTTGAGTGCAGTGGCCGGAAGCCAGATTGATATACATTGATTAGATTATTACTATTCAGATAGTCATATAACTGATCGAACACTACCCGTTCTAGTACTTTCGAAAATATTGGCAGTATCGATATCGGTCTAAAATTTGTGGGTTCATTTGTTCCACCTTTATGTAAAGCACTTACTCTTGCCTTTTTCCATTCGATAGGGACACATCCAGTAGTAATAGAGGTATTTATAACATGTGTTAAAGGTTCATTAATACTGGAAATTGCCAGCTTAATCAGTTTCATCGGTATCATATCACATCCCATTGCTTTGTCATTTGATAGTTTCAACAATTGTTTTTTCACTTCATCTATGGTTACTGGGATAATTTGAAAGATATTTGTCAGCGTATGCGGTGAGAATAGCATAACATTATTGATTGCATTTATGTGCCTTGTACATTGAATGACACTAGCAAGTGAAGGACCTATTTTGACAAAGAATTCATTCAATTTTTGTGAAATTGTTTTCGTGTCATGAATTTCTTCTCCATCAATTTTTAAATATTGAATTTTCACATTTTTATTCTTGCGTGGTATCAGCATGTTAAGATTTTTCCATGTTTTCTTAACATTACCCTGCGAGTCTTTAATATTCTTTTGAAATGTTTTTCTTTTGTTCGTTCTTATTCTATAAATAACGTGATTCTTGCTTTTTCGGAATGCTTTCCAATTCTCACGAGTATTATTTCGCGTTGCAGTTTCTTTCAACTTATCCCTTTCATGAATAAGATTAATTATTTCAGCATTTATCCAGGGTTTCCGATCTTTTTTTACACGACCTTTTCTGACCGGAGCATGTAAATTACATAATGTTGAAAACTTTGTCTGGAATTCATGTAGCGAAGAATCGGCATCAGTACATGTAAAAACACTTTGCCAATCAATGTTTCCTAGGTCGTCACAAAAGTCATTTACATTGAAATTCTTATAAGTTCTATAGGTCCTATAAACATGGTTAGGAAATGATTTGTGAACTCGACCCCATACAATATATACAAGTGAGTGGTCACTTATTCCTAAATGAATGACGCCACTTTCAACCACTTTCTCACAGTTAGAAGTATAAATTAAATCAATAAGGGTAGATGAAAGCGGTGTTACCCTCGTGGGTTCTTTGATCATTTGGCTTAGAGAATAATTTTGGCAAATTTCAAGTAATCGTTTTGTGTAGCACGATAAAGGGTCTGCAAGTATATTGCAATTGAAATCTCCTAAAAATATGATATCCTTTCGTTCCTCGTCAATTTTTAACAAAATATTCTCAATGGCTTTAAATAGTTCGATACTTGTTCCAGGGGGTCTATACCAAGCTAAAACGATCATAGGTGAAGACATAGGTTGCTTCACTTCAACAGCAACAAGTTCGATATCATTTACCAGAAGATCTGATCTTAGTTTGTGGCTAAGTTTATTTTCATTAACGTATATTGCAACCCCTCCGCCATTCTTATTACGGTCTTTCCTATAAATACAGTAATCATGTATACCTATTTGCACGTCCTTTATTTCACTGCTTAATCTTGTTTCATTTAATGCAATAAGATCAAATTTAAAATCATTAACCATCAATTGAAGATTGTCAATATTAGATAACAGAGTTCTAATGTTCAATTGAGCTATTCTTATTCCATGCTTCTTTTTTATTCTCAGACAATTATCTTTAATATTTTTAGGCAACAATTTGGTTTTTTCCGTTCCCGGATTACATGTACAAGTATCTAAATCAGAGTCATATACATTGCCAATATTAATGTCTATTTCGTTTTTGTCAGCAAAATCGGATTCACTGGCATCAATTTCATCGAAGTCACCTCCATCGTCAAAGTCTAATTCTATTTCTTCACTGAAGTTTGCCTCGTTGTCATCGAAGCCAGTTTCAATATTACCATCAAAATCGCTGATATCGTCGTCATTAGTGTCTTCTTCATTGTTGTCATCACTACGAATAAAAGAAAATTCAGTCATTTGCTTCAAATCTAGGATATTATGGACTACATAGTCGTTTAACTGAAGAGTGTTATTATCGGCGCACACTTCTTGGCCATTATGTTAAATTTGGTTTATTTCTGAACAGTATTTAGCTTTATGGCCGTAGTTATTAAGTTAATAAAATGATTGTATTAAGTTGATACAAGGTCTCTGTGACCTGAGTAACGTTAGTATAGGGAGGCGTTTTTCTCTTTGATTCAATTATTCTGAGCAAATGTGTGGTGTGATATAAATCATAAAAAATATTATTGTATTGTATTTGTAATGATACGTAACGGAAATAACGTGCAAATCATATATCTTGATTTGTGTACATAAATGAATTAATTCTCAATTTTTCATTATATTGATCTTTGCACAGATATTATATGCAATCATGCTATTGCTGGTGTCAATAATTTGTTCTTGCTTAGTGTGATGAGTCTGATTTAAGTTGAATGATGTTACGTAGGCCTTACAAGTATAAAATAAAATAAAAGGGTAATAAATGAGCAAAAGAGGAGTAAGTATCAAACAATAATGATTTCCAGGATTCTCGGACCCCCTACTCACCGTCCCAGTTACAGAATACCCCTGGAGTACCACTCTCAAGGATATTACCCGGGACATTCTTCCCAGACAACTGCCCCTATCCGGGGCTCCATTTATATAACAGGTGGAAAAATGTAGAAGTTTTGTAGGGTAGCTTTATGAAGAGATACTTGTCTGGGGTAAATTTGTTTTGGGGTAGTTATTGCCTGGAGGTAGCTATATGTATAGCTAGAGCGGAGGTAATTAGTTTACGGATTTGTATTCCTGGGTTAGTTATGCAGACATATCTTTGGTCTGATTACCATTTAGTTGGCACTCCTTTAAAGGTACTATGTCCCATTTGCAGGCCAAAAAAAATGAAAAAGTTAAATTCCAACTGCATTTGAAAGATAATACTAATTTAGAACTTCTCTAAAAAAGGTGGGGCTTGAAAAAAAGGTGGGAAAATAACGACTATTAGTTATCAAATCGACTTTAGGGCTATAGAGCCCAAAAGTAATAGTCTTGATTTTCAGACAATTGTACCGAATGGTCATACGTTTTATGCTGCTCAAAGATTCAATCAGTTTAATCTTGGCCATCACAAGAAATGGTTTATTGATGTAGACAAATGCTCATGTACCCTTTACAACTCTTTTCATGTATGTTATTACCAAAGAAGAAAAAAAGCCAGTCAGTCACTCAATAGTGTCTGACAGTGAAGTCCAGCAAGTAAACGGGTTTCCTTGCATAATTTGAATAAGAGGACACTGAGGACATGTCATATTCATAATTCCTGCAAAGTTATACAGAATTTGAGGTTGGCTGCAAAAGGGACCTTTAACCAATATTAATGTAATCGTAGAAAAGCACTTATATTTAATACAACAATATGTTATGTTGACCATGTAAATGATAGGTGATGATAACAGAGAATGGAGAGGTTAACTTCACGACCGCCTTAAAGGAAGAGATCCTACGACCTGAAGACGATCATCCAGACGTCGTTCCACCCTTTAATGCCTACTCAGCTCAAGGAGAACCAGAGGTAAGAGATTTTATTTATTAGAACTGGGGCCCGTTCAACAAAGCCCTTTTTCAATGACAAATGACAAAAATCAGTGACAAATCTGCTGATAACCAATCAGAAGCAAAGATGTTAGTAGCTTATAACAAAAACTGTCATTTGTCACTGATGACAAGTTTTTTGAAGCCCCCCCCCCCCCCTGGTGCCTTGTGAATGATAAGTGATGATAAAAGAGAAGGGATGGATCAATTCCATAATAACTCTATGCTATGGTCACAACTTACAATGCGTGTCCGACGGAGCTGCGATCGGCTCGTAGGTCAACTCCTGCGATTCGTACGAACTTCTTACGATCATTCGTGGGCGTAGTTTTGTTGATCATTATGTATGATTGAGAAATCTTTTACAAGAATGAAAGATCAATTAACCTAAAATGATGAGCTCATGTAAGCTCACGACCAAATGTAATAGGCACAATGCTGTCCTCACTGATTTAATATTGACAAAAATTACAAGTATCTGTCCTATTCTATTATGTTTCTAGGGTCCTCTAGTGTATGTTAACTACGCCCGTGCAGAGGACTTTGAATGGCTGGCCAAGAACAAACCCGAAATCAACATCACTGGTTGTATCGCGATCGCAAGATACGGGAAAGTATTCCGAGGAAATAAGGTGACTTATACGACTTATCCTTTACTTTATTATGTTCTTTCCCTAAAATTGATCACGTCCATTTTTGTTTCAATTCCCTGTGTCTCAGTCTAGTGTACGTGTATTGTGTTTTTATAAGTTTTTATAAGTCAGAAGTTTCATTCAGTAAACCTATAAACGAAACAAGCCTATAAAGTAGGTTTACTTTTCATTACCGTATTTAAAGACTTAAAGAACATTCTTTCGTGTCCTTAATTACTATAATTCAGGATTATTCACTTCCACATTACTTGAAGAATGCTAATATTTTGTAAAATGCAGTATGCTTTCCAAATTTGGCATGAAATAATATTCGAAGCAACCAATTAATCAACAATCATATTTTATTCAAACTACCTCAGACCACATTTAAAACAAACAAACAACAGAAGCAATAAATCAGCCAATATAATAATCACCAAAGATTGTTTACATAGTATTCCATTTTCTCTTGTCCCGCCTTGCCCCAGGTTTGTGGCGCAAGATGAACGCAGATATGTTTCGTGAAATTTGCCCCATTCCTTGATAGAACTACTTTTTTTCTATTCTTATATCTGAACCGACAAATAGTGAAGACAAAAAAACTACATACATTCAACGATCACTTTATAATCATATATTCAGGTTCTTTCCGCGCAGGCAGAGGGTGCTATCGGAATCATTCTTTATTCGGATCCTGCTGATTATGCCGTTGATGGTGATGTATCGGTCTATCCGGACTCATGGTGGTTACCCGATACCGGAGCTCAAAGAGGCAATACGTTCGTCAGTGATGCCAAGGGAGATCCCGTAACACCCGGTTACCCGGCTAAACGTAAGTGATCATTTTACATTTATAGATTGAACTACATAAAACAAGATCAAGAGAGAGAGAGAGAGAGAGAGAGAGAAAAGGAGAGAGAGAGAGAGAGAGAGAGAGAAAAGGAGAGAGAGAGAGAGAGAGAGAGAGAGAGATATATGCATTAAACTATGGCATTAAAGACATTAGAACGAGGTTAGAAAATCATTCTACACGATTGTACATGTTTCTTTTTATCCCAGCATACATGTACCGGTTAGACGACGCGGACACAGCCCTTCCAAAAATCCCGGTTCATCCGATCGGTTATGGGGATGCGCAACATCTTCTCAGGTAGGTAGTCGCTGTATGTTACCTTTGCATATACAATATTTTGATCGACTAAATGAGCTCTTGTATTCAATAATAATTATAACAATAATGGGTTCTAGTATATATCAGAAATATCACCTCATTTTTCGGTTTATCAATTAATTCATATACAATTTTTAAAGGTCACCATGATAGCAAAAAAAAAACCCAAATAATCTGTTATCGTATTCCTTATAAATGGAGGTGTCGTGGACTAGTGATACATCGACTGAATGTGCGTCACATGGTTCGCAGTTCGAGTCCCGCCGCGGCACTAAATGTCAATTAGCAAAACATTATTCTACATTTACCACACTCGACAAACATGGACTATCTGAATATTCCGGTATATTGCTACGCGTTGGTCAAACTATAATATTCTGTATAGTTTATTTCATCTTTTTTTCTATCGGAATTGTGACGTATTATCAAACTTGCATTGTTATATTACTACCATTAATCGTAATTGACGATCCTTCCATTATCTAATTGCATTGATTTTTTAGCGAGTTATCAGGGGATGAAGTTACTTCTGATTGGGCGGGGAGTCTGGCTGTTACCTACCGATATGGACCGGGATTCATCAACCCAGAAAGGTAACGATGGAGTGCTAAGTGGCTACGAAATTAGAGGTTTTATAGTGAAATATATATATATATATATATTAATGGTATCGTATTCAGCTGAAATTGAGATGGACTATAAAAATATCAGATCGGCAAATTTGGTTTCCAGAAACGTGATAACATTCATGGCTGTGATCAGAGACGATCTACGCCTGCAGTTTTGGTTTAAAGAGAAAAAAAAATAATTGCATGATTTAATCTTAAATTGAGCAAACAGATTCAGCCAAAGTTATTAAGCGAAATCTGAGCACTGAATGTCAAAAGTGTTGAAAGATTTCACCTTTTTAATACCTTTAAATGATTTTCAGAAAGGTCAAGATGAGCATTCACACATCACGTGAGATTAGAACCACATATGACGTCATCGGCATCATCAATGGAGCCATTGAACCAGGTCAGTGAAAGGCCAACATACTTATTTCTTTATTGTTCATAATTTTGGAAGTCATTAGAAAGGAGTTACGTCATGCATGATCTGTGCAGCTTAGAGATAATTAATTTCTTGTTATATATATATCGCCATTGCTCCAAACTCAAGCTCTTTCTGTTCTAGACACATAAATATACTTAAGAATCCTAATTCCTGTCTACACTGTTGCATTGTAATCAATTTTCATTTATTTTTGTCTGACATGCAATCCTATTTTTTGCAGTATCATTCTTTTTTTTCGAATAATTGTGTTTGTGTATTAAAATATTTATGTATTTTCGTATTTATCTATCTATTCATTTATTCTTTTGTTACTTTATTTCCTGTTTTATCAAGGGTAGCGTGACCAGTAATTATGAAACTGTTATCCATTCTAAAATAAATTGTACTGCACAATGATTTATGTTAGATAATTTTGTGTCATGTTCTAACTTGGCTCGAAAGAATTCATGACTATAAGGTAGAAGGATATTCAGTCCAAAACACAATATTGTTTCTTTAAAACAGAACTAATAAGTTTAAAATGTGTGTATTTTATTAAAATGTGACGAATAACTTTTGTGATTATTTTCTTCAAGATCGGTATGTGTTGCTAGGCAACCATCGTGATGCCTGGGTTTATGGTGCTGTAGATCCGTCTAGTGGTACAGCAGTTCTTATGGAGGGTGCAAGGGTATACTCACAGATGATCAAAACAGGTAGGTAACTATGTAAGCATCAGAAACACAATAATGTTTGTATCTTAATTTCCTGTTTAAAACATATTTTTAATATCCATAATATGCTTTTTCTTTGCATTAGACTATATAGGCGAAAATATTCGGCAAATGATTTTATTCTCAACTCTTTCAGGTGGTTGGCTAAAAGTCTACAATACCATTTTTGTAAATTGCATTGGAAGCTATTCTTTCGTTTCAATAGGATTCTAGAGCGGAAGATGATAGGGAAAACGTAATAGTTTGGTAGTATTGGCAAATTTTGACAATAATAGTGTGTAAGTATATTGACAAAGTATATACAAACAAAAACGACACAAAATATTTGAAAGCATTTTAGACATACCAGTATATAGAATGATTATACGAAAAGAGTTATGTCTGAGGCCTATCTACATCTATGTTACGTAAGAGGAACAATGAACGTGGCCAAAGGTAGAGTTCATTGTCATGGTTATAATCTCGAACAATAGAAGGGCGGATTATGAGGTAGGTGCTTGCATGACCTTCTGCTCGTAATCGACAAGTCACCGCATTAAAATTAAATTGCAAATAGTGTTCAACAACACGATGGTGGAAGAAACTTTCTAATATTCGAAGATATATGACCCTGAGACCATATTGTTTCATTATTTTTTATTCAATCAATCAACGGCAAAGAATTGATTTATCATCGCTCTTCAATTTATTATTTCACCTTTGTATGTACTTTCATTCGTATGCATCACGAAAGAACACTGAATTGGATTCTTCAATGTTCGTTTTGATTAATTTCCTCCCCTTTCCTTCTTCCTATTTAACACCGATACAATTTTCAATTTTTCTTAATCAAGTCAAAATATTATTTTCATATTTTCTTTATGCAAGACAGGGAGAGAGAGAGAGAGAATATGTTAAGTGAGAATTATCGAGTACAACCATGAATTGCATACTTTTCAATATTATTCAATTCGCTGAAAATATTCAGAATATGAATATGATAAATCCACATAATACACCAACGCTCCAACCATAGCCCATATGCCAATGCACCATATTTATCAAATATGAAAAGATTTTTAAATGAAATGTGAAGAAAAATAAAATGTACAATGCAATAACAGGCATCAGTTGAAATCATGAATTCTCTGTGACTGGCTTAGCACTAGTTTCTGAGGGACCAGTCACTGAAGAGGAGATAAAGGGAAGGAAAATTAAGGAAGAAGTAAAGAAAAGAAGGGGGATATCAGTTGCAATTTTCCCGCCAACAAGAGCTAAAAGGGACCAAAAAAAGAGTAAGAAGAAAAAAAGGGTGAAAAGAATTTCGATGCGGTGTTCGAGTAGAATTCTGTGAGAGGATGATATACTTTCTGACTCGTAGCTTGAAGTGTCTATTATACAAATATTGACTGCTCATGAGGATGATGGTGGGAACTATCACTCCCAAGGTGGTGTTCACACCGGTCCTTCTATCACCCCCGAGGCGAAGCCGAGGGGGTGATAGAAGGGCCGGTGTGAACATCACCGAGGGAGTGGTAGTTCCCACCATCATCCGATTACAGAGCAGTCCATATCTGTTTTATATACCTCATCCTTTTTATTGATTCATGATTAGGTCTAGCTGTAGGTCTAGATCTAGCACTAAAAAACAGGAAACTAGATCAAGAGGAATTACTCACTAGAATAAGAAAAATCCAACATCAAGTCCAAGGCAAGAGTATACAAATATTGACTGCTCATGAGGATGATGGTGGGAAATATCACTCCCAAGATGGTGTTTACACCGGCCCTATATCACCCCCGAGGCGAAGCCGAGGGGGTGATAGAAGGGCCGGTGTGAACACCACCGAGGGAGTGGTAGTTCCCACCATCATCCGATTACAGAGCAGTCCATATTTGTTTTATATACCTCATCCTTTTTATTGATTCATGATTAGGTCTAGCTGTAGGTCTAGATCTAGCTCTAAAAACAGGAAAGGAGATCAAGAGGAATTTACTAACCCAAATAAGAAAAATCCAACATCAAGTCCAAGGCAAGAGTATTGAATTCCTACGCGCTGCGCGTAACCGCGCGATTGCGGTAGCCTAGCAACTCAAAAAATTTGTGTGCGCAACTGAGTCGCGGGAGGGGTTAGGGGTCCTATCCCAGGGTTTGATAGTAGCTATCAACCCCTCTGACGTAATGATACTTGATAGATCGAAATGCTCCTTGACATGTGATATAGTCTTGACCAATCAGTGAATGACAATCTATGTATGAGGTATATAATATTAAATTCCTACGCGCTGCGCGTAACCGCGCGATTGCGGTAGCCTAGCAACCCACAAAATTTGTGCGCGCAACTAAGTCGCGGGAGGGGTTAGGGGTCCTATCCCAGGGTTTGATAGTAGCTATCAAACCCTCTGACGTAATGATACTTGATAGATCGAAATGCTCCTTGACATGTGATACAGTTTTGACCAATCAGTGAACGACAATCTATGTATGAGGTATATAAATCCAGATATCTGTTGATAGTATTATAGAATATAGAGGCCTAAAATGACCTTCTGCTCGTAACCGACAAGTCACCGCATTAAAATTAAATTGCAAATAGTGTTCAACAACACGATGGTGGATGAAACTTTCTAATATTCGAAGATATATGACCCTGAGACCATATTGTTTCATTATTTTTTATTCAATCAATCAACGTCAAAGAATTGATTTATCATCGCTCTTCAATTTATTATTTCACCTTTGTATGTACTTTCATTCTTATGCATCACGAAAGAACACTGAATTGGATTCTTCAATGTTTGTTTTGATTAATTTCCTCCCCTTTCCTTCTTCCTATTTAACACTGATACAATTTTCAATTTTTCTTAATCAAGGCAAAATATTATTTTCATATTTTCGTCTTCTTTCTCTACTGAGTTCCAGGTTAACATCTAAATGAAATAGGATTTGGAGTTGTTTGATTATCAATGGTCACAGATAATTTTGGTCTAAATAAAGTTGACACGCACCGCGTACCGATGGTGCAACTGATCGAACGGATGGCACTGAGCTATCAGATTCAGAGTCCACGTCTACTAAAGATTTTAACAAGAATTAATCCACTTGGATTATCAAAACAATCATGCTTCATAGATTATTTTAAGGTGTAACGTTAAATCTAATTAAAAGTGAATTATACTCATGATGACGATCAAATGTGAAATAAAACCCGATTAGAAAGTCTGATCTTGATAAAGATGAGCACCGAAATTCCCCGGGGTGGGCCTGCCGAAAGCCCGGGGCCCTATAACTGGAGTATACTAGGGTGAAATGACGGCAAACCGCAGTCAAACTACTTCATGACGATGAAAATCAAAGTGCAATTTCAAGAGCAATATTTTCCTAGTCTTTTCCCAAAAAATATGTTGAGAACTGTCTCAAAATGTAACGAAATTACCGTAGATCACGAAGACTATTGCAGCTTTTTCAAAATTGATGACTAAATTCACTTAATCTACTCATATTTCAATCAATTACTCACCCATTCTCAATTTACTAAATCTTCTCAGTTTGTGCGAGTAGCCTGCGTCGTGCATAAATCTTCATAATTAAAGTGACGCATTGGCCCGAATTCACAAAGCAAGGTTTGAGCTCAAACCTCCTTTTGTTTCGCCAAACCTCCTTTTGTTCTTTACAAACCAGGTTTGTAAAAAACGCGTAAAACGCGTCATATGACGTACGAAAACCAAGGTTTGTCGACAAACCTCCTTTGTGAATTTGGGCCAATGAGTTCAGATATATTATCACATTTCTTAAACGTTACTATCGATAAAATACATATTCATGAGGCTCATATCCAATCAAAAAGCCGCCTCAGGTGCTTATTTTGTCTTCAAATGATCCAAAAGAGGCGGAGCCTAATCCCATTCGTGTCATGGTTTCCGCGCGTGCTGCTTTCCGTCTAGTAAACGCATAGAGATATAATTATTATATACCTCACTTAAGAAATCCAGCCATCTGATTGGTCGAAATTGCATTCATAAACTTCAACTATTTCTGTAAAATTCCCAGTAACCATTACCAATCGGGTAATAGCACAATTCTAACCTTCCCTTGAGCGTATAAAAACAACTATTTCTCTCAAAGCAGTCATTAATACTATACTATTTCTATGAGTAAACGTCTTTGTTTCACACACACACACGCGCGTGCGCAAACACATATTTACACGCGCGCACACTCATAATTCATTTGCACCTCAATTATGAATTAAAATACGTATGCTGCCTCTGCTCATGTGATACAAGGGTTTCCATCAGAATTCGATGATTGAGTTGACGATTGTGAACATATATTAATTCAGTCAGTGTTGTATCTTCATTACCGTGATCAGGTTGGAGACCGCGTCGTACGGTCATGTTCTGTTCCTGGGGCGCCGAGGAATATGGTCTTCTGGGATCAACAGAATTCGTAGAGGTAATTATATACAAAGACAGAGACAAAACGAATAAATGGAGAAAGAGGTTTAAGACGTTCATGACAAAATTACGTTTATCAATGACATTCCAGAATAGATGCAACACAGAAAACCCGTTATTAAGACACGAGATAACCACAGCGTCTGTTTACAGAATCAACTCCTTTTTAACAGATTTCATACATTTTTCCTTTTGTAATCATGCCTGAAGAAATTTCAGGGAGTAACACAATTCCTCAAAACGATTACCCCACCCCCTCGAACAAATTCAGAACAGTCTCGGCTACGCTGTGCTGAAAGCAATATGAAATTTATTAAAAATATCATGTATATCCATATATTTGTCGTAGTTTTAGTATCTTATACTTTGATTAAGATTGACCATTAAAAACACTTAATCAAACGGATGACTGCGATTATAATTTTAGCGGTGCGTTTTTTGAATTTGTTAACCTTGTAGGAATACCAAAAGGTGTTAGGAGAAAGGGCTGTGGCATACATTAATACAGACATCGCTGTACGTGGAAACTTCTCCTTCAGGGCTAAATCAACACCTCTACTTCAAGGCGCCATCTACGACGCTGCTAAGAAGGTATTCAACGCCAGCATTTATTAGCCAATCAGAATGCCCGTATTTACCCATTTCGTGAAGTTTGATTGTGATTGGCTGATAGTAGCTAAGTTGATTGCAGGAACCAATTGCAAAATTCAAATCATAACGGTTTGCTGGTATTTACATTGTACACCGAACATCTCTCTGGGATATAAACATTTATTTATCTATTTATTTATTTCGTTTCAGGCAAGATGATAACATACAAAACATCACAAGGTTGACAAAATGATATAACATAAACATAATGATATTTAACACCAGCCAATGCCTGAGGATCACCTAAAAGTATTTTAAAAATTCTGTCTAGAGGCTCTCCACATTGGCTAGTACAAATACATGCTTGTATCGTCGACAGCAGTGGGTCATCGTTGTTTCTGATTCTACTTTGACGTTGTTTGATGTATGATGAAACAATCGATACTTATTACCAGTGTTTTAAAAAGTTTTTGAATGAATTTCATAATCAGGTGCCTGATGGTGAAACTAGAGAAAGAACGACTTATGATGTTTGGGTTGAACGGCTTCCAGATAACAGTGGTAGTGGCCTTCCATCGTAAGTTGATCGTGTTTTTCTTAACATCAGAGAAGTATATAATCCACTTATCCCCTTATTTTCTTTCAATTCTCTGATAATATGTACCACCGATGAGTTATTCGGTTGGTACCACTCTGCATTAATTTTGTATACTTGTTGATACAGTAAATGTTTCTATATTTGTGCTTTAGAAACTTTCAAACTGACTCTATTTTTGAAGAATTCACTGTTATACTTTACAATTTTATTCAACTATTCAATTTTATTATGTAAAGAGATTTTGTGAGGTAACACTCTTTGTTCTTATTTTTTCCTGAAGTGTTAACGTACTAGGATCCGGAAGTGATTTTGCTCCGTTCATGTATCGCATCGGTGTACCATGCAGTGACTTTACATACACATATGACACGGTAATCAAATCAATCTAATTTTAAGTAGAATATCCTTTAAAATTCCGTACATTTTACTTCTTCTTCAAAAAATGAACAACACTTCTGCAGAACTTTAAAATTAAAGCGTCTGTTTGGAGCCAGAAGGGCGTAAAATCATTATATAAATATGCACATATTACTGTCTTTTGATGAACAGATGATTAGAGTATAGTTTCTATGATCTAACGTTTTCATTTCATTAAAGTCATAGGCTTATGGTTAGGGATACAATTTGGTTTGAAGTTAGATTGAAGATTTCGTCTAGAGTGATGTATTAATGTTAAGTCAAAGGTTGAAGTTAGGACTTAATGAGTGTAGACTTTCGAACAGTTTCGAATCGATCGGCTAATACATTTTGTAACAAAAGACAGAACAGAATTCAGTGAATGTTGAGACAGTACCAATTATGTTATATGCTACGAAGACGGCGTGGTTACTAGTTACAAAGTTATATTTCTTTCATATACAGAGCCTCAGCATATCATCATATCCTGTGTATCACTCGGTTTATGAGACATTCTACACCGTTAAGATGTTCATAGATTACAATTTCTGGCGTCATCAGTCTGTTGCTCGGGTTATGCTTGAATTCTCGCGAAATCTCGCGGATTCCGTGATTCTACCATTTGGTGTCCTCGACTATGCCAATAAACTGAAATCCTCCATTGACAACATTGAAGATGAATACGGCGACAAGATGGCGGCACAGGATATCACCTTCGGTGAGTGCCGAGTATTAAATTTGAACATTTCATAAAATAATGATATAGCGTGATACCCGATAGGTGACAAAAGATATGACATAATGAAGAAGATTCAGGACAGAGAAATAAGGAAATAACTTATCATAATTATGAGTCTGGTGGTTGGACCTGCCCTTAATTGGTAGAACACTATGAGGGAGAAAAGGAGAGAACGAGAGAGAGAGAGAGAAGGAGAGAGATGATAACACAAAATTCACATTTCCTTTCCTCACCTTTAAAAAACAGTTAATGATTTGTAATGGGATTGTATCAGTATGCATAGCAATTGATTTACCCCCCCCCCCCCTGTAAGACTTGATAACGATTAACTGATGGATGATTGATAATCTTTTTCAGAATTCGTCGATTCAGCTCTGACAAATTTCACAGCGGCTGCTACATTCTTTGAAGAGGAATTAACTGATATTGATGTCAATGAGTAAGTGATGATTATATTAACGATGTGTTTCCAACTTTCCGTTGTTATTTTGTAAAAAATTCCTGCATGATATCCCGAGCATTATACATGTCAGTTGGTTATTAGTTAAAGACACATGGTTAACGGCTATACATGTAGGTACACAAACATGTTTAGGAAAATACATTTAAAAGTATCATGATGATCCAAACCAAGATTTGGATTCTTTTTTTTAAGTTAAAATATTATTATGAAGAAGACTGAGTTAACAAGCCTGAATGAAGGCATATAAAGCCATGTTCTATAATACCAAGTTCGTTTATTTCTCTCTCTCTCTCTCTCTTTGCATTTTAGTCCCATCGCAGTGAGACGTGTTAATGATCAGATGATGCAACTTGAACGAGCTTTCATTGATCCTGCCGGGCTACCAGACAGAAAATGGTTAAGGTGAGACAATGATATCAGTTACATTGTCAATACAACATAGCAACAAGTCATGTCGTGACAGTACAGTTAGCCTATCATTTTTTTCTTGCGGAACTTGAGTCATAAATCTGAACAGATTGTTCCCCTTACGGAAGTGAATGTTATGATATAATTATTTAAAACCCGTCACTTGTGGTTGTATTAATGTAACTTATTTGAATAAATGTAACATATATTTGTATTAATGTTACAGTTTTCATTAGAAGTGTATTTTTATTGCATAAAACGCGTACAGTTTAGTATGTGTACTGCTAATACTGTTTTAATAAACCTCTATCGAATTGATTTGATGATTTGAATGAAATTAGTAAATTCAAATGACGACAAAACAATAAAAGGCTATATTGCCTGACTGAAATGATGACAGACTAATTAACTGATTGTCCCACAAAGCACTAATCTAATTACGGTATAGCTCCTTGAAAGAGGAATGTATACGTTTATACGTACGTGATAAAGCAGTGATTAATACAAAGTTATGGGGCCTATATCTCAATGATCCAAATATTATCGGTTATATCTATAATCACTATAATATACTGAATGTGAAAATAAATACTACGTCTAAAAAAAAAATATTGCCATTATCTCGGGCTTTTTTCCTCTTGTTTGTAGACATGTGGTCTTCGCTCCGAGTAGTGTGAATTACTATGCAGGCGATGCATTTCCCGCCCTCGTCGATGCCATGTACCAGATTGATGACGACATCGATCAGGTGACTCGGTGGAATGCAGTTAGAAAACAAATGGCCATCATAACATTCATTATCCAATCAGCAGCTAGTACACTCACTGACGTCACACAATTTGGATAACAATTCTCTTTCTCTCTCGCTTGAGCAAGAGGCCCAATTGATTTTTTTTCTTTTCTTTTTAATTAATGATGCAAAGAAAGAAACAAGATTATAAGTACATTAAAACAATTATATTTGATAATTTTGAAAAGATGTTTTGATATAAACAATAATGTACAAAGTGTTTTTAATACTGGAAATGCTGTCTGTGAATTCGTCTATGGTGGATTGCATTTATGCCGTCACATAATCGAATAAGTCATTTTTCTTTCTTCAAGGTTTATTGCCTTTATGTTTATTCAAATGAATATAATTTTATAAATACATTTTACAAGAATTCAGATACACAATAAAACCTATACAATTCATTGTACATAAGAAAATCATTGTTGTATCATACCTCAATTTGAATTTTGTATTGATCTTCTTGAGCTTGTTTTACATGTTGTTAAAGATATTTTGGACAATTTAATAAACTTGGTATACGTCTATAATTTACAATCATAACAAGGGCCCCGTGGTATAAAACTTACCATTGATGGTAACTTCGCCATCAATTGCAGCTACTATGGTAACAGGGCCCAACAGCCAATCAAAATCAAGGTTTCCATGGTAGTTACCATTGATGGCAAAGTTACCATCAATGGTAAGTTTTGTGCAACGGGGCCAAGGTATCCATATAATATGCTGAATTAGAGAATAAACATTTCGAAATTATTACCGGATTCATGTCGTTTATCAATAACAATAGATTGATATTTTACCTTGTTAAACATAATGCAATTACTGTCATTCAATTTTACTTAAATTGATTTCAGTTCATTAAAATAATTTTCAATTAAAGTTTTGGGTCGGGTTTTGATTCTGCGGCCCAAACATGTTGGGCCAAATTAACATCTGCATTCTATACTTTTATATTCATATAGCCTATTCGAATTTACTTTTGTATTTGACATGGTTAGCTGACATTGAATGAAAAATAAAATGACCTGAAATATAATTGCTTGAAAACAACCCAAGACTGACTTCAAAGCCACAAGTTTGTTACAATTTAAAGTATTGATGGTATGATGTATAATAGTGCGATAGAACTGTGTTTTGAAAATTTAAAAAATAAAACAATTTCTAAAGCTCTGTTCCATTTATCAGTCACACAGTGTTTCGCGATCTCCTGTCTCGCGCCTTCAGTAAAGGCTATTTAGCGTATAGGGACATTTGTTTTTAAAGGGTTTAAAATTCGAAATAAAATTATAACGTGTAGTGGTATTCATCTAATTTTATCAGGTTCTTGTCAAATCTTGGGCCCAAAATTGTATTTTAAAGGGGCAATATTTGAAGAAGAAAATGCGGAGTATTTTATCGCCTTCCATCATTTAAATTTCAAATTTTCGATAATACTGCGCCCCAAAGATTTTGCTGGAATAAAACAGATTTATTATTAATGGGTATTCACAATTTGTCAAAAGCCCTTTTAAGACTAATTTACATGGCTGTTGTGTTCCAATATTTTCCAAGGTATTAAATGCATAATAAATAGTGTTTTGGGGAGTTGAAATGGAGAATAATCCAAGACTAGGTCGCATTTGCTTCCCCGTTTCTATAGATGATGATCAAACTTTCACTACCTATCAAGGTCCAGTGCATACAAATTTGTTTTGATACAGTGCGCTTAAAGGCCCTCTATAAAGTGTTGTGGGCCCCAAAAGTCGCAAAAAGTTTAATAACAACATTGTTAAACATCTTCTCTCTCTCTCTCTCTCTCTCTTTCTTTTTCTCTCGCACTCGCAGTTTTACTCTCACTGTGTTTTCTATCTCTTCTGTTACTCATGTAAAAAAATTAAAACAAAATGAAAATCAAACCAAACCAATCTATGAAGATTTGTGATGTGTGAATGGGCCTCGTGTCGCCCTTTGAGATAGAGCATGAGCGGGCCCTTATTAGGGCCAACACATGCACCCTATAGAAAGAATACGTGGTGTAACCGCAGACCTCGCTCAAAACAAACAAAATAAAAGATACTGTATGACAATTACATGAGAGATCCTATACTTTAAACTATGGTACCCTATAAGACATGAATATGTCGTGTTGTTGTAGGGCACTATAGCTGCACTAGAGACTCAAATATGATACTACTACTACTACTACTACTACTACTACTACTACTAATAATAATAATAATAATAATAAATATTATAATAATATTTATTATAGTAATTGTAATAATTGTAATGATAATTATAATTATAATAATTATTAGAAAGATATTGTATATAGACCTCGTTAATGGTTCTTGATTGAATCTGTATCTTATGATGGGCTCTAAGGCAGAATATACTTCAGCCGTCCCGAAGGCTCAATGCGCTCTGCAAGCCATGAGTCCTTTTCCATGGCCTCCAAATTGCGGGGGGGGGGGGGGGGCACCAGTTAAAGTCTATGCTAAATACGCCTCTGTTTGGAGTTTAATAAGTAAATGTTTGTTATCCACATGCTAATTAGTGGTCCGGGAGTGCAAGACATAATAAAACTGACGACTGACTCGTTATATTCAAATACTTTACCCTAATTTGATTACTGTATCTTAACCTTACATAGAGAGGAGTAGGCGTTTACATTCAGTAGATGTAATATTGATTGAAGTGTAGCCTATATCATGTATGACAATGAAGCAATCTAGACCATGTCTGCTCTACGTGGGGTTAGCGGTTATTATCGGATCCATCCTTTTCGTGGTGGGACTTCTGATCGGATTATACGGAATCTCAAATGGACCGTGCTCGACCTCGTCATCGACGTCGATTGAAGATGAAACAATCGGTGGTATGATGATCGATGAATGCAAGGCAGAATACATCGAGCAAAATCTCAAGTAAGTTGTTCAATATGGAGATATCAATTACACCTCTGTCACAATTGAATTTAGTACTAGTTATAGTGGTTATAGTTTTGATAATAGTAGAAGAAGAGAATTAGTAGTAGTGGTGGTGATGGTGGCGGTGGTTTTATCATTATTATAATTATTATTAGTAGTAGTAGTAGTAGAACACTCATATTAGTATAGTAGTAGCAGTAATACTAGTATTATATTGACCTGTTGAATCTCTAGTGAAATGAAAATGGAATTTAGAATCAGATTTATTTAACTGGATATTTCGAGAAATGTATATAGAGATCATAAAAAAGGAAAATACCAATAGCGCATGTGCAATAAACATACATAATTTTGAAGTATCATAATCCCATTCGATTAATAGACTATTAAGCAGCCGACCTCATTTGGCGGGAACACCAGCTGAGAAGGAGAATGCTGAGATGCTTGTTAATCTCTGGACTGAGTACGGATTCGATTCGGTTCGGTTACTACCCTATGATGTTCTATTGGCTTATCCTGATCCTGATAATCCGAATACGGTCAGAGCATTACTTTTAAATCATTATATAGTGGATATTGCGATTATATATTACCGAGTCCTTATTCCAGGTCTATACTGCTCATAACGCCTCCATATTATGGTATTACGTTCCTAAACTGATAGATGTAAATGATATTATTATACATACTTGTAATTAAAACAAACATATTAGACTCTGATTCAAACAACAAAATTATTTAAACCTTATTATTTTTTCTTTATCTTTTAAATATTCTAACGTTCATTTTTATTTGTTTGTTTACTTTTGTATTCTTTTCTCCTAAAATATATAATTCAATATCTACTTACAGCTCTTTTCACATATCTAGCCCCTTTTACTTTAGAAAAGTGTGTAATTCACCAGAGATAACACCATAGCACTATTCACAAAGAGATTGGCATAAATTATAGTATCTTCGTTCTTGTGTATAGGTGATGATAACAGATAATGGAGTAGGTGTCTTCACCAGTGCTCTCACTGAGGCTGTTCTTCGACCTGAAGATAATAATACAGATGTTGTACCACCATTCAATGCATACTCAGCACAGGGAGAACCAGAGGTACGTTCAATACATAATTCATTCACTTGGTTGAATAGGGTGGGTGAAAATTGTACCTCACCCAATATGATATTCACTACACACAATTACAGAATTTAGTAGATCAAGACTTTACAACTACGCCCAGATAAAGATTTGAATTAAGAAGGTAAAAAGGAATTTTCACATTTTCATATTAAAGTTTACAGAGCATTTTTTTAATCTTCTGTCGTTTTTTCTCAAATAATAGATTAAACGCATTTCTTGGTTTGATACACATGGTAAAACGTTAAATGTCTTATGATAATGATTTCAAGTATATATATTTTTCTATATTTCTTTCTCTTTGTTAAAATAAAAATACTGCGAACATATACCAAACTTATCTGTTATCAAAGTACATATGGATGAGCATGGTTAGAAGCCTCCTAAAATCTCTCTCAAATAACTTTATATCGTGCGGTCTAGTCAGGTTTACCATCATTTTTTGGTCCAGGGGCCTCTTGTATACGTCAATCATGGTACATCAGATGATTTTGACTGGCTAGCCAAGAACAGACCAGACATCAATATTAATGGTTCAATCGTCATCGTCAAATATGGCAAAGGTTTCCGTGGACATAAAGTAAGTTGGTTTTTATCTATTGATATAGATGCACCTCTTTTAGTAATCTTTATTTTTGTAAATGATAATGATTATTACACAATTTGATGTTAATGTTGCTTTCCATAAATCATTTGTAAATATTCATTGATCAATTACGCAGAGTCTCAAACTGAAGAAGTAATTCGTTATTTCTAATTTCGTTTAAAACAATCCTAATTAATGATGCAATTGATTAGACTGGTTTACAAGTCGCTCTGACATATCTAGACATATAAAACATTACCATTATTGCCAGAAGATTGGGATGCTTTAGAATTTTGGGATATTTATTGATTAACAAACTAGAGCAACAAATGATTAACATTTTCAGGAAATATATCAGATGACACATTGCAAACTAGATAAAATGGTAACACATAAGCTTATGCCCTCTCCACTCATAATGCCTGGACAATACAAAATTGAATACATCATAATATCTGCAGTATACTCAACAGGAGCCCGAAACTTCGCTGAAACTCGACAAGTGTTACTAATAATGTTTACTTATTACGTAATGACACCACTATCGGCATCGAGGGTAAACGATTGGGGTTATTAAACAGGGATATAATAATAGTTAAGAGATAATAGACGGCTTACCTACTGACCTAAGATACAATGAACAGTTTTAATCTATGATAGACAACAAGAAATAACTTAAGCATCAGGACAGTTTCACAATATTCATGTTATAATTATATACAAAACACTTGCTTCATTGTTTGGATTGATCTTAATGGCTGTGTTTTTAATGACAACTTCATTCATATGAGCAGCCATGTTTTCCTGTCTATGGTTATTGAATATTTGTCTGATTCGTTATCCCAACCTCTTTCTACATTCATCATGGCGAAATAACCAAAATTAATATGAATGATAAACGCGACAATGATCATAAGGGGAAAAAAGTTTCTCTTTAAAAAGAATGATAACAATAATGATGATGATACCTGTAATGGATTGTTTGACAAGATCGTGGGCTTGAAAATACGTAAATGATTATAGGAGAAATGGGAGTTCTTAGTTTAACAAAATAGGTTTTAAACCTTCAGGTTTGAAATTCTAGCGCTGAATCATTATTAGTACATACAAGTTTGACGTTCATCATAACGGTCGAGCTTCTCTTATCTCACAGAGCTATAAAAAAAAGGAGAACAAAAATTGATATTTGGAAGATCAATCGCCGTACTGCTACTCGTCATTGTAATTCTAAACTAACACCAAATTCCGCTCGACCGCCGAGCAGGCTACTTTTGGGTAATGTGACCATAGCATTATACCGTTTTTTTTCCTCTTCTCCCCCTCCTTTCTCTCTTTCTATTTCTCTCTCTTTTTTTTTTCTCTCTCTCTCTCATTCTCTCTCTCATTTTCGTGACAAGGTACTAAACGCTCAAAAGGCAGGTGCTTTAGGAGTAATCATCTATTCGGACCCTGCCAATTATGCTCGAGAAGACCGCGATACTGTATATCCGAATGACTGGTGGTTACCGGATACCGGTACACAGAGAGGAAACGTGTTTGTAGGTAGCGCAAAGGGAGATCCGGTTACTCCCGGTTATCCTTCTAAACGTAAGTTATAAGCGGTTAGTGTGATGTAAGCTTTAACAATGCATAGCAAAATGAAACACTTAAACAAAAATTAGAATGGTAATTGAGATGGAAAGAGAGAGAGAAAAAAAAAAGAGAAAGAGAGGAGGTATGTGGATAATAAATTATAATACCTACTTCGAAGTGTATTTTGGGTGTCTTTCAGTTATTCAGAGTGTCATATTAGTTTTCTTCCACAATATTTGTTTTCTAACTTACTTTCCTCCCACCTCCTTTTGTAACTATCAGCTTATATGTATCGGTTAAATGACTCGGATACCTCTCTGCCGACTATACCGGTTCACCCGATCGGGTATGGTGATGCACAACATCTTTTAAGGTATGGAAACGTAAACAGGGAATTGGTAATATTAAAACAGTGATTTAAAAAACCAAGTTAATAAACTGTTTTGTATTCTATATAACCAGAAAATAGTATGCCCTTCTCTCTTTCTCTCCTTTTGACAATTTCTCCTTCCCCGTTCCCCTCCATCTCCCCATCTCTGTCTTTTTCTTTGTCTCGGTCTCTGCCTCTGCCTCTGTCTATGTCTCTCTTTCTATCTTTATGTCTTTCTTTCTTTCCCTCTCGCTGTCTCTATTTGTCACCTTCTCTCTCTCTCTCTCTCTACAGGTATCTGTGTGTGTATGCCTCTGGCTCTGTCTCTCTCTCTCTCATTCTCTTTTACTCTGTATTCCAGAATATAGTCATTTTAAGCCAAGATGTTTCTATTTCAAAGCGTTATTGAATGAAGATATACAGTTATTAAAACATATATTCGATAAAATTAAATAAAGATATGTTTTCCTTCACTAGATGATATAAAAAATACTTTTGCTAGATTAATTTAGTCAGGAGGGATTAGACCTCCCTGCGTGGTCACTGACAGATGGTTATTTCATCAAATCAGCTCTCAATAATTAATATAAGAAAAAGGGGATCATGGGAGACCAACGGGTACCACTTAGGCAATGTTTGCCAATTAGAAGTAGCTACAGGTAGTACAGTCCTGCTTAAAATATAGCACTGATTCGAACTCTTATTTCTTATCTATTTTTTCTTGTGCGTCTCGGAATAGAAGTCCTAGATAGATAGTGCAAAAAGAAATTACCTATTATTATTATCATCATTATTATTGTTACAACAAGCTGGTGTTTACTTTATAATTTGTTATTGATGAATGCAGTGAACTCGGAGGTGATGAGGTCCAGGATACCTGGAAGGGAGGTCTTAACATCACCTACAGATACGGACCAGGATTTACTAATCCAAACAGGTGAGTAGTTCATTAACATGGATTAACTAATCGTAATAGGTGAGTAGTTCATTAACATGGATTAACTAATCCTAACAGGTAAAAAGGTCATTCGCTTGGATATACAGTGCGTCCCAGAAAAAACGAAACCGAGAATAATGTTTTATCATAACTTAGTCACATTCATAATTAATAAATGACACATATTTGGAAAGCTTAGATCCTCCTCTTTCATTATTTTGATGCAACTCACCTGATGCATATTTCACGCATGAGTGATTTAAATGAATTTGAAGAGAGGAAACCAAAAAGTCATTTGGCGGACGATATCTGAATTTCAAAAGGAAAATCACATTTCTAGAAAGTTGAGTTTCTGCCCTTTCATATGACACCTCAATCACGAAAAATGAGCCAGGAATAACAAAGTTCTGTATGTTTAAAGATAAACTCCAGTTGTGGTAAAAAAAAGGAAATTAATTCTCACAGAATCAAACGAAACTTACACTGAATGTTCAAGATTACAAATAAATGACATATGCCAAACAATTTTGGAAGAAAATGTATACAGGCTGAGTGATGAGCATAGAAAGACAAGGAAATCAAGGTAGTACTATCCCCGACACCATGTGTGTTGTCCCATATATAGCTTTCTGTGTACAGGGCTTGTTACTTTACCAAGACTCGGTCAAATTTATTACAATTTTGATGACTCCAGAACCTTGCAGTGCACACCAATACTTACATGTTACATGATCAACTGTTTCTGATCCTTTCCACATCTTTTCTTTCACAATGCAATCGCATTACCAGTACTAAAGTTTATCTTTAAAGTAGTGCTTGCACTTCCATAATTTTATCAAACGAATTCGTTTTCACTGGCTGCCTGCCGTAGCAAAAAACAAAATTGTCAATAGACTTAGCTCCGTTTCGTTGACAATCAGCTAGCATGAAGTCTTTCGTCTACGGCCGATTGTCAACGAAACGGAGTTAAGTCTTTTCTTAATTCCGTGTGTTGCTAAGGCAGGCAGCCAGTGAAAATGAATTAGTTTGTTAAAATTATGGATATGCAAGCACTACTTTAAACATACAGAACTTTGTTATTCCTAGCTCATTTTTCGTGATTGAGGTGTCATATGAAAGGGCAGAAACTCAACTTTCTGGAAAAGTGATTTTCTCTTTGAAATTCAGATACCGTCCGCCAAATGACTTTTTGGTTTCCTCTCTTCAATTCATCTTAATCACTCATGCGTGAAATATGCATTATATGAGTTACATCAGATGAAAGAAGAGGATTTCAGCTTTCCAAATATGTTTCATTTATCAATTATAATTGTGATAAAGTTATGATCAAACGTCGATAATTCTCGGTTTCGTTTTTTCTGGGACGCACAGAAATCATACTGAAAGGCAATGACGAGGAGAACGATTGCGATGACCATTGTAACTGGCATTTTTTAAATGAAAATGGATGAGGTATGTAGATGAAATAAAACGAATTAAAGCAAAAGGAGAATGAGAGAGTGTTTAGGAAGAACAAGAGCATTGGTCCGAATGATATGCTTCAGGTATATTGATGATTTAAGGCTTTTTGGCACAATTTTGCAATAAGACTCAGTTTCTTTGGTGTAATTCATTGAGATTGAGATTTTTTGTTCATATTATTTATCAAGATCATATTTCTCACCTATCTAATTGCTTCTTGTATTGATATACAGAAAAGTGAAGATGAGTATACATACCTCAAGAGAGATTCGAACCATCTATAACGTAATCGGTGTCATCAACGGAGCAGTGGAACCAGGTGAATTAAGCTTTATTCTTTAACAGATGAACATTAATGTTATATGCCTCTGCTGATGTATTGTATTCGTTTTTCTAAATCCCTATACGGACCGAATATCAAAACATAAAATCATTATGAAAAAATGTTGAGATAATTTATTAACTACCCATCTTTGATTCCTCTAAAGTTTTATCTGCTTATTTTCTTCCAGATCGGTATGTGTTGCTAGGCAACCATCGTGATGCCTGGGTTTATGGTGCTGTAGATCCATCTAGTGGAACAGCAGTTCTTATGGAGAGTGCAAGAGTATACTCACAGATGATCAAGAAAGGTGAGCATGTTGATTATTTGTAATGTACTATATTTTTAGATATATTCTTGTCAGAGATCTGTTTGAAAAAGTTCTACTATTTTTACGAACATTGTTCCCCCTTCTCTCCCCCCCCCTCCCTCTCTCTCTCTCTTTCTTTTCTCTCTCTCTCTCTCTATTTCTCCTTAATAGGATGGCGGCCACGTAGATCTGTAATGTTTTGTAGTTGGGGAGCTGAGGAGTATGGTTTGTTAGGATCCACCGAGTTTGTAGAGGTAAACCAGATACCTGTCTTTCCAGCTCTTATCTATCAATTCAAAAGTTCTTCCATCCATCCATGCATTATCTACTTACTGCACTGTCTTTTATGTTTTTATAAATTTTCCACTCTCAACCTAGGTGTAATAAATGGGAACATGGTAGGAAGGAGAGCTTGGCCATAGTCAGAATTTGTCTTTCCCTAATTGCCTTTAAAAACATTGTTATGAACGTCATGAAGTTCAGATAACCTCTATGATTTTTCTGAAATTATTGACAAGTAATTAATTAATTTTTTAATTTATTTAAGTTTTATTTAAAATATAGGTAGGCAAAAAAAACAACAGATTTCCAAGTACGCCCTCTAGGACGACATAACAAACATGTGATATACAAAACTACAAAAGTTAGGGCCATGACATTTATATTTTAAAAACTACATGTAACAAACAGTAGTGATATTTCAATCTTTGTTCGACCGATTGCTAATTTAAAGTTATAAGAAGCGTACATTGTGGTGTGTCGTAATCCATATTTAAAATCAATCTCGCAAATCTATTTTGTAACTTTTGCAGCTTCGATAAATTTGTCTTTGAGCAGTTTCCCCAAGCAGTACAACAGTAGTTTATCTATGGTAAAATTAATGCAAAGTAGAAGTTCAAAAGAATTTAAAAGAAGTTATCATATGCTACATTTTTAAGGAATTTGATTTTAATGTGCTCATCAGCAAACTCTTTTTGTTTAATAGCCCTGTAATTTATTTTGACTTATCACCAATTATTGCCCTTTTTTATACGAGCAGGAATATCAAAAGATACTTGGTGAGAGAGCTGTGGCCTATATCAATATAGATAGTGCTGTGGTCGGGAATTATTCATTCGTTGCCAAGGCAACGCCTCTTTTGCAGCAGGCTATAATGGATGCTACCAAAAAGGCAAGTTTGGACAGTAATCTAGTCTAAAATATAAATTGTTTATATTTTTGTAGGTGTTTAAAGTGTTTTTGCGGAAGTTTCAGCTTATTGCATTATAATTCGCTTCATATATTTCATTATGCAAAGATTTCACAAAATAAATGGTACAAATAAATGTGAATTATATAAACAGGGACAAAAACAGACAGTGAGTACGTCATATCGATTTGTTTGCATAAAAAAGACTGTATGTACTAAAAAGAAGATTGAAATACAGAGGGGGCTTATGGTGAAAGCTACGCAGTTTGTGAGAGCGATAATTTATTTGTCGGGTCACAATAGAAGTTGAAACCTTATCTTTTTTAGCAATACCTGTGCTTGGCACTATGACACTCATCCGAACGTTCTCGTCCAAACTCTCTCATTCTTTCTATTTTTCTTGTGCGCCTCGGAATAGCATTGTCTAAATAGACGGCGCTATATAAATGCCTATTATTATTATTTATTTAATGTCTGAGTAATCTTTAAAACTCAAAGTATTCAGTTATAGAGAATGAAGATTATCACATAATATTTTACTACACGTTACATTAGAGCAACTTTTTTATTATTAGTATTATTATTAGATACTTTGCTCACCAATAATCCTAAATTGTTTGCTCTTATCTGTATCAATCTCGTTTCGTCTAAACCTCTCCAATCTCTTTCTCTCTCTCTCTCTCTCTCTCTCTAGGTACCAGACGGAGAGACACAGAAAGAATCGGTTTATGACTTGTGGTTGCAGCGAATTCCTGATCCTGCCGGAAATCCCTAGTAAATTTCATTTTCTTTTATGATAATATTGAACGTTAACAACAAAGAGATAAAGGCAGTAACAGGATAATATTATCCTAAACTGCTGTTCAATTTAGAAAAAATGGCCCCAAAACGATCACGAAATGACGAGAAATTAACTGTGTTATTGACATCTTTATTACCACAAGATTATTATACACCCTTATGTGGAAACATAACTATAACTATGATGTTTATAACTAGACCCATCGAATAAACGTCTCCATTTACCATTCTTTTACTATTTCCTTTAGTGTTTCAGTGATAGGATCGGGTAGTGATCATGCCCCATTCATGCACCGGCTCGGAGTCCCTGCCGCCGATCTTCTCTATGTCTTCGATCTCGTAAGAACTTGATCTCGTAACGTTGTTATTAGTTTATTTGTCTGCTCGATCGACATGTAGTATTCCTTCAGAGATTGTAAGGATAGTATAAGGAAAGATGATATCATTATTATTTCAGATGATTAGTTTTCTGTACAAATTGTTTTGTTGCCCGATTTTGTTTTGTATGAATATAACTCTGGTCTAAAGCAGTCTAGTCTAAGGCAGAGGCAACATAGAATAATATGTAATTAATGCACATAATAATAGTGAACAGGATATTAGATAAATGTTGAGATTTAAGTGTAAAATAACTTTCTAAATCGAAATAGATTCTGGAGAAATTACTCCAAGAGCCATTTCTGCGGACAAGCTTAAGCAAAAAAACAAAGATTTATACATGTACCTGCGTTACTCAAATATCATCGTTTTTCATAAATAGGCACTCGCAATTTCAATTTCAAATATGTTTCTTTATCAGAGATTAGGGCTGTCATCTTATCCCGTCTACCATTCTGTATATGAGAACTTTTACTACGTGAAGAACTTCTTGGATTGGAATTTTTGGCGTCACCAAGCCATGGCAAGAGTTTATCTTGAACTATCGCGAGATCTCGCGGACTCCTTGATTCTTCCATTCGGCTGCGTAGACTATGCCGCTAAACTACAACAAGCTGCACAAGGCTTGGAGAGCAATTTCGGCGAAAAGATGGCACAAAATGGTATCGATTTTGGTAAGAACGATACTAGAGGATGTGTTGCTACCCTTAGCAATCTTGATAATAAGTCAGTGAACCACTTATCAAAATCAAATGATATCAGTTACATTATGATTGGATTTGTATGTTGTATCGAGCAAGGTATTCTGTACCAAAAAAAGTTGTCTGTTCTATTAATGACAGGCTTACAGTATTTTTTTAACACTGGAAAAATAGGAACATAGTTACTTTATGAACAGTTTCTCTGTATTGAAAGTGATTCCAATCTAAGACATTACATGTCACGAAAAGCAGCAGATCTCTTGGTTGATATTTATACTTTCTTGTCAAAATTAGACATAGATAAATTATGAGTTGTATAATCCCATGCCCCTAATCTTATAATTTATAGCATTGTTTATTTGTTAGTTTTTCTTTATCTTATATTGGAGGGAAGCCTGGTAGGAGTATGTACATCTAATTCAAACTTTTAACATAAGGTGTTTTTTTTTTAATCACTCTAAACTGAAATCACCTTTTCTCTCCTAGATTACATGGAATCGGCTCTAGATAATTTCACAGGAGCAGCACAGCATTTCGAAATGCGACTAACTGATATAAATGTAAACGAGTAAGTAGTGTTTTGTAAAGTTCATATTTAATCCTTTGTTGTTGGCTGTAACATAAACGGCATTTTCAATAAATCAACAACTAAAAAAGGTAAAATGCGTTATTTTTCGCTCAAAAGGTAAAGAGAGATTTCAATGAAACTTTAAAGATATAGGAGTAATGTTTCTTTTAGATTATTAGTTAGCTGTCCATGATAGGGGCTTTGGCTACACCAACAAACCGGTTACTACCTGTGTTCATTTCTTATCCCTTTTCTACCGATGCAGCCCTTATGCAGTAAGACGTGTTAATGATCAGATGATGCAACTTGAACGAGCTTTCATTGACCCTGTTGGGCTTCCAGGAAGAAAATGGTTGAGGTAATCCGCAGTATTTGGTACTTTTTTGAAATACCAAAAGTCGATCAGGATGTGACAAAACTGTGATAAATACCTAACACAAGATCAGCAAAGCCCCAGCTGATAGGTAGTCTTTGAGACTGTTAGTGGAACAACGAAAGAGTTCTCGAGACCGGTGGCCAATGAGACCAAAGGGGTTCCATGACACATGCTCCGCCGACGATTGCTCCGCCGACATTTACTCCGCAAAACGCGACAATTGCTCCGCGACATTTGCTCCGCGACATTTGCTCCGACGTCAAATGCTCCGCCGACAGGTGCTCCGCCGACAGTTGCTCCGCCGACAGTTGCTCCGCCGACAATTGCTCCGCCGACAGATGCTCCGCCGACAATTGCTCCTCCGACAATTGCTCCGCCGACAATTGCTCCGCCGTCAATTGCTCCGCAAAACGCGACAATTGCTCCGCCGACATTTTCTCCGCCGACATTTGCTCCGCCTGAAGCGACACTTGCTCCGCCGACATTTGCTCCGCCGACATTTGCTCCGCCGACATTTGCTCCGCCGTCAATTGCTCCGCCGACAATTGCTCCGCCTGAAGCGACAATTGCTCCGGTGACATATGCTCCGCCGACAATTGCTCCGACGACATTTGCTCCGCCGACAATTGCTCCGCCGACAATTGCTCCGTCGACAATTGCTCCGCCGACAATTGCTCCGCCGACAATTGCTCCGCCTGAAGCGACAATTGCTCCGGTGACATTTGCTCCGCCGACAATTGCTCCGACGACATTTGCTCCGCATGAAGCGACACTTGCTCCGGTGACATTTGATCCGACGACATTTGCTCCGCCCAAAAAGTGTCCCATTAAATACAAATGCTACTAGTACTACGACAAATGCTTCGCCGACAATATTTTTTTTCACGGGTTGTTTTTGTTTCTTTCTTTTTTTCTTCATTTTTTGAATGCATTTCATGACATTATGTAAATGAAATGAAATGAATGAATGTTGAAAATGTGGGAGGAAAAAGCAGTTGCCTAAAAGTCATTTCGAATATACTGAAATAACTTTCCATCTATCACTGTACGTCCCACATAATGTACACTAAACACTCATTACATGTCATGGGAAGTTTTTTTTTTTTAAAGTAGAGCAGCAAGCCACATACCCCAATACGCGCATACCTCCTAGTTAATTTCAAACAGCTCATCAATATGTAAGACCTGAAATTACCTCAATGAAAGAAGACTAATAACATGAGAGGAAAGAAAAGAGCAAAAAAGACAACCGTTTTTTGCTATTCCCCATAATGTTTGATTTAAAAAAATAAAAAATAAAATATAGCTCCTTACACAAGTTCTCCGGCGAAAGATAATTACTCCGCTCAAAATCTGTTTCATGTATTACTCATTAGCTGATCCAAAGCTCAAGGCTATCTCTCTCTCTCTCTCTCTCTCTCTCTCTCTCTTTCTCTCTCTCCCATGCTCCTCCTTTTCCTGTTTACACCGTTTTCTTGTCTTCTTTGCTCTTTTCTTTCCTCTCATGCTATTAGTCTTCTTTCATTTCCATCACTTCTTCTCTGCTCCCCCTCTCGAGTTCTATTTCTCTCGTGAAATTGAAACGTAAAGTAATACAATCATGTAGTACATTCTTGTTTAGAATAATATTTTCAATAATATCCAGTCCATTTTCTAAAGGTTTCTTTCCTTTAGTTAAGTGTATGTAGCTTTAATATATATATGTTAGTGTGCAAAACACTCCGTTTCATTCGAGTACTTTGTTTTCACTAAATAATTTAAGGGACTCACGAAGCCACCGGAAGAAGAGCAATTGGCTTATCATGAAGAACTAACATCAAACTGCAACAAAATGATTTGTATAAATGTGAATAAGCAGAAAGGCTGCCATCTCATTTTCCCGTCTGAATGGGTTCTCTTCCTTACGTATATAAGTGCCCTTATTTTCTAAACTTTTTTTTTTTTATATTTGTGTGTTTATTAAATTTTCAATCATATAAAAATTACATATTTACAAGTCATTGGTAATAATTAGACAAACAAAAAAAAACAATATGTATAAGAACAACTAACAATAATGAAAGGACAAGAAAGTTATAAAAAAAAAAACATTATAGTAAAAAAAAAATACACTGTACACATATAAATCATAGTTTGAACTCCAGTGCATAAAGGGGAGTGAGGGGGCACAGGAATAAAAGTTAAATCAACATATGAGTATCATAAGTCAAATCGCCATTTCTTAAAATGCGAAACAAGCTTGTTCCTTTTTTTCGCTGAGAAATATTCAATATCTTTTTGTTTCTTTATAAAACTCTTAAAAAGATCAACACTTGGTAAATCCCCCTTACTTATTTTCTAAACTTCCATGATGACCTATTACATTGTATAATGCTTTACCTAGTAAGATGCATTGATCGAGGTAATTTCAGGTATTACATATTGATGAGCTACTTGAAATTAACTAGGAGGTATGCGCGTATTGGGGAATGTGGCTTGCTGCTCTACTTTTTTTTAAAAACTTCCCACGACATGTAATGAGTGTTTAGTATACATTATATGGGACGTACAGTGATAGATGGAAAGTTATTTCAGTATATTCGAAATGACTTTTAGGTAACTCCTTTTTCCTCCCACTTCATCAACATTCATTCATTTCATTTCATCTACATTATTTCAAGAAATGCATTCAGAAAATGAAGAAGAAAAAAAGAAACGAAAAAAATAGGTGTAAATATTGTCGGCGAAGCATTTGTCGTAGTACTAGTAGCATTTGTAGTTTATGGGACACTTTTTGGGCGGAGCAAATGTCGTCGGAGCAAATGTCGGCGGAGCAATTGTCGCTTCAGGCGGAGCAATTGTCGGCGGAGCAAATGTCGGCGGAGCAATTGTCGCTTCAGGCGGAGCAAATGTCGGCGGAGCAATTGTCGCTTCAGGCGGAGCAATTGTCGGCGGAGCAATTGTCGGCGGAGCAAATGTCAGCGGAGCAAGTGTCGCTTCAGGCGGAGCAAATGTCGGCGGAGCAAATGTCGGCGGAGCAATTGTCGCGTTTTGCGGAGCAATTGACGGCGGAGCATTTGTCGGCGGAGCAATTGTCGGCGGAGCAATTGTCGGCGGAGCATCTGTCGGCGGAGCAATTGTCGGCGGAGCAACTGTCGGCGGAGCAACTGTCGGCGGAGCAACTGTCGGCGGAGCATTTGACGTCGGAGCAAATGTCGCGGAGCAAATGTCGCGGAGCAATTGTCGCGTTTTGCGGAGTAAATGTCGGCGGAGCAATCGTCGGCGGAGCATGTGTCGGGTTACCACCAAAGGTCAACGAGACCACTAGCCCTCGGTCCTCCAAGGACATTTGGTCAACCGGGTCATGTGGGTTGTAGCAATAAACGTTAGTTCTATAACTCAGATAGTCACAGGATCTCTTCTCCTGCATGTTCACTTGGCGATGGAGAACGGAGCTCGATTATTACCCTCATATTGGTAATGACCTGAACCAGCTGATCCGACTATGTTAAAAATTTTATTTTTCATTTATAAAACTACAAGAAAAAACAAGGGACAAAAAAATAAAGTCTGTAAAGAAGTCCATAAAGACAATATATATAATGTGAGTGGGAAAATTAAAACTAAATCACTGCACCTGTCATATTTTACATCTTGTATTTTTATGGCACTTTTGTTGTTGCGTGTATGATCAATAAATTGAACTGAAATGAACTGATGATAAATAATTTTAAAAAGAGAATTATAATTTTTCTTCCTTTCCATGTTATTATCTTAGGCATTTAATATTTGCACCTAGCAGCGTTGATTCCTATGCTGGTGATGAGTTTCCTGCCGTAGTCGATGCTTTATATCTTATCGACGATGACCCCGATCAAGAGACTCGATGGAATAACGTTAGAAAACAACTAGCCATCTTAACATTCACCATCCAATCAGCGGCCAGTACGCTCAATGACGTCACCCAACTTTAACTCGACCGCCTCATGATATCCAATCACTGGCCAGTATGCTGAATTACGTCACATAACTTTAACTCTTGATATCCATCAGCATCCAGTATGCTCAATGATAACTTTTCCCTCTTCGCGATCCAAACCCGGGTTGGAGCTGCAATCCCTGGAAGTTTGATATAACTATAATATTTGGGCAACCGCAACCTTGAATATCGAGATGTACTATTAGCGATATTTATATCTTATGACGAATAGTTTTGACAAAATTGCATCGTCAATACAATAAAGTGTAGTAAATATTCTTTGCTCGCTTTCCTCACTGGCAATATTTGAAAACTTGACATTTTATATTCAGGTAAGATATATCAGCCCCTGGCAAAATACTTTCCCTGTACGCCGCCTATGTTTGTACAAAAAGACATGATTATATCTAATGATACTACTTTTACTACTATTATTATAATTATAAACCGTACTTAAAGAGCGCACTATTACAGATATGTCCTCATTTTGGTGTAAACATATTTAACAGGGGGAAATACATTCTTTGGTCACTGCACTTAATATAGGGCCTACGTGCAAACGTTTAGACTTGTCGCCATTGGACTCTATCAACCATGCTAAACTCGAAGAAAAAAATAGGTCAGATCTTGTTCTGATTACAAACAAATATGATTTCGAAAATCTGGATTTCTATTGATTGTCCCAATGTAAACATGTTACAATGGTTGTTTTTTGTAATTCAGGTGGACCCGTTCTTTTGTGTCGTTTTCTTTTACTGTGACCTCGCTTAGGAATGTATAACGCCAATCAACTACCAAGCCTTTAGTCGAACTGTATTATTGTTGGGTTGATTCCTTTCTGTTTTATATGAGAGGATTCATTTGTAAATTCCATTTATTAGGATCGAGAAACCATTCATCATAATTGAGAAAAACAACACCTAACTTGGGGTTGTCAATTGGGAAAATCCATATGCAGTGGACGAGGTGTGTGCTTTTCAGAGCATCATTTTGTTTAAGTTTTAAATGATATATTATGATTTATTAAACTGTTAACATGCAACCTGATTTATTCCTATTTGTCTTATGGTGTTTCATAGCAGTCATGTAGTAAACAATAAAGCAATATCAGTATAGTTGTATCTGTTTACAACATGGTTTATTGATTGTAGTTATGATATTTCGTATTCTGACAAAATGTGACAGAGTATTATTACGGGCCCATATCAACACTGTGGATGGCCTTGGAAGTTGACGTGCATTATGCAGGGCACAAGGAATCTGGGTTACGTAGGATTTTTACGTAAAGGGGTTTACAATTTGTTGATAAGTTTAATACATCGAAGTCAAACTTGGAATGAATACATTGTATACAATATTAAAAGTACAATGAAAGCATGCTCTGACGCAGCTCGGTGACCTGTAACCCGTTTGGTTCCGAATAATGGATGATATTTCCGAACAGGTATAGGACTTCATACTTTCCAGCCTTGACTCTGAGCAAATAAAAATAGGCCAATATTGTGTTCCAAAGCGGAACACGAAACACGGTGAATAATATTGTGTTTGATTCATATCTATCATTCCATTCGCACACAACACAGTAGCTCTCCCTTGCAAGCCTGAGAGCTAATCGAGAAATCAGTCCAGCTTCGTAAGGCGGTTTGTGGTGTAAGAAAGGAGGTGATTCCTCCTTGAAGATTAACCATGAAACCTCAATCAAGAGTGTTTATCTTTGGCCTGATCGTCGTCGGAGCCGCCATGCTCGCCATCGGAATTCTCATCGGACAATTCGGGATCCCTGACGGTTCTTGCTCTGCCTCATCATCGCCATCGACCAACACACCAAGTGAAAATGAAACCATCAGTGTTCTCATGATCGAGGAGTGCCAGGCAGAAAACATTGAGGAACATGTCAGGTAAATTTTATTAAATTAACCCAACGCAGACATAAAGATCGTGATAGAAATGAAATGTACCATTTCTAAGATGAAGTGCTGTAGTAAGAACAAAAGTACAAGAGGAGTAAGTGCTATTATTCATGTTTGTACTCAATACAATACTCCTTCTTCTAGAAGTACTATTATACCAGGGACAATCCCTACTTGCTTCTGCTTTACTACCGCCACTTCTCTTGGTAGAGGGGGTCGGGGTGTGGTGTGGGTGCTGAGGTAAGATTAAACGACCATGTTTTCAGATAATTTCCCCTCTACTTATGATGTCCGTAAGCGTAGCAAGTATCATAATGAGTAAGAGAACAAAGCCATAGAGTGATGATAAGGTGTGGTCAGCGGGTTGTGAGTTTAAACTCACAACTCGCAGGGGTGGTGGGGTCGTATGACTAGTACTACCGTTATTCTTTAGGTTGCCTTTGTCTTTCCCTTTCTTTCTCTTACTCTATTTGCCCCCCCCCCCCTTCCGCCCCAATCCCTCTAATATAGGCCTAGTCATATTTTCCTGGCGGAAAGCGCCATACATGTAGGTCCATCTTTATATAAAACATAAGGCCTCAGAAGTCTTCAGAAGGCTATGCAAGTTTACTTACATATTGCTCCAGTTGTCTCATTTTCGCCAGCACAAACGTAGCTAGTTCGCGTATATAGCAGGCGGCAATCGGCGGATCAGACGACACTTGATAGTGATTTTGTATATGTGAGATTGCTTTGCTAAATATAAAATACAAGAATCATTTCCATATCTTTAAACTATCATTGATATCTGATAATTAAACAGTTAGTAAAATAAACCTACCAAACTACATAATACAATGAAATACTTGACTGAAAGTAGGGGAGTTTGATGTGGTGCACAATTGCACCCCTCTGTTAATAATCGAATAGTCTATGGTGTTGATGAATATTCATGTTTTTGCTTACCTCGGCAAAATGCTTGCCTATACTAAATGGAAAAATTACTGTGGGGGGGGGGGGGGGGGGGGGGGGTTGGATGAAATGGACATAATGAACAAATCAGAACTGATCTATGATAATTCACGCTTCTTATCCTTCGTGTGCTTGACTTATAACCTTACAATCGCGTGGTAAATTGAGTCCAAAGTTAGACATGTTGTACATGTGTTATAATTATAGGCATTGGCGAGCTTGCAACCTATTTTGATCAAATTACGGTGGGTGAACTTTCAAAAGTCAATGGGAGATGAGGGTTCCAATGAAAGAGCTAGTGATAACGTACGCCGGGGTGGATGTGCTTTTCGTTTAAACAATAATGAATTTTTAACGTTTTTTTTTGTAAAAGTCCATAGGCTAACGTACATGTTAGGCTGTTGGATTCTGCCGATAGGGGGCATTCTCAAATGAGAATTAACGGAGCTATATGGATTGTGATTTTGAACAAGGGAGAAAGTATTATACATGATTATTAATGACCAACGGAAGCAGGACTGCCGGTTGAAATGATTATATCCTGGGATGTTGATAAAAGTGAGCTTTGATGAGTAAATGCAGAGGTGGGAAGGGGGTAACAGTTGAATAACATCTCAATTACTAGTGTTTTGATTTAATCCACACACGAATATATAAGATGAGAAAATCCACTTCGACGTGATTGGTTTATTATTACAATGGAAAATAGTTAAAGACGCGGCTATATAAGTTTCCCATTCATTGATAACTTTAGACAATTAAGCAGCCGACCTCATTTGGCGGGAACACCAGCAGAGAAGGAGAATGCTGAGATGCTTGTTAGTCTCTGGACTGAGTACGGATTAGATTCGGTTCGGTTACTACCCTATGATGTTCTCTTGGCTTATCCTGATCCTGATAATCCGAATAAGGTAAGGTCGAATAGAATTGTGGTCTAATTTAAATTTATTTAGCACAAGTACAAAGATTTCTTGGTGTCGATATCACTATGTTATAAAAATCAGAGTAATTCCAGGATCATGGGTGAATTTCTAGAGGTACCAGAGGTAATGCCTAGGTCACATTTGCAGCGGCGGACGTGCGGTCTGAAATATCTACGGCTAATAGGAATAACAGGACCGCCGCAGCATTCCCACGCTCACATACGGTAGCGGTCACATACGTTAGGGTAGCCGCACGGCGTATTTAGAATTAGTGGAGACAGAAAATCAGCGACTGCCGTATGGCCTTTGAAGTGATGCCTTAGGTCGTCCCTGCGGCGGCCGTAGCTTTTTTGACAAATACTAAGGCAGACGCAAGGAGCCCGCAAGGGGTCGAGCGGGGACCATACGGCGACCGTGCGGCCAGACTGATGCTACCGCTTCACCCCTGGAGTATATAAAACGCAAGGCTGTCGTACGCCTGACGTACGGTCACAATGGAACCGCTCTACGGCATGGATACGGCGTGTCTAATTGCTAAGGCCAATCTAGAAATGAAAACAGTTATAACTCCGCGTTATAATCCCACGGCGACCAGTACGGCCTGTAAAGATATAGGGATACGCCCGAGGGTGATCCTGAGGCCACCGCAGGTTCTCTGTGGCCGCCGCAAGTATCTGTCAATTTCGGGGGCGTATTCGGCCGCCGTATCCTAGCCGTAGAGCAAATTTGAACTAGGCATTAATCTCTATTTTATTCAAAAGGTAATGCGCATTCTTTGTTTCGGCTGTTTTTTTGCTCAACACTTCTTCTTTCAATTTCCTGTTATTTTAATTTTTTATATTTCTTGGGTACGGTAAAGATTTGTTACCCTCTCTTTCTACAATATCTTTCTTCTTCTCCCTGCCACGCATATTCCCTTTGCTTAGTCCTGTATTCAGCAATCAGTTCAATAGTATTTCTATGATCCTATTTTACAACGACTTAAGGTGATGATAACTGATAATGGAGTAGCTGTCTTCACCAGTGCTTTAACTGAGGCTGTTCTTCGACCTGAAGATAATAATACAGATGTTGTGCCACCATTCAATGCATACTCAGCACAGGGAGAACCAGAGGTACGTTCAATACATGATCCATTCACTTGAACACGAGTTCAACACTCATTAAATACACTGGACACTATAGAGTTAGTTAGCTTGATCGAGATGTAAATCTACCCACAATTAGTGCTCAGTGGATGTAGGATACATGTTAATGAAGAAGAAAAAAATCGTTTATCTGTATAAGTTTCCTCTTTTAGAATGCAAATCAAAATGTTCAATGAATTGACACATTTTGTAGAAAGTTGATACCATGCGTAAAAAAATAGTGTGCTAATATTGTTCTATTCAACAGGGCGTCCATCCATCTTTAGGATAGGAAGGGGGGAGGGGCAAATCTATTCTTCGTAATTTATTATATGCTCTGTGGCATTCACAACTAAAAGCTAAATTTCCCCTCCGGTTCAATGCCTTTGTTTTTTTATGATTTTGTTAGTGATGATTTTACTCCATATGAGACTTAGAGCTATCACTTAATGCCTTCGTATATATACTCTCTCATCATAAAACAAGGTCTATATGCAGCAGAGGGGGCTGCATTTATTTGTTCGTCCCCCAATTTTGTTGACTACTTTTTTTTCAGGGGCCTCTTGTATACGTCAATTATGGTACAGCAGATGATTTTGACTGGCTAGCTAAGAACCGACCAGATATTAATATCAACGGGTCAATCGTCATCGTCAAATATGGAAATAACTTTCGTGGACAAAAGGTAAGATATTTTGTCGATATCTATACATGATAATTGTCTTCTTGTGTAGCAAACTAACAAAATTAAAGATCACAGAAATGGATTAGGCTGTCACTAGCTGTTACAAGACCTATCGGGTTGTTCGAACCACTGCCATGACGTCACTAACATCATTTGGCTCTCTGGACCAAATAAAATAAATACGCATCAATATACATGTAAATACATGATTGAAACATTATTCCTTTCCTCATGCATTAGTATTTTTTCTTCTCTCTCTCTCTCTCTCTTTAATTTGGACAGGTATTACACGCTCAATTAGCAGGTGCTATAGGAGTTATCATGTATTCGGATCCGAACGATTATGCCCGTGATGGCTCTGAGGCGGTCTATCAGAATGATTGGTGGCTACCGGATACTGGAGTGCAGAGAGGGACCGTAAAGGTTGGGAGCCCAGGAGATCCGATTACTCCCGGATATCCTGCTAAACGTAAGTACAGTACTTGCCAAAAACTTTCCGTTCAGGAAACTGTATACCAGAGCTGGTATTTAATCCAATACTTACGTCGGAAATATACAGTTTACTGAACAGCGAGTTTTTGGTAAATAATGGTTCATAATCATACAAGTCATGTAGCATAAGAAGAGTACATTTCGTGAGTCAAATCGATCTGGATGTTCAGTTGGACCCCTACACGTCGTCATCCCTTCTCTTGTACGGTTAATGAGGTGGGTTTTTAACGGAGGATGTAGTGGATGTGTACTTATCGTGCTGAGGAGGTGACTCCCCTCAATACGGGGCCTCCATTTAACCTCCTATCCGAGGGACGTCGTGTTTCGCACTATAACGTATTCCCTGTGTCTATGAAACCGATTAAGTCTGGCTTGGATTCTTATGATTTAGTGACGCCAAATACTTTACAACGAAGATAAAGATTAGAGAGAGAGAGAGAGAGAGAGAGAGATGGGGGGGGGGGTGAGGTAATGCGGTGCAGATGACAGGCCTATTTATTTCCAAGCGCATTTTTTGGATTTCATTGTTTTAGTTGTGTTTCAATATTATCCTCGTGATAGCTTTTTAAAGAATAATATAATTATGGCTTTCATCTTCTATATCACCAGCTTATATGTACCGGTTAAACGCATCGGATCCCTCTTTGCCCACTATCCCGGTTCATCCGATTTCATACGGTGATGCGCAGCAGTTGTTGAGGTATGTAGGAAAGGTGTTAAACTACATAATATTGTCTCTTTCATTTCCTTTCCTTCTCTCCCTCCCCATCCGTCTTCACCCCCTCTATGTTCCCCCCATCCCTCTCACTCTCTCTCACACTTCCCGACAGCACGTCCAGCTTCTCTAATGAGTGTTTACTGTACCAATAGCTACGTTAAAACAATAATGTTTTCAATAAAATAACAGAATGCCAATAACAAAATTTAGAATAGACACTAGCCAAATGACTGGTGCCATATGCCCCACCCCCACCCCCCCCCCCCAAAAAAAAATAATAAAACTTGTTGTCATTGTTATATTTTTCCTGTTTCATGCTTTAACTCGATGTGGATGCAGTGAACTTGGAGGTGATGAGGTCCAGAATGCTTGGAAGGGAGGTCTTAACATCACCTACAGATACGGACCAGGATTTACTGATCCTAACAGGTGAGTAGTTCATTAACATGGATTAACTAATCCTAACAGGTGAGTACTTCATTCACACGGATGATTATAAAGACATCGTCAAGAATACCTTTGTGAGGATGGTGTTAACTTTAACTTGCAGTGATGAAATCAGTGAAAATGAATGCGATAACGGACAAACGGAATAACTAACAAAACTTCAGAAGTGAATAGAGACAAAATAGTGATCGTTATCATCAAGCCTTATGCACTGACGTAATTATTGTTGGATGAAAGGTGAACCTCTTCACCCATCTGAACCAAAACCACTCAGTCAGTCTTTGTATACATATACCAATTATCACCTGCAGCTATATACACTATCCATCTCCTCGTTCTTAATTTCTTGGTAGAGACAGTATATACCGGAAAAGATAATTTTCTTACGATTACATTTACATAGATGAATAAACAATATTTCAGCTTCTTCGTCTTCTTCCACTGGAGTACATCCCTCTTTTAATACAGAGTATTGTCGTACTGTACTGGGGTGTGCATGTGGACCACTACACCGGGGTTTCCCCCTACTCTTATAAGAATAGTGCAATGGGCAAAAGGCGGTGACTCTCCTCTACACGGGGCCTCCATTTAACGTCCTATCCGAGGGATGGAGTGTTTTCTACTTAACATAGCCTGCGTCTATGAAACAAGGGGAGGGGCACGTCAACACCCACGAAGGTTTCAGTCTTCCGACTGGGTGGGATTCGAACCCGAGATCTTTGGTTCGACAGGCAGACGCTTTACCGACTGAGAAAACTCGCCTCCGTTTCGGCAAAAATATTTATGCTACTTTTCAATCTATTTATATTGATATTCAGAAAAGTGAAGATGAGCATACAAACTTCAAGAGAGATTCGAACCATCTATAACGTAATCGGTGTGATCAACGGAGCAGTTGAACCAGGTGAACTATATATTTGCTTGGATGTTTAAATCATAAGTAATAATATAATTTGATATGTGTCATTCATTATTTAACCTAATTATTATTTTTGAATATGAATGGAGTGATGATCGTGGATGATAAACATATTAAAGTATGAATGGAAGATTCGTTATTATACAGCAGGTTAGAAATGTTTATTCTCTCCGATATCTATCCTCCAGATCGGTATGTGTTGCTAGGCAACCATCGTGATGCCTGGGTTTATGGTGCTGTAGATCCATCTAGTGGTACAGGTATTCTTATGGAGACAACAAGGGTCTATTCACAGATGCTCAAAATAGGTGAGTATTCCAATTATTCATAAGTCCGTAATTATGAACTATTTGAATGTAAGATAAATACTCAAAGGGTGGTTTTCTTAGAGGTACACTACCTAGCTTTAAGTCTCTTAAGGGAAATTGTCCTTATATGTGATTGGGGGGGGGGGGGGTACAGACACGCAGTAATACACATTAGGATACTCGTCAAAGTATATTTATTGTTATTGTAAATATTTTATTTACCTTTTTTGTTTTGTTTTGTGTACAGGTTGGCGACCACGAAGATCTGTAATGTTTTGCAGTTGGGGTGCTGAGGAGTATGGCTTGGTCGGGTCTACTGAGTTTGTAGAGGTAAACGTATTTACAAAACCTCTGCCCGCTTAAACTTATCCATGACCCAAACCATCACCATAATTATCTATCTACTGTACATATGTTCTACATGTATTCATGTATCCACTATTCGCTTCCAAATGTGTATATTAATCGGTCTTCTCGTCCACACGTATCTATCTAACTTTGTAAAGCATGTCTCTTCATTAGTCATTCTTTTGTCATGTTTGTGTAACTTACAACTTCATTATAATAATATTTCCATTTGATAAACAATTTTGTATCTTGGGGATTGTTTTTACGATATAGTGAAAATTGATTATTAACGACATTATATGTGTTTCTTTTTTAATTTCCAACAAATATAAACAGGAATATCAGAAGATACTTGGTGAGAGAGCTGTGGCCTATATCAACATAGATAGTGCCGTGGTGGGGAACTTTACATTTGGGGCAAGAGCAACGCCTCTTTTACAGCAGGCCGTTTGGGATGCCGCCAAAAAGGCAAGTCCAAAGATGATAATCATTGGATTAGGTTCGTTTGTTATCTGATAATCAAAATGAACTTACGATTTCTGAATATTGTTTGATAAATGTGTATCAATATTTGTGAAAATTTCATACCAATGTTCTAACTCTAATTTCCGTCTTATTCATCTATTCTCCCCGACTCCTTTCCTCGCTCTCTCTCCGATTCCTCTCCCCCTCTCTCTCTCTCTTCCTCTTTCCCTTTCTCTCTCCCCTCCCTCTCTCTCTCTTTCCCTCTCTCCCCCTCTCTCTCTCCCTCTCTCGCTCTTATTTCCCTTTATCTTTCTCTCTACCTCTCTCTTCTCCCTCTCCCCTCTCTCTCTCTCTCTCTCTCTTCTCTCTCTTCTCTCTCTTTCTCTCTCTCCTCCTCCCTCTCCCTCTCTCTCTCTCTCTCTCTCTCTCTCTCTCTCTCTCTCTCTTTCATGTCTAGGTCCCTGATGGTGAGACCCAGGAGCGCTCAGCCTATGATGTGTGGCTGGAACGCGTTCCTGATCCGAGGACCGGAACGCCTTTGTAAATATCCGTCTAAAATATTTTACTGGGAAGATACACAAGAATACCTAATGGGTGGATTCAGTTTCCCTATTAATTCCCCTCAAACAATACCTTTTCCGTACCCATATACTTGTAAGAGTTACATAATTTGTATAAAGAACTCGTCTTACATGTACGTACACCCCCTTACATCCCCGCCTCAGTCTGAGATGAGAAATATTCCCTCCCTCTTCATTTTATAAACACTACAGAAACGTGCCTATAATCAGCAAGTGTGAGGTCATACCTATTTTTGTTTGTGTTTTCAAATATCGTAGATTAGGTCGGATATTTCATTCTTTTTGGAGTCTTGCTATCTTCATTAATGCTCGTATTTCTTACATCTTTATTTCTACTCCTTTAAAAAAAATTGATATACCTGTAGCACGGCAGGGATCGGGTCGGGAAGTGATTATGCTCCGTTTATGCACCGGATCGGAGTCCCTTCAACCGATCTCCTCTACGTCTACGATTTCATAGTAAGACTATTCACTTGAAAGTTAATTTCCTTCTTACACAAGTATGGTTTACATATTAAGACAAATTCAGTAAAGAGAACGCATACCTTGCAACAGAAAGGGAATTGAAAACCCACACAGTACTGTGTGGGGAACATCATAAACAAATTGTTTGCATAGTCAGTTTGTATTTAGTCAGTTTGCATCTAGCCAGTTCGCATCTAGTCATTTTGAGTAGGAAAGAAGATGCTGTATAAAGGTTGGAGTAGAAGGAGAAAGTTATCATTTCTTGCAGTGTGTTCTACTGAAAAGGGGCAGAAAAATAATAATTAGGCGATGGGGAAACAAAAAATGTAATACCCAATTTTTGTTTGAGTAAGGTTAAAGATAAACTTTAGTACTGGTAATGCGATTGCATTGTGAAAGAAAAGGTGTGAAAGGATCAGAAACAGTTGATCATGTAGCATGTAAGTATTGGTGTGCACTGCAAGGTTCTGGAGTCATCAAAATCATAATAAATTTGACCGAGTCTTGGTAAAGTAACAAACACTCACATAGAAAGCTATATATGGGACAACACACATGGTGTCGGGGATGGTACTACCTTGGTTTCCTTGTCTTTCTATGCTCATTACTCAGCCAGTATACATTTTCTTCCAAAATTGTTTGGCACATGTCATTTATTTGTAATCTTGAACATTCAGTGTAAGTTTCGTTTGATTCAGTGAGAATTAATTTTTTTTTTTACCATTACTGGAGTTTATCTTTAAGCTACGGTCACAAAGGTTCGTACGAACGATGCGTTCGTACGAATCTCCCTGTTCGTAGGAATTCCAGAGTTCGTAGAGATTCTTAGATGGGACATAGTTTCTTACGTCCTTCTAACGGACTTCGTTCGAACGCCATTTAATTTTTCGTTTTTTTTCGTAAGAATGCCTTGAGTTTTTCTTATTTCGGACTTACGGCCATCTTACGAGTTTTTGTTCTCACAAGATGGTCGTATGTGTAACTGACGGCATTCTCAAGTAATTCGTAATACTAAGAAGATTTCACGATTTCTAAAATATTTTGTCTGGTTGCAAAAAAAGCGCTGCATAGATTGCATAGGATGTGTATGTACACCTTACGGGCATCTTACGAACGCCTTACGAACACCAGGAGTCGTTCGTACGAAAGCCATACGAATCTCCGTTAAGGCGTTCTTAAAGGTAATACAAAGTTTTGGGAAATTTTGAAAATTGGGTGGATAGTGATTCTTTAAAATTTAAATATATTTTGATGCCCCTGTGGATGCATTATAAGTACCAGAAAGTTTAGCCTCTAAAACACTTCTGCTTTCGAGAAAAATTGAATATAAAAATTTACCGGTGCTCCCGGTAAATTTTGATAAATTTCAAATAGCGCCTACGGCCGTACAATGGTAGCTGCGACCATGAAAATCTCAGAATATGTAGATGTGACATATAACTTCCAAACGAGAATAGCAAATTGGTCGATTTTAGTCAAGAAACATTGTTTAATATTAATATTTAATATTTAATACACACACACACACACACACATTGTTTAATAGCTTAATTAATATATTGCCGTTGAGAGGGAGCTATACAACAAAAAGAGTGTATTATTTATAATTTCATAGCTTTAGACTCGATTTCAACCGCGACAACGATCATTGAATATTGTAGGATCGCATATGCTTCCAATATGTTCATTTGAACCAAATTCATGACCCCATACCAAAACTTTGTATTACCTTTAAGAACGCCGTAAGAGCCCTCTATGGACAACTTCAGGCGTTCTTCAGATCATCGTGAGAAATTTGAGGCTTCTATAGAACTGTCTATCGATCCTACAAAATGTACGAAGAACTTGCGTGGTTCTTACGTTGTAATTACGACGTTCGTATGGCCGCCATACGAAGAAAGAGTTTCGTACGAGGTTGAAAAAAATCTTGGACAAGACCATCGACCAACCTGCGAACTTACGAACGGTTTACGAACGTTAGTTTCGTATGGCCTTCTTACGAAGATCTTACGAAATTGTCTGAACATCGTTCATACGGCGTTCGTAGCAGCTCGTAATGGTATTTGTGACCGGGGCTTAAGTTGCATTAATCTTCGTTTCGTTAGTGAGATATTCTTTACTACGGTTGTATACGCGAAATGATATCTTTCCGGAACTATGTGTTCTCCACCACCATTTCGAAGATTAATCAGGACTTTGTCTGAGAGAGAGAGAGAGAGAGAGAGAGATACTGTATGTCGGTCTTTGTATTTGCACTATTCTTAAAGTTAAGTTATACGTTATACAGTATGCCACTACTACGACATCACTCATGTTCATCATAGCTATTACAAAAAAAGTACCATGGTAACCATGATTATCACGGTACCAAAACAATGAAATACATTGTTTGATGACCCTATGTATTTCATTGTTTTGGTACCATGATAACCATGGTTACCATGGTGGATGGTAATTTGGACAAAAAAACATGGTTACCATGGTACTTTTTTGTAAGGGAATTATACTGTATAGTAACTTAGAAAGAGAGAAATGGTTTTCAGATAGTTTTTGCAATTTTCTGCCTGTTTCAGAGATTGGGGTTGTCGTCTTATCCCGTCTACCATTCCGTCTATGAGACCTTTTACTACGTGAAGAACTTCTTGGATCGGAACTTTTGGCGTCACCTAACCGTTGCGAGAGTTTATCTCGAACTCTCGCGAGATCTTGCAGACTCCGTGATTCTTCCATTCGGCTGTGCGGACTATGCCGCTAAACTACAACAAGCTGCACAAGGCTTGGAGAGAAATTTTGGAGTTAAACTGACACAAAATGGCGTCGTATTGGGTAAAACGAATTAATTATTCATGAATAAGAAGAAAAACACTTTAAAATTGTGTAGCAACTCATATTACTCCCGATTAAAATGACGGACAACAAAATAAAATGAGATTGTGCTTCACACTTTAATGAAAAATTAATGTAGATGTTAAGGTTTCGTTAACACTTATTGTTACCTTCCTCAGTCATTCAGATTCTAAATGTATTTTAAAAGTAAAGATCACTTTAAAAATGACCAAAATCAACCAGATCGTCTATGTTGTCGTATTTTGGTGGGATAAGTTTCGTATTTGCAATACATCTAATTTTGTTCAAGTAGTGCACGTTCTACTCATGTCATGTTCGGTTAATTTCCCAACTATATAGATTGACAGGCAGAACTTACACATTCATATTGAATCTATCAATGGAATGCATAAATAATTATATCAATGTGTCGAATTACTAATGGTATACAATGATTATCAGTATTTTAGTAACCTGTTTCCTCTCCTACAGATGACATGAAATCAGCTCTGGATAATTTCACCGAATCCGCGCAGAATTTTGAAATGGAAGTATCTGATATCGATTTGAACGAGTAAGTACTTCTTATCCCGACGACGTTAACGATCAGTTGACTATCATATCCCTTAAAAACGTGAACAACTGCTTACCTTGGACATCTACTTCCGTAGGATAACAAATCATATTGGATAACTGAATGGATAACTGTCTTTGTGTACTTATGGATGTTCTCATCTTTTGAAAGCAACCGCAATTACATTTAAAAATAAAAAATTGACATTTCTTCTTCAGTAAGCCTAGTCCTGTCTTACTTTGTAAAGTGCATTTTCAGTCACGGTTTTTAACTATATGCATTAAGTTTGTTTCATTTCTCTTATTATATTTATTTACTGCTTATTATTATTATACAAATAATACACAGCAGGAACAAAATGATGGGTATTATATGTTTTATAAGATGATGTATTATTTGTTTTATAAGATGATGTATTATTTGTTTTATAAAATGATGTTATATAACACGATTTTACTAATGACCGGTCATTAGTAAAATAACATGTTGGGCTAAATAAATTCCTGGTCACGTGTATGCTCTCAACCAATCATTGCATTATTATGATCCGCTTCATCATCTTATAACGTATTTTATCTCCTTGTTCTACATCAAGCGCCTATGCAGTAAGACGTGTTAATGATCAGATGATGCAGCTTGAACGAGCTTTCATTGATCCAGCTGGGCTACCAGACAGACAGTGGTTGAGGTATGATCAAAGAAACATAATTTAACCATTCCTCCCCATCATTCTTACATTGATCATTCGTATACCGTCATCATTTTGTAGCTTGACCTACGAATTTATATTTACTCAGGGATACTCATACAGGCATAACACAGACTCAAAAGTCATTGCATGAGGTGGGCTTTATCATGAATTAAGAATTTTGTTTAAAATATTGTATTCTCGTTACTCAATAAAGGACTGGAGGAGAAGGAGGATAACAAGGACAAAAAGAGGGGGTGTGAGTCGGAGGGGGGGGGGGGTGAAAAGTAGAAAGAGATGGAGAAGAAGACGGTGAAGAAGAAGAAGAAGAAGAAGAAGAAGAAGAAGAAGAAGAAGAAGAAGAAGAAGAAGAAGAAGAAGAAGAAAAGAAGAAGAAGATGACAATGAACAATACAAAATAAAAGATAAAAAAGGAGAAGAGGAAGAAAAGGAAGGAGGAGAAGAAGATTGTACTGTACACATAATTATCAATCCCAGTGGATGCTTAGAGCCCCTACCCTTGGTTAAAGCCAAGCTGCCCTTAATCGTTGAATTCCTCTCTACAAGGTATTCATTTACTACACCTGGGTTGCGAGAGGCAGATGTAGATTAATGACTTGTCAAAAGAACCACGGTTCGGTGTCGAACCGTTAATCATTTTATTCCCATCCGGTGACAAATCCCCAACACCGCTCCACATCTAAACAGTTTATCAAGGACCTAAGTCGACTTTTTTCCCATTTCTGATTCATTCACCCAGGCATGTCATCTTTGCACCGAGTAGTGTCGATACGTATTCGGGTGCGGAGTTTCCCGCTGTGGTCGATGCTTTATATCTTATCGACGATGACCCCGATCAAGAGACTCGATGGAATAACGTTAGAAAACAACTAGCCATCTTAACATTCACCATCCAATCAGCGGCCAGTACGCTCAATGACGTCACACAACTTTAACCGGACTGCCTTATGATATCCAATCACTGGCCAGTATACGCTCAATTACATCACACAAATTTAACCGGACTGACGTCATACAACTTAAAATGGTCTTTTGCTGCTACATGTGGCAATGATTGGTCAAAATGCTCACTTATGTATCATAATTTTAAAATGTTTGAATACTCATGGATATTATTAAAGGGGAAGTCCACCCTGAAATTAAGTTAGTTTTAATAGGAGTAGAAAAATGAGAGAAACAAGTCAGTGGAAGTTTGAGCAAATTCCGATTAAAAATAAGGAAGTTAGGATTTTTGAAGTTGTGATCAATCAAACACAAATTGGCAACTCTATGACGTATCATGCGAGCTCAACTTCCATTTGCTCAGTACTAAAAAAATCTAAAATTTTCATTTTCCCTCAAGAAAAATTTCAACCATACATGCACCCTAAATATAATAATTGCAAATATGTTTCTATACTCCCCCTGCAAGGAACAAATATATATTCCGTCATCAATAACGAAGAAAACATGATTTTATGGAATATTATGCACAAAGCAAATGAAGGAGAGCTCGTATAATAAGTCACAGAGTTGCCAATTTGTATTTGATTGATCACAACTTCAATAATTCATAACTTTCTTATTTTCATTCAGAATTTGCTCAAACTTTCACTCACCTGATTTTCTTATTATTCTGCCTCTATCGAAACAAACTTATTTTGGGGTGGACTTTCCCTTTAATGTGGCATGGCATGAAATGTAAATTTCATGTTATAAACTTCATGTTATATGTTATGAATATGCTGCAAACTTTGTTAAGGCCTCCCAACCCCTCCCCCACCCCAATATGTTCTAACCTTTTATTCAGATTATATATTTCATATATTAAAGCTTATCTGCCGTAGTTTACAGGAGGGATTAGACTGCCCTGCAAGGTCACTGGACAGGTGGTTATCTCATCAACTCAGTTCTCAGTTAACATAAGAAAAAGAGGATCATGGGGGACCAATGGTCACCGATTAGGCATTGTTTGTTATATAGAGGGCGCAAGTAGCTACAAGTAGTGCAGTGGGCCTTTAAGTATATCCACTTCTTAAAGTCCTCAAAGCACACCCATAATTACAGAGCAGTGGCGTACGCAGGATTTTTTTGAGGAGGGTGTTTTAAAATTTGGAAATTGTGCCGACCGATATTTCGCTCAGTGGGGGGGGGGGGGGGGGGGTATTTAGAGAACAATTTTGATTTTTTCTCTCAGTGGGGGGAGGGGGGGGGGGTTGTGAAATAACTTTTTTTTTGCCCCCGCCAATGTGAAAATCGCGCCAACCGATGCTTCGCTCAGTGGGGAGGGAGGGGGGCCTATTCATTTTTTTGTTTTCAAAAAAAAAAAATTGAGGGGGGGGGGGTTAACCCCCGAAGCATCCCCCTGCGTACGCACCTGGTACAGAGACAGAGTGGAACCTCATATCTTCTGTACAAAAAGCATGACGCCCCAAAATGTTAGAACAAAGAGGAATGATAGGGCCTGAAAACTACTTGGTAACTTGTATATATATTTTTAATTGTATTTGTGTAACTTTTATATACATTTCAATTCTAGCACTAACGCATGGATGGCATCTGAAAGTACTTTTTATCTTGTTGAAAATATGTTATATAAATGCAAATATCATTATCATGCATAAGATTATGGTCGAATGAATGTAAACTTTTAAACTTAACGAATAATGTTCCTGCATCAGTCGTTACTTATCGATCACAAGTAACTTTATGGTGATTTAAGTTGGTATTTTCTTCTATAATTGTCACCACATTCTGCTTTCATTTAATACAGGATATAATTGATATTTTACTAAAAATAGTTGGAGCGCGGGCAGGTCAGCGAATTGATTCGGAAAAAAAATATATATTAGGAGATAGAAGCCTGCTACATTTTTTCACAAAGGAAGAGCCCTTTACTTTCAGTTGTATTTAATTGATTGTACTTTTTAGTGTTAAATATTTTATTAATATGTTATAATTTATTTAGGGGGAATATCGTCTGTTTTAATATGAATAAATAAGTTAGATTATCTAATTATTCTGGAAGACGCTGTAATCAATTCAAGAGTGAATTCATTCATCTAGAGGGCACGGGCATCAAGGGGTGGGGGAGGGTGGCACTAGTCAAAGTTTTACTGATGAATGACATGTAAATTATCAATGACATTGGTGGGGGGGGGGGCGTGGGAGAATCATTTATTTTTATTTGCTTGTCCTCCCCCCTCTTCATTTCCTTTTCCTTTGTTCTTTTTCTACTTTTCCCCTATTTTTGCAATTTGATGCAGTGGGGAGGGGGGGGGGGGGTACCCCTGTATGCCAATATCACTCATGACGACGAATAGTCAACCTATTTGGAATGTCGAGCCACTCCTACTACCCATCCTCTCTAACCAGCGCTATAGTTCTCTTTATAAGCTCAAAGAAAGATTCCCAACAGTCCTTTTCAGGACTACACACACACTCAAGAAAGAAAAATTACAGACAGTCCTTTTGAGTACTCTCTTATCCTCCCCCTCTCTCACATAAGCCTACTGAATATCACTCATGTTCACCATAACTACAACAAGATAGAAACATAGAAAGAAACAACTGGATTTGATTTCTCAAGGTTGAGTCTTATTCAATTCTTTTAAATGAGCTTTTCTTTGGCCACGATTTGACCATCAGTACAATAGAGAAAATTCAAGATGATGACAAAGATGAAAACAAAATTCATTATAATTTAAGAATAGTACATACAATCAGCTAAACATTTGAATAGCATTCATTAAATAATTCTTGAACAGGTTTTGAACTAATCGAAAGCTCCTAGATGGGTCTCTTTGTCCCATTTTTATTTTACAATTTCTCTGATGCTAAATCCATGAACACAAGTAGGAAGGCAAGTTGAAAAAAACAAAAACATATCAACCACTCATTTCTGTTGTAATATATTCATATCTAAAAAATCAGTACTCGCGCATCTAGTATCTACAATAATATCACAATCATATTAGTTTATATTTATATCTATATTTGGGTGAATATACAGGTATTTTAGACCTCACAATTAAATCATAAAACATACTTTGACAGCATTGTGAAACTATGATATAATATGCAGCCATGTTCACATCACGACACTACGAAATAACAGATTCCAACATTGGGAACAACTCATAAATAGTAGGAAAAAATAATAAGGTGTAAAACTTTAACAGAACGGCAAGCGTGCAACTACAGCAAAACATTTAATATTCAATATTATGGTGTTCTCAAAACCCCCTTTTCAAACAATAATTGTGCATTTCATTCCTTCTCATTTAATGGTTTAGTACCACATCTACCCTAAGAATAGTTTCTGGTGCTTGAACATGCATTTGGACTACGGCAGCATGAAGACAAAAAAACTGGGAATTTCAATATTTGATTGATGTGTAATACATTATATAAGAAATTAATGCATGATTAGATCTTACTAAACCAGTATAACCCAATAGCCAGTTTACATACATTACTGCTAGGAATAAATGAAAACAAATCAAATTTTTTAAAAGAGGATCTGCAAAGGCTTGAGATATTCACTAGAAATATGCAATGGGCAAGCAAATTTTGGTCACCTTGCAGTGTGATAATTGAATTTGAAATGGCTACAGATAAGTTTGATAACTTTGTTTCCTCATTTGGCCTTTGTCAATATGTACTTCAGACTATGACATTGTTCTACAGTAAAATCATTGACAGTGGCATAATCAGCGATACTAGCATCTGAATCATCAGTTTATTATTATTATTATTACTTTTGTTATTTCTCAACAAATATATTGCACAAACTAGAAGAATTAAATTCTAATGATAAACAAAAAAGATTAAATCATTTCTTAACATCTCAAATATTCATTTAGATATTAAAAGCTATCAATTGCAAAGAGAAAGAACTAATAAGGAGAGGAATTTCAGGCAATCAATAATTTTGATTAGATAGACTAAAAATGAAAAACTTAATATATAAATTCTCTGTGTTATCACATTCACTCTGATGTTTTCTATAAGTTTATTTTAATTGTTTATGATTTTAATCATATTGCACAATGTATGTGCTTGTTTTTCCATACATATTTCATATTCTTTCTTAAATTCTGAAATGAGGAAATATGCTATCTACTCAACTCTTTTAAAGCCTCGTAAGAATAAATCCCCATAGAAACTCTATAATTTTCCCATGGAAGAGGTCCCAATTCAGCAAGTAAGCATTATTCTGATACAACTTGAATTCAAAGACACATTTTATGACAATGTCATGCCATGTCCTGGTAAAATATAGAGGAGAAAAGAGGTGGAACAGAAGTATTTATGCCTATGGTATGCCACAAACACACACATATGAAAACTCATGTAGAAATGAACATGAAGACTGTATACATTGATTCACATATCATTTACAATGGGTGTGGATAATCATTTTTTATGCTACACCATGTACAGAATATATTTATTTCCTTACCCTTGTATATCTTACATTTCTATGCATTGATACATAATTTCAACATGGTTTGTAGACATCTGAAAGCAAAACAACATAAGTCCTCAAAAGTTATGACTAGTAGATTAAATCAATTGACAAATTTCTTGTAGATTTAACTGAATTTTTTCATCATTGTAATACTGACAGAAAATTACCAAAGTATGATTCATAACACACACAATATAATAACAAGGAAAATAATATGGTCAAGATAAATACATGTACATAAGAATACTGCTCATTGTTACTAGAATATAAAATGATTAGCAAAACCAAGCAGTTTGTAAATTCCCACATCTCATACTATGTATGATAATGCTCAGAGCATGACCTCTCCAACAAAATAAACTGAAATGAATAAATGAACATTATCAGCTGACCTTAATTAGATAATGATTAAATAATATCAGCAACTCCTTGCAATGATAGGCATGTATTTTTTTATGTTTACTTGTTTCATTTCGGCACTGCAAACGGACATTTGGTGCAAGCTTATCAGCTTAAAAATTATACAAATGTGAGATTCATAACTCATAAATTCAAAATGCTTATGATGCCTTACATCCTTTTTTTTAAACAGATCTGATAACAAAAATGTTGATATTTGAATACAGCATGTTTGAATACAAAAAATATTTAATAAGTTTTGAATACCACAATTAAGTCCTATCTTTGGCCTTCTTAAATTAGAAAGTGAACCACCCTGTTTTAGTCATTAATCTTTGATTTCTACCTTTAAAATAAATAAATTTCAGAGTTATAGAGGATGCATTTCATTCACAGAATACATCTTTTTTTTAATAGCCTTAACAACTTGGGAATACCTTGTAAAATAAAACAACCTCTTGGAAATGAATACAGTGTGAAAGTTACAGTACCAAACATTAACATTTTAAGATACTATGATACATACCTATAATGTTATGTAATCCTAAAATGAAGTTTTGAAATTAGAAAAGAGATAATAAGATGAATACGTACATGAATTCCTCCTATCTGTACAAATATTTCAAATATATATGCATGGACGCAACAAATTTACATCAAGTTATCTTCTTCATGTAAATGCCTTAGACTGGGCCTGCCAGTCTAAGAATCTTCATGGACGACAATGATAGACGGTTAAGATGAACAAGTCTATGTATGATTACAGTGAGGGATATGACATGGTAAAGAATGACTTGTCCTTCTTGGGATACAGAGCTTTGGTCATAGGAATCTCTACTAATGAATGAATGAACGACTAGCTTTACGTCATAAATCAATCTATGTTTTTAAGAAACATTGATTCCTTTTCAATATAAAATGTTTACTAGTAGTGATGGCCTACATTGAAGGTATGAGGGTAGGGAGAATAGAATAACTGGTCTTTCAAAGGAAGGAATGTATTTTAATGATTAAATACAAAAGAATTTACAAGGTGAATGACCGCCTACTTATGATAGCTTTGGCAATCTTTTAAATATTGGATTCAATATCATAATACCTGGCATGCTATTTGGCTAGATTTTATTCAAAAATTTACAACAAAAGAAAGAAAAGAAAAAAGAAAAAAGAACTGGATGTACAATCCAAAGATAACTTGTACCCTCAAGATAGCATTTTTTCCTTCTATTAAGTTGAGTTGGATTGAGAGGATCCATGGTCTATGTTGGAGAAGAGATATTATGATCTTTATCTTATATATTGGATGTCGAAACTCATTAGTAACACCTTATGTACGTGAGGAGTAAACCGTAACTAAGCATTAAATCAATCTGCAAGAAACATGCGTGCTTGGCAAGCAACAATGCTTTATAAAAAAAAAAAACAGAATCAGTTTGTGAAACATTATTCATTATTCATTATCAATTCAATAATCTATATGATGATTCTTAGTGTTTTATAGAATGAATGAATGCAAAGAATCTTTAAACAGCATTGCACAAAACTAACCTGTCCTGTAATGGCATAATATATCTATACACATTTACAACTCTATACACTATATATAGTTTATTTCAAACAAAGAAATATAGTACAAACACACACACATATCTGTTATACATTTGATCATACACACCCACACACTCGAGAAGTCCATTGTTTTTACTTAACACTATTGTATTGAATGAAATGGCAATCATATTTTCATCGTTTGTGTAGTAAAAAAAAAATCAACAATACAGAAGTGAAAAGAAAAGGAAGAAAGAAAGAAAAAAAAAAGAATACTGCTAACGTGTTAATCAAGACCTAGCTCAATCATGGCTGATATATGTCCAAGAAAATATGATAATACTAAAGGTGTAAAAATGCCTTTATAAGCCTGCTGGCTCAATCTGTCAAACAGAAATAAATAGAGATGCCCTCTTCACATATAGACCTACCTTTACCAAAAATTCCCCTCCAATACAAATCACAGAGCACAAACGTACAAGGTTATGAAACAATGTCCCTTTCCCAAGTATCTACAAAGAGGATGAGATTGCTCTAGATAAATCACATATGATTGCATTCTTTGACGTGCAATTATATTTTTGTGCTTTCATATCGACATGCAACTGCTCTACATCTCTTAGAGTGTTCATGGTCGTCATCATCAAACGTCTGCTCCATAAGAAAATAGCAGCTTATCATACTTCAGGTGCCATTGATTATTGCAAGATGATAAAATTGGCTACCATAGTTTTGTGCTGGGTGAGTGAGTGCAAAGACTGCTAAAAGTGACTGCTCTAAATTTCTTTTACTATCGCGATGATCCAAACGGATGCACCTGTATTGCTTCAAAGTTTCATTCAATAACGCTCTCATCCTTTGCTCCATCAGTAAACCTTACTGTATCTTAATGTTTGGGGTAACTTTGACATTTTACAAGAGCTTGATTGAGAGGTGGAATAGGTAGGTGAACCAAAGAAACATTGCAAGTTTGAAGAAAAGAAAAGAAAACATCTTCATGATTCACATACCAATTGAATAATAAATCTATGATTTAGAGACTTTAGAACAGAGATGTCATATTACCAACTGACAGACATGTATACTTGACCTTTTCTCAGCTCAGAGGATAAGGACACAAATATTAGACTTTTAATTTTCCATGAATCATAACAAAAATGAGTGAAACTATAACTATCACTGATAGCTTGATAACTGAACATTCCTTGTTACCATCACATTAACATACTCGCAAGGAGGTAAATAGGATGTTGATATAATAAATAAATGCCTCTGTAATCACACTACTGATTGCATATATAAGAAAAGTAATTTCTCATGTTTGTCCATGAACAGAGGGAAATAAATACACGTCCTTCGCACCATTGTCTCCCCATAGTATCAAAACAGTTGGCAATTAATGTGCTATTCTCCAACACAACGGCAAAATGAATCGACACACTAACATGAACTTTTATCCAATATACAGCTCTATCAAAAGTTTGAATAGAATACTTTTTATTTAATTGATATTGTATTTTTTTTTGCATGATAGCCACAAGCCAATCATGAGCATGGGGAGTAAGACAAAGGTTTGTATATTACAAGGATATGGCTTCACTAGTATTGATTGAAAAGTATAATTACATGCAAAATGCCACGCATTCGTATGTACACTGGTAAATGTGATAAAAACTTTGTACACACTGTTGATTTTGATACATGTAAAAAGACATTCATTTGCAGATTATTCATACTTTTACTGTCATCGTCTTCACAGTTCTCATCGAGCAATCCTCGATTGACCCAAAACTGCACTTGTTTTACATCTTCAGACCGATCTGGTGGTCCAACATACCTGATCTTGCTGAAGGAGAACCAATGCCTAAGTCTGATCAGACCTACACAGAGTGTAATCATTGTCTATGCACATGGGTACAGGAATTTTGGAGAGGACCTTAAGCCGTCTGGTTGCTTACTCTTAGCAGTCAGGTAAAATAACCACCACCACCATATGGGATATTTCAATGAACACATAGCCCTGCCTGCCACTCTATAGAGAAATCAGAAAGGGAAGAGAAGTATGCCCTTTTTCTTTATGGCATGGGAATCGATCAATCATATCTGCATTTCGGTACTCATGTTCATCTGTCCTATTATATATTTTTCATATTTTAGAAAGTTGTATTTCAAAGTTTAGCTTTTTCATTGGCCTAGGGTTTAATAGCTGTCAAACTGTTCACAGAGATTGGGACATCTAGATGGTATGTTCCCTATATTTACCCCCCATGACATGGGTAATGAAAGCACTTTAGGATTTTATTTCCATAAAACACAGAAGAAATAGACTTCTTAAAACCTGGGGCAGGATTGTAACAGGATTTTTTTATTTTTCTTAGAAATGAAGTATCTCTTGATTAGGACATAATCCATGTGCATTGACAATGATAATCATGTGGAACTCCTAACAGCTCGAAGTCCCTAACCAGTGTGGACAGTGAACGAGGCAACTGCATGCTTCCATGCCTGCGTCTTTGCTCTCTCTCCCTCTCTCTACCTCCCTCTATCTTTCTTCTTTGTCACCTCTCCCCTCTCTCTCTTTCTCTTTTCTTTTCCTCTTCTTTCTTCTACCTTTTTATCTTCTCTCTCTCTCTCTCTCTCTCTCTCTCTCTGTGTGATGGTATCCTCCATAGCAACGGTCACACACTCACTCACACTCCTGCAGAGAACACGTGATCTGAAGCAGATATGAGGTCAGAGGTCAGACTGTAGAGGAGTCAGGTCTTGCAGCAAGGTGGACCTTATTAGCTGCTCCATCTAACACTACCTTCTCGGCTTCAACCATCTATAGGCACACAAGGAATAAAGAGAGAGAGAGAGGGGGAGAGAGAACATAATGGATTCATCAAGGTCTTCAGGAACATAGAACAATACTTATGAACACATTCACATTTAAAACTTCTCTGAAACTACTAAATTTGTAAGAAAACTTCATATCGAGGGGTCAGTGATACAAAGACATAACTCCATTTTGGGCATTTTGAGAAAAAGTGGTTTATTAAAGAGTTCAGTCTATGTTTCACTAGCCATTGACTTCAATGGGGTGTTGGGAGGAGTTAAGTCGGAGTTAAGTCTTTGTGTTTCCTGGGAAGCCCACATTTTTCTGAACATTTTGATATCAAATACTCATTTTGGCAACATATGGAGTTACGTTTTTGTGTCACTCAACCCTTGATATGGAGTAACACATTGTTCATCAACTTAAGGATTTCCATATACATTTGTAAGATTTCTTACTTCTTGTAAGTGTGAGGGAACAAATATATCTAACCTTCTAGAGTAAATGAAAACTTCTCCACAGGAATTAAACGTAGTGATCTTTCTTAATTTTCAATCGATAACTGCTTAATCACCTGACCTTATGAAAGACATATAACACTCTGTCAGAGTTTAACACTACATACTACAAAATGCTTTTTCATGCAATACATTTAAAATATGACAGAGGTCATGCAAGACAAAAAAAAAAGAAGAAGTAAGTTTGACTGTTTCCATCAAGTTCGGGGTATTGTTTTCTACCTTGTCAATTTCTTTGCGTAGTTTCTCCATTTGTTTGCTATGTTCCTGTTGTACTTCCTCTTTCTCTTTGTCTTGTTTCATTTTCAGCTGGTGGTTACAAAAACAAAAGATTCATCAATATTAATAATAATAATACTCAGTTCTTTTATAGCGCATAACACATTATAGGATAGCATGTCTCTATGCGCTTTAAATAGAAAGGAAAGAATTAAAATAGGATCCAAACTGTTAAAATACACACAACCTATTCCAAATGATGTTTAAAACATATGTAATATTAAACCTCATTCAAGAAGAATTACTCATTGATAACTTTTTGGAAGCGGTGGATAAAAACATATCTGTCATCACAGCTAATAATCAAGAAGATTAAAGTCATACCGTCCAACCCTTCAAGATTGCAAATCAAAAACATACATTTATGTATAGCATCTGATGAGTGTTTGAATTCCTTGATAAAACAGAACTCTCTAAAGGTTTCTCATTAATCCCTTAGGTTAATTAATCATTTCTTTTTCTTCTTTTTCTGGTCCCTATCATTCATTCAAGATATTTGTTAAACATACATTTATTATTGTTATATTACTGTATTTGAACGTTTGGATAAAAAAACCTCAACTCATATATATATATAGCACATGAACATTTTACAGTCTGTAAAAAATAATATTTCTGTCATATTCACAAAACTTATAAACACTGTTGAGAAATACGTCAAACCAAAACATGAAATTATGTTCATTCATATTAATACATACCCTTTTCCTCTCTTCCAAGAATTTCTTTGTGTTATTACTTTGAAGCTCCCTTACTCTCCTGCAACACAAAACAAATATGAGAAAAATATATATCACCATATGCACATAAATTTGTATTATCGAAAAAGAATAAAATATAAAAGGAGGCATAAGTTATAAGAAGTGTCATTAAATGATCATACTTTTCTATTTTACGAAGAGAATTGACTTTTTCTCACCTGTCTCTCTCTGCTTTGTTCTTGATACTTTTGTCATGGCTAACACTTTTGGTTGATTCCATGGAATCCTTGGCTTGATTTGACTTGAGCTCCTTCATTTCTCTGCAGAGGAAAAGAAATAATAATAACTATAAACATTTAGAAGGAATTCAAAACTATTTGAGTGCACCATGGTGAAAGAAAGAAAGCTAATTGATAGACAACAAAATATTTTCTGTCACAATATTTCAAAAAATGTGCAGGAAATGTGGTACGGGTGCAACGCCCAGAAAACAATGCAGTATTAGAGAATGTAACACTGATGGGACCCCATTGCATAATACTTGCAACTGATGGTGATATTGCCTTTAATATCAAATACCATGGCAACATCACTCAACAGCCAATAGAATCAATGTATCCACCAAAGTTACCATCATTGGTAAGTTTTATGGAACGGGGCCCAGGTAGCCATTCTTCCTAATAAAGGACTGATATCTGGTGATGGTTTTACAATGTTCTATGTTTTAATCATTTTTCTAATATGGGTTCGGAACAGGGATGCATCAGGAGTCACATTCTGGAGCTTGTGCACCCCTACCCTGCTTTACTAATCCCCAGACAAACAAGGAACAATTGGTGATGGGATGGAAATATTTTTTCTCCATAAAATTTGCAAACGAGCCACAAGATTAACCAAAACGGAATAGGGATGCATCAGAAATCACATTCTGGAGCCAAACAAACGACAAACAATTGGTGAAGGGAAATAAACGAGCCATAGGATTAACCAAGATGGAATAGGAATAAGTTTCTTACCTGTCATTTCTAGCCGCTAGGAGCTGTAATTGTTCCTCTTGAGTACTGAGCATGAGTTTCTTGAGAAGGTCACATCTCTGCTGGATGTGGTTATCTTTCAAACTCCTCTCCTCTGCTTGCTGACGATTCACCATCTCAGCAAACTCCTTGCTCTGGTCCGATACTACGTCTCTTACCTGTACCAGAATATATGAATAATAATAATCTTAAATCCTATATGCACTAGTTTGGCCAGAAGGGATTAGACCTCCCTTCCTTGTTACTTGCGGGTGGTTATCTCATCACATCAGCTCTCAATTAACATAAGAAAAAGGGGATAATGGGGGATCAACAGGTACCGCTTAGGCATTGTTGGCTATATAGAGGGCGGAAGAAGCTACCAGTAGTGCAGTCCTGCTTTAAATAAGGTCATAAGAGAATTAGCATTCTTAATTTATACTACAGGTTATAAACTTATATAGCATGCTCATATACACCTGCCATTAAAATGATATGGTTAGAATATGGGATGGTATTTTCCAATACGACCACTAGCCAGATAGAATCAGTGTACCAGTAACAGTACATTTGAGAAAGCAGTATACCACCTCCTTAACACTCATACCCATATATTGTATGGTCTTCTGTAGAATTAATATTAATCGATTAATATTTAATTGTTTGGTGTCTTATTAAGACAAACAAAAAGAAAACAAAATGATTAGTTGAACAAGGGAAACGCTCTCGGCGGTCTCGCCTGCATAACGCAATACAATATGATAAACCAGAACGTCAATGACGTAGCGCTCATCCGCATCTCGCAACAACAAATATCGTAAATTTTATGTAGTACACTTTTGAACTGGTCAAAAAATTAAAAAATAGTGTGCCAAATTAAGCTCTACCAGATAAGGCAAACCAAATCAAAATCGGTCAAGAAATGAGGGAAAAGAAGCAATTTTAGTTATTTTTGGAATAAATTTGCATAAATTACCATAATTAATTAATGGAGAACAATTTCAAAATTCTGTGTAGAAGTTTAGTGTACCAAAGTTAGCTGTACGATATAAAGCAAACCAAATCAAAATCGGTCGAGAAATGAAGGAGAAGAAGACTTTTTTGTGATTTCGAATAAATTTGCATAAATTAGCATAGATAATGAATTTCACGATTCTGTGTACAAATTATAAATCCCTTTCCTAGCTCTATCATATGAAACAATCAGAATCAAAATCGGTTGAAAAATAACGAAGAAGAAGCATTTTGAAAATCTTGATGTTGATGCCACAACAAAGTCTAAGTTTGTTGACCTTAAATGACCTTTGACCTTAACTTAGTGACCTGAAATTCTACTCACATAATTGGGGCAACTTGATAACCCTATAGTCCAAGTTTCATTGACTAAGAACTTATACTTTCAAAATTATATCAAAAATTCAAAAACTTAACCTTAGGTTAAGTTTTCGATGATGATGCTACAACATAGTCCAAGTCTGTTGACCTGAAATGACCTTTGACCTTGACTTTGTGATCTGAAATTCTACTCACATGATTGGGGATACTTGATTACCCTATAGTCAAAGTTTCATTGACTAAGAACTTATACTTTTAAAATTATATCAAAATTTCAAAAACTTAACCTTAGGTTAAGTTTTTGATGTTGACGCCGCCACCGCCGTCGCCGTCGCCGCCGCCATCACCGTCGCCGCCGCCGTCACCGGAAAAGCGGCACCTATGTCTCGCTTTTTGCTACGCAGGCGAGACAAAAACTAAGTACTTGTGAATCTTACCCTTGCCTTGTGTTCATTGACTAATGATTGTACATGGCACTCAGTTTCTATCTTCAGATCTGAGCAGTTGCTTTCCCTGTATCAAGATCAAAATAATATAGTGTACAGTGAATGGGGAAACAGATATACATAATATTCCTCACAAATCTGTTATAAGGCAAGTAGTATTGTGGATAAATCTATTATTTTTGTTATTTTTGTTCATCCAATATGTCATGATCAATTGACACACAGATACAATTGTGACATGAAAGAGAATGAATGAAGCTAGTCTGCCAGTGACATGTACAAATAAAAAAGGCTATTACATTATTTACACATCACTGTAAACAAACAACCAAAATACAAACAAACAAAATAAATAATCTGCACACATGAATTGATAGACAACTAATCTGCTTCATGTATATGTATCATCTTTATTCAGCGTAATAAACAAAGAAGTATAAACATTTGAACCCAGGTGCATGACACGATGTAGTATACAATACACAATTGTGTCACTGGCAGGGTATACAAGATATATACAACATGTACAATATAGGAAACACATAAAGCATGTACAGAAAATAGCTAACAAAATAGTAGAAAGAAAAATACGAAGTTGAGATTCTTCACCGGTAATAAGCAATCCGATTCTAATATATATATATATATATATATATATATATATATATATCTTCAGCGATCTTAAATGCCAGTATAAATAGTAAAAATGTAACCAGGAATAAGTGCATTATGCTTATTTTTGCGACATTATAATAGTTTCTCTGACATCTGACATTTTATTACCATGACAGTGATACTAATAGTTTGTTTTAAGAATGTGGGTCATGATTATTACATCACAATTTTGTGGCTAAATTGTCTTTCTACTTGGATCAATATTACTTAAAAACAAACATGGGAATTTTTGCTTTCCCTGCACACACAAATTGATAAACAATTAAATTGCTTCATGTACTTTTAGTTGGGGGTAGTTTGCAAAGATCTAAGAAGTGGCCCAAGATTACGCATTAATAATTTTTTCATAGAATGTTAAACCTCATACTAGAGTTGGATATAGATGTGAGGAGGGGACTCACCCTTTCTTCTTGATGGCCTTTTCTAGACTCTTTTCTCTGGTGAGTTTCTCTCTATCATGACAAGCCTCCATCTTGTTGACCGTTGAGTAGTGTGTCTTCTGTAATGTGGCCCTCTCCTACAAGAATACAAACAAAAAACAATTCAAATGTTACAAGCCTCCATCTTGTTAACTGTTGAGAAGTGTGTCTTCTGTAATTTGGCCCTCACTTCCAAGAATACAAACAAAAAAAATTAAAATGTAATAAGCCTCCTGTATACAGAGAAACAACTAGAGGCATTTATCAAACTAAACCAGATGAAATACAGTGGTACAGTGTAGTATACAGACTACTCATAGTGTTACTCATTGAGGCTGCCTTTAGATAATTTGACTGCAATGGTTCTATTCGCTACCATCCTTACCATTCTTTATTTCCAAACACATAATAACTGAACTACCAACATACAGAGAGAGCATTTTTTCTGTTCCTTTTCTTTTTCTAAATTAGAGCTTGTATTTCTCGCCCTCTAACCTACATGTATATACCTATGTGTATGTTTTATTTAACTTTGTATGTAAACAATGTTAATCTATAATGTATGTTTCTTTGTAAAATTGTGATTGCTTTTATATATGCACGGTCATGCTGAAGAACAGCCTTTGGCTAAATAAACAAACAAACAAACAAGCATAATTTTTATGTATCATTCAGTTGAACATTTCAGATGAACATTTCAGATCTATATCACCTAATTGCTGTACCCTAAGCATGAAAACTTACTTTGGAATGTCTCTTGTTCAATGAATCTTGCTCTTTTTGTTGTTTCTTCAGCAGTTTCTGATATGCTCTTTCTTTCCTTAGGCTGTCTGCTGTTATGGGCTGAAATCCTACAAAACACATTAGAAATTTGAACACTCAATTATTCATAGATACTGACTGCTACAAATGCTTCATTGCTCATCTGTCGCAGTTGTTCCGATTCTATGGTAGAAGTTGTTCAGCACACTATGTTTGGTGTCTTGATTCTGTTTGCTTTCTATTGTACGTAAGCATAATGGTTATTGATATCACGTGCAAGCTGAATTAGTAAATAGGAAGAAAAATTAGAACACATGCTCAAGCGACACTCGTTGTGTGGTGAATTAATTTCACTAACCAAAGTCATAACTTTAACCTTGCTCCCTAAAACTAACCCTAAACCTGACCTAAAGCCAAAATGCATTCTAAGCTCTACGTCAATATAAAATCCTGAGCATATTTCCAGAGCCAACGTCAAACCACCTTACACAATACCCAATTATAATGGTGCATAGGCCTGTCTTCATCACCTTGAGTTTGCCAAATAACCTGCTAATTTCAGACTCTGGATATTATCCCGAAGCTTAAAAATTGCGTCTTTACCAGACCGATACGCTCATCACAAACTAGCTCGGACCGGTGCAAATCAGCCAGATATTTTGGAAACAAGACCAAGATTTCTCGGGATATTTTCTTGACCAAATATCCCGCTTATTGCAACTGCGGGCTGATGAGGACAGGCCTCAGATATTGTGAAGATAAGTATCTCATGATTGTTAATCTTATCAAGACACCTGTATGATAAGACCACAAACCTTTTTGTTTGTCTTTGCCATCTTGACACCTAGTGATGAAGTTCTTACTCTGGTTATGAGTAGGTCCACCCGGTGAGAATCCACCAATGTTTGGTGCTGTGTTGGTAGGGGTTGTCGGATGTCGTACCGTTGGTCTCTTCTTGTTATTCACTGTGGGTACCTCACTAATCTCATTCTAGGTTTAGTTGGAAAAGAAAATTAATTCATTAATTTATATCCCTTCCAACATAAAACTTCAAAATTTGATAAAGAGTACTAGCAGAATTCCATAAATTCACCATTTAACTCTATTTGACTATATCTCAACTTTTTAAATTTCACTCAAAATAATTTGTATCTATCGTTGTAAAGAATGTATGGCTTTACCCAGTGAATAAAGATTGTGTGCTGGATCTTGTAATTGAAAACAAGTCAGAAATAATATTGAAACCAGCTGGATTTGAAGAATCGCCGCCTGGCAAGCTGTAGATGGCAGGTTCAAATCCCTCTGGTTCAAAGATTTTTTCTGACTTGTTTTTTGTTTACAAGATGAAGCACACAATCTTTATTTACGGTACTGGGAGCAAGCCAATAAATCATTTACAACCATTGATACTTCTCCCAGAAAGCCTAACATTCTCAATATGTATCTACTTCAAACTTGACTACATGCGCATCAAGTCTAAACCTGAATAAAATCTTATCCAACACCATTTTATAAGACTTCAGAGGAAAACAAGCAAGCTGAGATGTTTCAAACAAAGAACTTACCTCTTCAATGCCCATGCATATGAGCTGCTTAGCTCTTTTCTCTGCCTGTGATAGATACAACTGAGGATCTGATAGAGCATCTACAAACTCTGTATATTGAAAGAAGAGAATGAAAGAAAGAAAATTAAATGGCGGCAAATCCATTTAAAGTTGTAACACATATTTCCATTTTGACCCACGTGCTATATTGAATCATGGCATGTGGCAATTTCTTTTTGTTTCGTGCACATCATTTCTGCCACATCATAATGTTCTCGGCTTTCAAAAAGATCTGATTGTTCAATGATAAAACAAATGTGTAGGTATCTTGTCTAACATACTTCCAATGATCTTATCAATTCAATCCAACAAACACTAAGAAATAGCAAGTAATATACAAGTATTCATTGTTTAAAGTGACTCTGTAACATTATTGAAGGTTAATGAAAAAACTGCATACTGTACTAACCCACTAACATGCAAAAAATCCTGAAAAAAATTCTCAAACCACAAAGGTTTTTAATGGTTTTCTTAGAAGGCGTCACGGTGCGACACCTTCTAACAGTAAATTCTCCCAACCATTTTTGAATTTTCCCAACCGTTTTTCCATGATAATAAGACAAAAGACAGGCTTTTAAAAATCTTTCAACACTGGAATGGTATATAGAGCCAATTCGTTGCTTTGTGACAATCTGCATTCACCTAAAAAGTAATTACATTTTAATAATAAAGTTGGGAGAATTAAGGAATCGATCAAATCAGATCTTACCAATTTTTATCATTAATAATGGTCTGTTTTTACTCAAACTTTCAGATTATCTTTATTTGTACATCTAGCATTGAAGTCACTGCATTAGCACCATTTTCTCTCATCTGAACAATGTTACCAAGTCCCTTTAAATACAGATTAGAGTTATATATTAAGAATGGTACTTACGTGTTAAGCCATCTGGTACATATGTTTTGAGTTGAATACAGCAGAAGACAGTAGGCAGTGATAAGGGGAAGTTACCTTCTGTTCTCAGTGATATATGTCTATAACCTGTAACATTGAATAAAACACCGTGAGGAATAGTCAGGAGAAAATGCAAACAAGCACTTGCCAGCTACAAAGCTTAAAAGATTTGTTGATGCTTAACCCTGTAGTAACTAAACCGCCCCTCCTTTTACTCACTGAACGCGCTGTAGTATCTGCTCTATGGGGTCTACCAAGATAATGTTATACGTAATCCTTACGATGTCTACAGTAGGATTCTGCATAGAAAACTAGCGCATGTTTCATATTGTTCAGAACAATGTCAAAATGAGAGCAATATTGCAACATTTAGTGAGTAATAGGCCATTTTTACAAAATCTCCAGTTGCTAACGGGTTTAACTGCATGCTATTATGAATACACTTCTTAGGTGAGAAGAGCATGAGATGAGAGGAGCAATTGTCAAAGATAACAAGATTCATCCTGAATGCCTCCCATGAAAAGCAAATAGATATGTAGTAAAAAATAGTCAATGGCAAGGAATATTTAAGGTATTATGGTTTTATTGTGAACAGTATAATGACAACTTATCCAGGACATTTATATAGACATTAAGGCCCATATTTATATTATCTCACTAAGGCTAGTTTCCAACTATGTACTAAAGCCTACATAATTAGTTGACAACTAGCTTATTTAGGCTTTATGAATATGAGCCCTAAATATTGAAAATATATAAGGAAACAATAATTGGTGATTAGATGCTAGTTTCATCATCTCAATCTGTCCTCCTCCACCACCCAAATGAATTCTCGCTACCCCAAATAGCGATTCTGCCGAGATCCGGGGAAAATCCTGAAAACGCGCATTGCATTATGGGATAGCTTTTCGACATTACAGCTTCCTGTGCAGGCGTTCGTGATCACAACCCTCTCTTTCACGGTAGAGTTTAACAGCCTTTTGTGCTAAAGTCACTAATTCTGCCCGAAGCTTTCCATTGCATATTATAATCTGTACAAATTACACTGATTGGCATCGATTTTAGCGTGCGTGAAAACTCTGCACAGCGAACACAGGCGCTAGCGCCAGCAGGATGGGACTCTATACCGGAAGTTGTAGTGACGACCCGAGAGAGTGAAAATTACCTCGTCTCGCGAATTTCGAGATTTTCGTACCTATTTAGGGTAGCGAGAATTGAATGAATGAGACATAGCATCATGACTTGTAGCATTGAGTATTTTGATGTGTATCTGTTAACCCCTTGACCCGAGGAACCTGGTGGTCTGTGTGTTGCAGGGAAATTCTACCCTGATTAAATTGGTTTTAATAGAAGCAGAAAAGTTTGAGAACAATCAGACAACAAATAAGAACGTTATGAATCTGTCAAAATCATGAAAATCATGGAATCTATGAGACAAATTGGCAATGCGGTCAGAATGTTGTGATGTCATCCCCTCACAATTCACAACTTATCTGAATGACTATAACAAATCCATAACTTTCATATTTATTGTCTGATTTTTTCCAAATTTTCACTGATCTGTTCTTCTCATTTTTCTCCTAATATTAAAACAAACTTCGTATCAGGATCCCTTTAAAGGTACTATGTCCCATTTGCAGGCCAAAAAAATTAAAAAGTTAAATTCCAACTGCATTTGAAAGATAATACTAATTTAGAACTTCCCTAAAAAAGGTGGGGCTTGAAAACGTCTTCAAGTGGGAAAATAACGACTATTAGTTGTCAAATCGACTTTAGGGCTATAGAGCCCAAAAGTAATAGTCTTGATTTTCAGACAATTGTACAGAATGGTCATACGTTTTATGCTGCGCAAAGATTCAATCAGTTTAATCTTGGCCATCACAAGAAGTGGGTTATTGATGTAGACAAATGCTCATGTACCCTTTACAACTCTTTTCATGTATGTTATTACCAAAGAAGAAAAAAGCCAGTCAGTCACTCAATAGTGTCTGACAGTGAAGTCTAGCAAGTAAATGGGTTTCCTTGCATAATTTGAATATGAGGACACTGCTAACGTTTAAATTTCACAGATAGGACATACATGACATATTCATAATTCCTGCAAAGTTCTACAGCATTTGAGGTTGGCTGCAAAAGGGACATAGTACCTTTAAGGCTATCACAATGAGAGAAGTCAGCAGTCAGTGGGTTAAGATCTTACCTGCTTGTAATCCATCCAATGGCAAGATTCTCTGTCCTATTAGTTTACCTCCTTCCTCATACACCGCTATCCTCAATACAGCAAGATCTGGTAGTACAACCTGACAGAAAAAACAAACAAAATACGCTTGCTTACAATATATTTTATCACCTGACAAATTGTTGCAGCGGCGCACGAAACGCCATGATCTTTTGATCCCTTGTTGACCATACACTGCGAGACAAACGAATGTCACTTGCGATATTATTTTTGATACTATATCCGCAATGAGTAATATATTTAGATAACAAAACATAATCATTTCATTTTTCTAACGAGCATATGCTAAAAAGGTCATATTCTTATTCAAGCATGAAGGCATAGCCACACCATAAGTTGATCATCAGGTTAATGTAACTATCATTAATTCATCAACATACCACTGAAGTGTCTAACTTCCTCATCAAACATGCGATAACTGAGTCAATTGTTTACCGGTAATCATTCATTCCATCTGCATAAATTCCTCAATTTCATACACAACTTTTTATTCAAGTAATAAATATTTCCCCAAATCACTTGCATTATTTGTAATCCTCACATAACCAATCCAATCAGTACATTGATTGAACATTTTGATATTTATTCATTTATTTATTTATTTATCTATTTACCCAGGGTAACCCCATCAGTGAATAAAACAATGTCATACTTGGGGGCACTGCAAATGGTACAACAAAAATTACAAACATATACATGAATACAAAACAACAAATAATACAAAGACATCACACCTGCAAGAAATATTAAGCTTTAAAAAAATATTTTTAAAAATGGCCCCCACAATACCATCATTAGATTGCTTAATTAACTGCGAAGACTTACTTTTCTAAAGACAAAGGGTTCTTCATTGTAGACAGGATTGAGTCCGTTATTAGGGACCGTCCTTGTCCTGTGTTCTCTCCTTATTGTGTCCGTAGGAAGACCATACATATCAACTTCAACATACGTGCCCACTTTCTTGTCTGACAAGAACTGTCCTGATATCACCTGCATGAAAGGAATGAAATATGAGCATATATTAGAAATGTCACCAACATGCCTGAAAAATAAGTTGGAAAAAAAATTATCATTTCACCTACATCGAAAGAAAAAAAAGATGATATAATTAAATTTTTCATGATTCCAATGAAATATCAGAAGTAATCATTGTGTAAAAACAATGATTGGACCCCAACAAAATGTTTTATTGGATTATTTATGCACAATCTAATGCAATGGATGAAAATTCCCCCAAAGAATTTCAGTGTTGTGCATTATTGTTAGGACAAAAAAAAAGAAAAGGCAATGATTTCTCTGTTAAAAGAAAACGATGGAGACATGTATGTGGTTGTTATTTTTTAAATTTTTAATTATTTTTATTTTTTGCCAATATATATCAGTGAAACAAAGAATAAAATTCAAAATGGGACTCCTGAACATTAATTTCTGACAATATTTTACCCATTCAAACAGTAACATTTTCGAAAGAATTGAGAGTAGATCATCTAATTTTGTGATTTCCGACTAGGATGTTGGCCGTTCGACAATCAGGTTAATTGCTTATTTAAATCATAAGCTATCACAGGACAGGCTGTTTAATACAGTACCTATTTTGGCCAGCATCATTTACATGCTTTTTATTAGATTTTTTATTACTTCCTTTACTAATCCTACAAGAACGTCAACTGTCAGTCATGAATCTAGCAATAAAAGATACTGCAAACATTCTGATAACTCCTATTGGTAATAAATCAACCACTGTGTAATCCTCATATGTAACATGACACCTTCTATTGCTTCATTGATGACAATGACTTATGAGGGAGAAGAGAGTGGTTGCCTAACCTGCACTGAGCACGTTGCTGCAATCACACCATCCACAGGGGACTCTGAGAAGGGATCAAATGTCCTGTCCGGTCTCCTCATGAAATCTGGCTTGAGTAAATACCTGTCATGAGGAAATCATAAATTGAAACATGAGTCAGTGCATGGGAGCCACAAAATAGTTCCTAGAATAATTATATATTATCATTACGGACAATTTCTACTTCTAATATCCCTTTATTTTCCTCCTAATCCTCAAATTTCATTTTTAGTCTTTTGCTCTTTAGTCTCCTCTCATCTGTCTTTCATATTCTATAATAGGTATATATCTGAACATCTCCATAGTCCCCGACCTGAAAGTCTAGATTTTTAAATCATATGATTAAAAAAAAATGTCACCCACACCGATCATCACCACACCTGCACCCACACCCACTTATCTACCCTCACATCCACTTCCCCCCTACACCCACTTCATCAACTCCCCATCCCCTTCCCAAACAACCACATCCCCCCCCCCCCCCACCGCCGCCGCCTCCCCCTCCATCAACCTCTCACACCCCTCTACTCACCCGCAGCCCCCATTGTATTCAAACTTTCCCTGGTTGAGCTGCATGCCAATGTCAGGTGACTGGAAATTGAGTGCAACCATCTGACATCCAGCATTCCAGAAGATCTGCGGCATGTAGTTGCTTGAGTCATACCTTCTTCCTTGAGGGTAGATCCTACTCATTTGACGTTTATTGTAACTGAAGGTTCACGCCATTAAGGAACCACAATCTCAAAATATAAGACATTTTCAGACATCATATCGATGCTTCCAAAACCACAAGTCATATCTTACTGAAATCTTGTAAGGCTGTGCACAACAGTGTAATGAGGTACCCGAGTACACTCCCAGGCTCACAAGCGAATACTGGAATATTCGGACGCCATGTTTTTTTATAATTTTTTGGATTTTTTTTGTTGATTTTTTTTTAAATTTTTTGGATTTTTTAATTTTTTTTTGATTTTTTGATTTTTTTGATTTTTTTTTTGCGGCCGAATATTCGGGTACGAGAAATCGTACCCGAGTAGTTGTCAACCGTGCGGGTACTCGAGCATTCGACTACCCGTCGCAGCCTTAAAATCTTGTTTTGCATCCTTGTCTTAAAGCGGGACTGCGCTACTTGTAGCCCTTTATATCGCAAACAATGCCTAAGCGGTACCCTGATTTGATGAGATAACCACCTGCCAGTGACCATGCAGAGAGGTCTAATCCCTCCTGTTCAGTCTAGTGCAGATAGGCTTTAAGAAGCATAATTTACAACTTCATTCATTTTGTCTGTGCATTTGTACTACAAATACTAGCTACCAACCTCAATAAAGTTAACATGAATATCCTGTGGAATATATCTGTGATAATATTTTCTAAGCATTGGCAAACCAGTCTTATTCAATTGTGATTTTATAAGTATGTCTTTTAAAATTCTGTTACATCTATACAATTTTTTATTGAACTTACATACAATAACTCTGACATTTTGGCAACTTTCTCCTTACTTGACTGATCAATGGCAAAATATTTTTTACTTGTATTTATCCAACAACATACTGTTTATAATGATAGTGGTTAATTATTATGCTGAGAAAGAAATAATTGATATCTAGCACATAATTTCCCATTATGTATGACGTTACTGTTAAAGAAAACGTATAATTCAATAAAAAATACAAAATAATTTATGCAGATGTTACAAATATACATCATCATCATACATATATCTGCACTGAATATTTGGAAGGATACTTGACAAATTCAATACACTGTGTCTTGATATATCCTAAGCCCACCGACTCATTGAATGATGACATGTTGAAGTGAAGATTTCTCTCTAAAGACAGATATGAATGGAAGAGAAAATATATAGGGAACTGTCTTTTAATATTTATGTTCAAAATGGATGAAAGATAGGCATTCTCTTAAATCTATCATAGTTATTAATACAAAACATATTATGTGACCTACAAACAATAACACAGCATATATGATTGGTAATGCTTGGCTGTAATGGTAAGATCCAATCCCACTTATCCTTTTTAGATTTAGGTATGAATGATTTCATACATGTGTGGTTAAAAAGAATGGTAGTTCCAAGTGCAAAATATGAAAAGCTGTTTGGAAATTTACATCAAAACATACATAACCAACCATGTTGGCAAAAAATAGTTTTTTTCTCATGTTTTCTTACTCTTACATATTTGAAACGAAACGATCAAGGTTTTACTTGCCGATCTATAGATATGTTGTAATAAATGAACCTTCATTTCTGTTCTAAACTATATTTTTAGCCCAACATGTACAATGTACCTTCAGCTACATCGAATCCCTGGAATTTGACAGGTTGTGCATAGTTGACGAGTCTTGAGAGGCAAGCATGGATGTTGGTTGTAGCTCCGGTGTAACGATACTGGGCTACTACTGCTGCTTCATCTTCTTGTGATAATAGCTCTCCTTGCAAAACAAGCTTCAAAGAAAAGTCAGATTTCATAGATATTATACTTCTTATATTTTAATGCTTTACATTCAACAAGTTTGCATGCTAATGTGAACAGTAATTGTACAGTAATTTTAAATTTGGTCAGAAATCATCTTAATGCAAGGCACTTACAAAGTACTACTATAATGTCCTTAGGCACTCAATGAATGAATTCCTACCAGGTACCCATTTACTACACTTGGGTGGAGAGAGGCAAATGTAGTTTAATGTCTTGCCAAAGGACATTAGTGCCGCAGCAAGACCTGAACAGCAAAACATGTCATTAACAGTCCGATGAAATATCTACTAGACCAAAACAACTTGACTGATTGCTTAAAGCCTATCTGCACTAGTTTGGCCAGGTGGGATTAGATCTCCCTGCATGGTCACTGGTAGGTGGTTATCTCATCATATCAGCTCTCATTTAACATTTTAAAAAAGGGGACCATGGGGGGATCAACGGGTACCGCTTAGGCATTGTTGGCTATATAGAGGGTGCAAGTAGCTACAAGTAGTGCAGTCCCATTTTAAAATCATCTCCTTTTAAAGTTCTAACATCCATGAATGAACCTACCTTCTTTGCATTCATCTTGACACTGAGGTTATGTTTGAGTTTGATCTCATCCTCAGCCGCGATGCTGCTTCCGCTGATGCTTCCGATAGAGTCTTTAGACGGGAACTTGAACTCGGGATGAGCATCTGTATTGCCTGGTGGGGAAACAGCACCATCATGGTACCCTTCAGCGGCTAAGGCAAATTGAGGCAGAGATGGGGGAGGATATGGCGTGCGTGAGGATGTGTCAAAATGTGTGTATGTATGTGTGTGTGTGTGTGTGTGTGTGTGTGTGTGATTATGATTGCGTTGGTAACGTGAAGGTACAAGGATGGAGAGAAGAGAAGAAAAAGGATGAAGGTAAGGAGAGGAAGAGGAAAAGGAACGGGTTGTGATATGACATCCGTTTTAACAAATGCAAGATGACGTATGGATACAATGACAAGATCGGATGAAAGGGTGATACATGTGGAGAAGGTTTGGTACGTCAGAGAAGAAGGAAAGAGAGATAGAGAGAGAGAGTGAGAGAGAGTGAGTGGGATGAGAAAATGATACAGAGGAGGAAAGATGGATAGAGAATAAAAAATGATAGCACGATGATAAGAACTTAGATGAAATAGCGGAAGAGGGATTGATAATACATATCAACCGGCGAGAGGTTGAACAATAAGATGAATGATGATGGTGGAAGCATAGTTGCCATGGAAATAGAGATGGTGAAGGTAATAATAGTGGTAGGTGGAAGTAAAAGCAAGCAAAGCAAGCACCAGATCAAGGACATACACACAAACAAAAACAAGATGACCCACATCAGCAAGAATTGCATAAACGACAGGAAACAGGAAACAAAGGTGTCATTAAACAGAAAAGGTTTCCAACATAAATTTTATGTTGTATTGGGGGTGGGGATTGGAAAAAAAGATGAAAAAAATTCATGATAGTATATTAGAGACACATAAAAAACAAAAAAAAATACACACACATTCATACCAATCAGCCAGTAAAAAAAATACAATAAAATAGCATACCCACATTCATATCAATTCATACACACACAAGGATGAGTTAGAGGAGATAGAAAAGAAAAAGAAGGAAAACAGATTTTTTTTTATTTTTAGGATGGATGAGAAATGAGAGAGTGAGAGAAGAGACAAAACAAAATTAATCATCATGCATAAAACAAAAATCAAATAAATCTGGACCAACTATTGAATGGTTCATTTCACAAACAGGGTCAAACGAGTCTCACAAGTAATCTGCAAATAAAAAACAACTTGAGATGCAAAGCTTTTGCATGTACACCAATGCATAATGTGCAAGCTGCATATATTCATAACTGGTTCATTCATTTTAATTCTTCCCACCCTATGGAATAATTTTTTTCAAGGTAATTTGTTTTGAAATTATCCATGATAATGTAAACAATACAATATTGATAAATGCTCCGACAATTAATATTTCTTGCAGAAATTAAAATAATAATTTATGTCCAGATCTTTACAAGCTTAATGGATGATTAACGGGAGTCAGAAGTTTAAGAGATATAATATGTTATATACTTAAAGGGAAAGTCCACCCTGAAATTAAGTTAGTTTTATCAAATTCAGGAAAATTAGAGAAACAATGAGAAGAAAGTTTTAGCAGTATCTGATTGAAAATAGGAAAGTTACAAAGTTTAGAAGTTGTCATAAGTAAAACACAAATTGGCAATACTGTCAGGTATCTTCCGAGCTCCTCTCCAATTTGCTCTGTGCAGAAAATTTAATAAACATTCATTTTCTCTGTTATTGATGCTGGAATAGATGTGTTTCATACAAGGGTTGTATTGAAACAGATTTGTATTAATAATATTTAGGGTGAATGTATTATTGAAAACTTGTTAAGGGAAAATATGAATTTTTGAAGTTTTTTAGTACAGGGCAAACGGGAGGGGACATCGCAAGATATGTCACCGAGTGCCCAATTTGTGTTTGATAGATCGCACCTTCAAAAATTCATAACTTTCTTATTTTAATTGTTTTTGTGCTCAAAAGTTTACTGACCTGTTTCTCTATTTTGTCTGCTACTGAAACCAACTTTTAAATCAGGGTGAACTTCTTCCCCTTTAAAATCAGAAAATAAAATATAAAATGAATACAGGTAAAATGAATCTTGTTATTGTACAATGTTGCTGGCTTATATGATAACATTTAAATATTCGATAATTTATTAAAAAGAAGTAAGATTACTGACAAATTATTATGATCATAACAATTATAGATGGAAACAATTAGTTTTCTCATGATTTGTGAAGTATTAATCAGACACAAAAAAGAAAATTTCTAGTATATTTAATAACATCATCATAATGAAGTGTAATAAAGTTCAGAAAGGGGGAGTTGCTGAAGTGACCACAATCATGCAAATTTTTGCAGCCATGCATTTAGGACGGATGGGAAGATGACGTCATTAGGCATAGCTATTGAGGCCATGATATGAGCTGAACTAGTAGATTCAACATGCAGACTTACAGTTGATGGCAGTTTGGGAAGGGGAAAGTGGTCGTCTTCTTCAAGTGGGTAAAGGGTTCACAGGTTTGGTAACAGGGGGTATGATGGGAAGTGGTCAAAGGTCAAAGGTAGGGTCATGTGAGTGTGTGTTTGTGTGTAAGTATATCTAGAAGGTTTGGAGTATAAAGCAGTGTTGAAGCCGAGAGAAGTCTTGTTGCTGCCATGCCACAGAAGGCTACATTATTATCTATATAATCCCCTCAAGAAATCGAAAACAAACTTATAACTTTGGTAAATAATATGAATTTTGAGAGTCAATGAGAAAGTCATAATCTATTGATGCTTCATTAAAATGCAAGATAAAGTAGACAGTTAAAATTTGCATCACATATATCAAATATATATCAAGCTTCTTTAACAGCCACTGAACTTTTTGATTCAGAAATATGTTTAATTCAGTCCCTACAGCTTATAAAGATGTCAGTTATAGGACATCAGTCTATTGTAACTCAAGGTCATTTCTACCTCAATGTCACACTTTTCACCCCAAAAGTTCTGCAATGATTACAACTTCCTTCATAATGTCAAAATTAATTAAACAATAGGATTCAAACTTGTTTCCTGAGAAATAAAATGACTTGGTAGAGTCGGATCAATATTGTTGTCTATGAAAAAAAAGGGATAGTATTGTAGCTCCGAGTGACAAAAGCTGGAGTCTAAAAAAGGTGAATAGTAGCAGCTCACTAGAAAAACTAGTTCAAGTAGTCTCAATCGGTGTTTTCGTCAAGGTTCCTTCTGTCTCAATTTGAAGAAAATAAAATCAGTCATCATGTAAGTAAAAGTAGTCATACATGTTGAAAAATACAAACAATACTAAGATTATGCTTCTAATCCTACAAAAAACCACCTTGAAGATCATGTACTTTATAAAAAGATGATTGATGACCATGCATAAGATGAGATAGAAGTTAAGACATGAAAACTTTCAAAATTGTTGCCATAGCAAATAACTTGTCTTTCTTCTTAGCAACAGATCTTGAAGCATTTATTCTTCAATCTTACATAGTAAATGTGATCAAAATACTTAAACAAGAAAGAAGAGAGTGAAATGAATGATCTAACATGAGAACCAGAGTACCTTGTCATAGTTAGGTCAAGTAAATGTGTGATCCTTCCAGAAGAAAAGATAACAGAAATAGGCATTCAAATATTCAAGAATTTCATTCTTTATATAAAGAAGCATTGAATTGTTTGTCTTTGGCTACATGCATGCATGGCCCTGATGTCTTTCTACGCTGGGACATAAACTGCCAACCATGATAAAACATTGCGAAAGCAAGGTAGAAATATTCTTTTTTTTAAGGAATTGGCACAAAAGCACTTTATACAAGCAAGCAGCTTGCTATGAGCAGAAGCAGTAAAAGCATAAATATGGCAAGGGATGAGCAACACAGCTAAAACATGTTAATATTATAAACAGGGAATACTAATTCTAAAAAGGGATAACATTGATATATTTTGAATTAAAAGGTAGAGCTAAAAAAAAAGGCATGCAGGGGAATACAGAATATAGTGTCTCTTGCTCTCAATCTCTCATCAAACAACACAGAGAGACAAACAGTTAATCACGATCAAAATGCATGTAAAAGAAATCACATCACACCAGCTTTATTTGGATAAGTATAAGCTTAGACAAATTGGTTCATCAGCGTTATTTCAATAAGTAATATATAAGTCATATTTCAATTGGCCAGTCTATTTGAAGCCACCTAGTTTGCATGATAAACACTCTGTTAATGACCAATAACCAGTTCATAGATACATTTTCATCAAGGATGTGACCAAAAAAAGAAAGAATGGAAGAATATAAAAAACTGATAAATGCACTTTTCTTTTCAGTTCACAACACAGTACATTGCAGTGTCAAAACAAAATACCTGCACTTTCAAACTAGATCTATGAATGTCTTGCAATAAAAATAACCTGGAATTTGCATTAAGAATACAAATTTCTGTGTAATCTAATTAGTTAAGGGCTGGGAACATAATTGTAAAGATTAATTTTGTTCTTAGCATTGATATTTTTGAGCGGTTACGAAACTAATATTACTGAAGTAAATATACTTTGATGTGCATACATCATGACAGAGTCCAATACAGCTTTTTCCAAAATAATATTGGTGTGATGTTTCCTTGCTTTTACATTGAAATTTGACCCTAACAATTAAGAGTTCAAATGTATTGATCTAAATATATTCAAATGTTGGATTTAAGCGTGTAAATATTCCCTCGTCGTTAAGTATTTATCATGTGTTTAAGCATTCCCTATTGGTTCTAAGATGAAAGATAAGAATGTGGCCAACTAATTAACAGTGAGATGGTTCCTCATACAAAGTCTTTAATGTTCAGAAAGATGTCAATAAAAGAATGATGCAATAGTTGAGAAAGCTGAAGGAAGACTTGATGAAAGAGTTATAATTTCTGTGTTTGAAATTTAAAGAAGTGAGATTGAAAGAACATTTTCCCCTTATTTTAGTGTTGTAAAATGATTTATCTTACACTCATTATAGTACAGCTTTCATTTGTGATGGTCTGGACATCTGGTAAGACCAAATCCACCTTTTTTAATCATATATTTAAAAAATAGAGGATATTTATGCAGAGAAAAATCATCTTTTATTAAACACAATGGATACTTGTATGGCTTCCAATCCTAAACCCATTTTTCATATCCATTGTTATAGACCTCTCAAAGGTTATCTCATGTTGTGTTGTTTTTGTTGTTCAAGTTACTTTCCTCTGAACAGATTTTTACTTTCACAAAATTGAACCTTTTCTTTCCTCCATAAAAATGTATGTTTATTGCTGATCAATGTATAATGTTTAGTTTACCTACAAATGACAGAAGTGGAAATGTTATTACACAATATGGTTACATTTTTTGGTAACAAAGTAAGTGGTGGCAATTGTATCATTTTCTGATGAAGTTAACTCCTCCTCCAATTTTAAGAGATTAAAAAAAAAAAAAAACTCCTCCTCCAATACCAAGAAAGAAAAGAAAAGAAAATGAAAGAAACCTTCAAACATCTCAAAACAAAAAATAGACCCAGACTTTTGAAAGCATCCAACCAGACAGACAGAATCAGAGAATCCCAAGGGATATAAGATTGAAGTCAGAAGAGAATTTTGAGGGAAAATGGTGAAATATAAAGTTATGAAATGAGTTGATGTACCAGGAGGCAGCTTGACTTTCCTAAGCAGGTGGGCAGCTACAACTTGGGGTGGAGGCATGTCATCACTGTCTTCTGATTCACTCTCTATAAAAGATTCAATTATTCAACATTGAGAAATACAACTAATAACACCTCTTATTCTTCAAAAGAGTTACAAAAAATAAAAAAAAGAGAGACATAAGGTATAAATCAGAATGCTTTAAAGGCAAATATTGGAATTCAAACGACGATTTGATTTTAGGTGAATCCTACTTACATTTAATTCACTCATTAATAGTGATCTGTCAATTTATGACAGGTTCAGTGACCCAATCAGAGTTCTACTTCAAGTAATTCACTATCCAACTTATGTATAAATCTGTTTATCAGAGTATTAAACCTATCTAGAAACATGTATGGATGAACCTGCACTATGTCTTAAACTACTGTGATTTATCAGGAGTACTTTGGTTGAAAGACAGACATAAAATATAAAAAGGGTTTTAAAAAAGCAAAATGCTCAGATTTCCAATGTTATATTTAACTATAGGGGTAAATGTAAATAATCATTATTCATGTTTCATATGTAAATGGTCAAATGCACTATAAATAGTGCTCATCCTCAGGTAGATTTATTAGAGAATCAGTAAGTACTGTAAAAAAAAAAAAAAAAAAACAGGATAAATGTACCTTCTTTCATGTGTTACAAATAGAATTTACAGATTGAAGCACTTGTCCCTACATGTATTATGTACAACCAACAGGCCATTGCATACAAAGAAGAATAAAGAAACCGATGGCAGAAGATGATACAGTGAATACCACTAACACATAACATACCACGTACACCATTGACTCGATCAAATGGTCAATCAACCCTCCACTTCTACATAAAGGAAACTACACTTCCAGGGAATATTTAAATATTTAAGGATATATTTGGTGGTTTTAGTCATTTCATATTACCTAAATTATTTCAAATCTATCTATAAATATGCCATAGATATCTTTTTATAGACAAAAGACATCACATGGATGTTTTGTAACCATGTTATCCTTCTTTTTGTTCATTCATACGACTAACAAAGAAGAAAATCTACATATAAAGGGCCCACCGCTTTTTGTTTTTGGGGGGAGGGGGGAGGTTAGGGGTCAATTTTTCAATATTTCTGAGTGAGATAGCATTTCCTTTCACACTTTTTTGAGATGGTAAGAATAAGAAATTGAGAACTTTCTGGGAGTGCTTGATTCCATGCCATAATGATAGGAGAGGGTTAAATGACCGCAAGAAGCTTTCATACATGTATATATATAATAGTCCATTCAACAATCATTGAAAAAATACTTGTACCACTGTAGCAAGACATCATCATGCAACAATTACCAGTCATTAAGAATAATTTGTGTGTGTGATAGCCAAAATATCTTGTCGTACAATTCTTTAAATACTTGTATTTTATATGGCTTTATAAAGACCTTGATGTTTGATTACTTGACAAAGTAGCTAGACTAATCATGCACAGTACACCTTCTGGTTGGAATGTAATCTGCTTAGGTAGACAGATTCCTCGCACAGATTTCACAAATGACTTCCACGGCTATCACTCATCGATTCACTCACGACACATGCCTCCATCCACTGACTGAGGTGCAGACAAGTTCACAAATGAGATACATGTATCTCTGTAGCATACACACATGCTTTATCAATTATACACATTACACGACACAAAGCTGACTTATTCTTTAATCTATGTGCAGTAAAATTATTGGCAATTTCAAAGAGTTTGTCATGAAGTAAATCAAACTACATTTCCTCTTGATTTGAATTAATAAAAATGTTGATATTTCAGGATGATAAGGTGCTGCTTGTATTTGTTTTTTCATTTTCATTTACTGTCTTCTATGACTCCTTAGCTCTACTCTTAAAGCTACGTGTATACTATTGATTCAACGGAGCATTACTATTTCTTTACCACCTCTACTAATACTTTCACACCAATAAAACAACCCTATCTATCCTATGTCATAATAATAAATATATATATATATATATATATAATTATTACCATACTTAACCTAAACAGAGTTATCACATTTACATATTAGCTTCATCAAATTGTAATACATATTAAAGCACTTTCAAATACATATATTTTTTATTTTCTTCAAATGAAATAATGATTTAAAAGCTTTCCTGCTGGGATTTTATGTGTTTTGTGTTTCCAGCATTGTATATTGTGTCACTTAACTGAAATTGATATTGTTATTCAACTATAATCATTGGGATGTTAATAATCAAATCTTTATAAAAAAATATCGGTAGTATACTCTGCTTAACCTCTTAGGCACCCCAAAGTAAAAATGACTATAAAAATGAGCAATCAAGGGAACATCTCTTTAGTTTTAATCACCTTGTGTTGTATTATCTACAGAAGATGTTCAGTAGGATCATATTTCATGTACCCGGTACATCAAAAACTGTGTAGGTCCCAACACGGAACCCTGAGGAACGCCACATTTTATCTGCCATAATGAACTATGTCCATCATAATTCACTAACTGAAATCTACTAAGAAGATCATCTTTAAACCACTGAAGAGGCAGGCCCTTTATTCCATAATGTTCTAATTTACCAGCCAATACTGCATGATCAATTGTATCAAAAGCTTTCTGGAAATCTAATCTACCCCTTTATTTTTCATGAGAAAATCTATAATCAATCAACAAACACTTTACAATATTTGAATTCTTGGGTAGAATTACTATCAAGGACACAGAAATATTCCAATATACTGATTAGTCATGGATTCATATTTTATTGCTTTGCTGAAACTTGGACTATCAACCAAGAGTAAATGAAAGAATATATCTGAATTCTGGTTATATCTATGACTCTACACTAAGAGACCTAATGTTTTCACACACACCAATATTTCACCCCAGACCCCCCCCCCCCAAAAAAAAAAATACAAAAATTGGTGTGCAGCCCTGCTTTGACATATTAGTTACCCTGCTTAATCCTTGCCGTGTCACAAAGTTACAATAAATGTTTTTGACTTTAAAGAGTAATTTATTGCTGTTTAATCATTTTGCTTCTACCGTTAATTGGTCACAAAATATCGGTGATGGAAGTATTTTGCAACAGCTATATTTCTTTACGTTTCCCAGGGATCTAGCTGCTTAGTCTAAATCATTTTATATCATGTTCTTCTTGGGCAGAATTTGCAGCCTAGCACAAAGAAAGTGGATTAGAGTTTAAATTAGCAGTGGTAGAAAATAATGAATGTCCAATTAGGGAGCTTAAAATTAAACCAGGGTAGTTGATGACAAATGTTTGATAAATGACTGAAATTATGGAAAGCATCAATTACTGCATGTATGAAAATGGGCAATTATATTCTATGAAATATACTTTAAATGATTTATTTATAGTACGATTCCTCAATAATTCCACAAACTTTGAAAGTGTTGCGATTAAAAGTCTACAAAGGCAGTTTATTCTGAATCATTTTTATTTTATGTGAAGAATATACATCCTACTTTTATACATTTTAAAGAAAAAAGGACTCATGTTTATCAAAAATAACAGAGAAAGAAATTAAAAACCTGTTTCATTTCAATTGAAAATGAAAATGATTGAATTATAAAAAAAACAAAAAACATTTACACTCTGGCACACAACTTTGTATAAAAAACTTTCAAAATCAATTACCAAATGAAGAAAAAAGGAAAAAAAAACAAAGATAATGCAAAAATAATGTTCATTTTCAAATTTAAAACCATTAAAACGGTGTTAAGACAAGCTACTGTTGTGCATACAAGGATGTTTATATATCAATTCAATTTAGGATAAAGAAATATTAATCACAAGAAATACAAACTAGATATAAAGAAGACAAAAGAGCCAGTGCAGGATTTACAACATACCACTACAAGTGCCAAAATTATTCATCTAGTTTTCTATACTATAATTTAAGATTTTTTGTTTTTTTCTATAGAGTGAGCTAATACGTTCTTTTTCAACAGAATGATAACATAAGATTCAAGGAAATGATTTATGCGTGCTTGTGCTGGTGAAACATGAATTAAAACTCTCAATAATCTAGACTAAGTCATGCAGGCAGAGCATGTGGCTGGTGGATGGGAAATGCTCAGAAATAAACAAAAGCAAACCAAAAAAAATGTGATAATATAGGCTAGGAAAACATAACAAACCAAAAACAAAGCTTAAATCAATTTGAAAATATATGCATTTTGTGGCCAGCTGGTTGATTATGCCCAAACTAGGATTTATCAAAAATGGTGGATATAGAATTCTATCACTCATATTCCTGTCAACAATGTGTATATTCAAGCACCTCTTTCTTTCAACTTGAAATATACAGTTTAGCATTTCAGTGCATAGTTTTCAATGGAGAGCAAATACAAGGCCACCATGGTTCTTATGAGATTATTGCATTTCACTCTCTTGGAAAGGAGTTGTCAGTTCGGAGGATTAAAACTGTTAAGATGGGCCACAACAAACTTACATGAAGAAGAAAGAACCAACGAGAGATAGTCAAAGAGATACAGGCAAAGGATAGGAAAGAAATTATTTAAACGGTAGAGACGGTTGACTTGGTAACACACTCACCTGATTCGCATTCTTCTACTTCATCTTCTACGTTGACTTCAAGCAGTTCTGGTCGTAACCGCATCAACTCAAGTTGTCCTGTACAACACATAAAGATATGGATATCCTAATCATACCACCTTCTGCTTTATATACATTGAACATGCCGTGAACATTAATTCTGGAAAAAATCTTTAAAGACGCTATTCAATGAAAATACAATTTTATATCAATGGGAAGTTGAATGAACACAGAATACAAATACAAAGGAATTACAAAATATATTGGCCCTTTTAGTTTTGCACAGAAGTAAATTAAAACCTCATTTTCCGCACCCAACCAAATTACGGGTCAAAAGTGGTCAAATTTACTATATTTCAATATTCTAAACAATAAATATTTGAATGAAATTTCTGAAATGCATTTTTCAAGCAAATTAAGAAACATTAATTTGCATTATATTATTGTATTTTATTTGATGAAGGAAGTGTACTTACTCTGTTCTACATCTGGTTTCAGCCTCTTATTTTTTATAAGAATCTTCCTCTTTAATTTATTAGGTGATGGAAGAGGAACACTGGCCTCCAACTGTAAACAAAACAAAAATGATAATATTTAACACCGTCACATGCTGCATAGATTTCATCCATACAAAATGAACCATACATGAATCGGACACATATTGAATCGTTTTTATTCATTTACATTTCATCATTAATAACACTGACATTTAAACATACTTAACTTTTACATGCAAACGTTTTTTCATCGTGAATCCAGTTTCTTGTACATGCCTTTTATGTTTCAACAAAGCACAATTACCAAAGAGCAATCCTAAATAAAAGCGTGGTGACCCAAACAGACACACAATCAAACACACAAACAGGCAAACTGACGTACACACAAACAGACAAAGGGAGGTACACACAAACAGACAAAGGGAGGTACACACAAACAGACAAATTGACGTACATACAACGGGCAAACTGACGTACACACCAAACTTTACAACACAATGTTTTATGAATGGGACTGGACATACCAGATGATCATCCAACTTTTCGGTGAGCAGGAATTCTCCAAGAACCTCTTCACAGTATCTTGCTAGTTTGAGCTGTTGAGGTTTACTACAATGGTTCTCAAAGGACAGTATCACTGGGAAGTCTGACGTCACAAATGCAGTGTCTCTGATAGCTTGAATCACTTCCTAAACAACAACAAAAATGCAAACATTTCATTACTTTAACATAATGCATAAAAACTTGAGTTGAAATTAAAGATAAGAGAAACATATATCATCTATAGTTTGTTCATCTATCTGGTCAAATTCTATTCTAATCAACACAAATTCTTACATTATCGTACCATAATGTACAACTATTGCTCAACTCACCAAAGACTTAAATATTGATCAGTCTTGGTTTGTGAGATCGCCTTTAATATATAAACCTGTTAACCGTTTCTTTAAATACAAAATAAATACTGTTAAAAGATACTTATTCCTTTTTCAAAAACTCAAGGATACTACACAATTCATAAATGTGAAAAAGATAGTGATTTGCAAATATGTCAAAATATCTCAGTAGAACCATTTATTGGACAAAGCATTACATCCCAAAGTATGAACATATGCTCCACAGCAATATCTGACAATTGTTAAGACAAATGGTGAATGCTTTTAATCAATATTTAGTCTTGTGAGTTTATAAACTCTACTGCAACAAATAAATTTGAAAGGTATTACATATCTGATTATTTGTAAAAATAGTAGTCTCTCTCACATATATATGTATTTGACCAAAAAATCTTCACTATCTTTTCTAAATGTAATTCCTCTCTCAATATGTATGCGTCTGTATATTCATTTTCCTTTTTCCTGCTACTTAATATCTCCCCTCACACTCTATATGTCAATATCTACAGCCCCCCTCCCCCCTCCATCGCTTCTTCCCTCCCTCTTTATCTCTCTTTACATGTCATTCCCTCTCCTCTAATGCCAATACCTGGGTCTAGATGTACAAATAAATAAAGCCTTGCAGCAGTGTATAAGTTGAAGCCTATGAGGAATGTTTATTTAGAGGGAGCCTAGCTGTACCTCCACCCGCCCACTCGTTCCTACCCATCATCTAACTCAGATATAGAACTAGCCAGGGACATGGGAGGTCTCTTTTTCAATACACAGCTAAATGACTGGATAATGAATCCCTATGTGACCTATGATCTATCATGCAGTCTAGTAGTCCACAAATAGAAACATGTGACATTTTAAATGATTGCTAGGTGATCAGCATCGCCTTATCTCATTACATGTAATTTTCTGAAGTAAAAAAAACATGGATTAAATAATAATCTTTCACTCTATACTCGTTTTATTTGAAGCGTAAGCTGGAGATGGGATAATGAATTATTGTGAGTCCCTAAATGGCTTGGGGAGAAGATTAACAGGTGTAATACTTCTGAGGCTAAGTAAATACCCTCTGTGGCATGGAGAAGGTTAACATGTATGACACAATACAGCCAGAGCACAAGGAGAGCCTCATTAAAACAAAGTAGGCAATATCTTCTCTCCAGCTGGAAAATTAATTGAATCCTCTCCCTCATCTCACGGTAGGAGTTCATCATCTTCAAAATACTGGTCCCTTTCACACTTGAGGGATAATCTTTAGATCAATAACTGCATCTCGTGCAATGAGTTCATTATCCTCTTTCACAATTTAAAACTAATCTATCTTTAACATTTGAAGTACATGCTACATCAATGCAGGCAACTTCAGTGCAATGACATTTAAAACAAAAATTGTATAGCCTTATTTGCATTCTAGAAGACTTTAGTGATCATTTTTTTTTTTAAATCCATTTTTGGATCCAAAAGAAACATGAAAACCCAAGATTGATTTTGTCTACGTGTGTGTGTCATTTTTGTACCAGTGTGTGATAAGCATGATAAATGAAAAGGGTAATGTTCATTTATTACTGAAGGCAAAAGACTGTTGATATAGATCAATTTGAGAGGCTTCATAGATGTATGTTAAATACCCAAGCCATTACAACAATCTAAAATACAATAATGAATTAGATTACGCCATTGCAAACTGTTGACAATGTTTTACGGCCCTAATTTATAGCCAATTGATTTGTAACCTTGATAAGAATGTGATCTCTTCTAATGGCACTACCAGATGCAATATTTATATGTCTGAGGCTCATTTTGGAATGTGTTTGTACATGTATTCACCTGTGCTAATTAGAGTTAGAATGCAACATGGATACAAATCCGTAGCTCCCTCAGATCTTCATCAGAAATAATACGGTGTTCACAGTATCTCAAAATTAGAGGATGAAATTGTACCAGATCAAACCTTATACTACTGTGCAAGTAGAAATTATTTTGTATCAAGTCTCCTCATTAGCCAAATTACAAATTCTGTATATTCGGTCACCTACCTCTATCTCTGCTTGCCTCTTTATCGGTATCAATCTACAATCTCAAAAAATCTTTTTCCTTTAATTTAATTTCATTTTATAGTCATTACAACTTCTGCCTTGTGTCATTTTTACCGATTGTGTAAGTGTAAGAATGCTTGATTTAGCCATTTAAACCTCACTCTTTAATTATGAAAATTACCTCCTACATAGAGATATGTGAATACAGCACACTCCACTGATCCACAGTTATTACTTTTCACACCTGGCTTTCTCTATCACTCTTGGATTTTGACAGGTATGTGAAATAAACCTCATAAAAAAGACAAGGCTCTTACACGAATGCATTGTGTGGCTATGCTAACCATACAGTCAGAATGTTTGCTAGATTACCGAAAGGACTTCAAATCTATAAACTGTATGATTCCCATGTCCTTCTAACCGTTACCTCCCAGTCTCTTACATAGATGTTTGCTTGAGTACCAAAAGGACTTTAAATCTATAGACTGTATGATTCCCATGCCCTTCTTACTCAGAGTCAACAATGAAGTGAATTTAATCACCCTGTAGGCAACGACAACATACTAGCGTGGGAGGATTGCATTAAAAACTCATTAGTAAAACTAACATTATTCTAGACCATACTCAGACATGAATCCCTGATAGAGACATGAGCCATTAGACCAGTTCATTGACTTATGTAACATGCTTTTAATTTAATTTAGTGACTCCATTAGTGTTTTCATGTAGATTTTCAAGCAATGTTGTCTGAAATTTTTTTTTTGCTTGCATGTAGCTCATTTCTACACTTCAGTTAATTTACTCTCCTGTCATTTCATCTACCGGTAAAATCATTCGAATCTACTAGACACAATATTTAATTCAGAGTAAAAAGTAAATAAAAGAATGACATTCTAGGTAATTGGGTATTGTCTATTTAATAGACCCAGACTTTATTGTAGTATAGGCCAACATAGGAATATGAACGGTCTCCAATAACTTTAAGACCAAATCAAGTTCAGTCTGCGTAGGAAGTCACAGACAATTCAACAACTTGTACATTCTTTTGCACAAACATACACAACAAATTTATAGTATGGACTCTATGAAGAAACTGAATGATATTAGAATTACCATTAAACACTTTTGTACATAGTGCAAAAAAGGCGTTACATATCACAGAGTCCCAATTGTTTTTATCCAATTAGCCTGAAAAGAGATCTCAAGACATTGGAGCCTATTAAGATGTGTATCATATGGAGCCTGAGAAAGTCTGAGAATGCAAGAGAAAGACTGAAAAAGACATGTAACAGAGCCTATACAATGACAAATGGCACCTCTGATATCAGTATCTAAAATAAAATAAAAAATTGTATGAATGAATTTACTTTAGGTAGCTTAGCTAATGTAGTGCCATAAAAAGACAATACATTTCGCTACGCTACCCAGTGGCAAATTAGCCCTGTGCTACAAGTTCTCCAATAAAGTCTACTACTACAACTTCTACATATACCCCATTCACAGTGGTTTTGAAATTTGTAGCGGCGTTGTAGCGGAGCGGCGACACCGCCATAACACCGCTACAAATGCATTCACAGTAAAAAAGTTATCCCGCTGCAGCAGCGGGATAAATATCATGTACCCATTCACGCTGCAGCGGGTGATTTTTATTACCTCCGTAACAAACACGTGTATGCATGGCTCATGACCCGCGAGTGACCCCGATATGACCGGAAATACTTCAGCGCGGGGTTTTCGATTGCTTGAAATTGCGCGCGCTAGCTGTACTTTACACACTTTACTTTACTTTTTAAAAAACTAGCATTTTTATTGCTTCCAGTCAGAATATTTTAATTTTTTGAAGTGTGAAATATTTTTATTTGGATAATTATAATATCTACATAATAATAAAATCAATTTGAATCCACTGGTTACTTTATTTCTATTTCACTTTATGTTCCCCATTGCTGGAGAAAAGAGGTCAGTGATAGGTAAGTAAACAAATCACACGTGTTTGTCTCGGTGTTATAGCGGAGAGCCTTCACACTGAGTAAACACCGCGACAGCAGCGGGACTGTCCCGCTGCTGTAGCTAGGCGAACCTAGCGATAGTTTGTCGCGGCGTTATCGCGAGGCGGTGTTATCCCGCGATAGTTTATAACGGGTCCGAGCCTTCACACTGAAGACAACACCGCGACAGCAGCGGGACAGTCCCGCTGCTGTCGCGGTGTTTGAGGCCACTGTGAATGGGGTATTAGAGGAACCTAAAAACAGACAGAAAACAGAATAGAAGATGTTAGGACATACATACCTTGAATTGTATATCAGTACACATTGCAAGTCCATGGGTTATGATTGGTTCTTGGTCTTCACTTCTTCCGTCCCAACAGTCTAACTCAACACATCTAAATAAAGACATTCATTCAACGATTACTTATTGTTTTCTGATTTTGTGTAGTACTATCTGATTTAGGAATTGAAAAGATGATTCAAGGTACAGAACAAACATAAGAGAGAAAATTTGCAAAACAAGCATCAAACTTTTTTCACTGATAAATCTAATAACTTGTTAGGGAGAACGGTGGATTTAATTGAAAGAATAGAATTTAAATAAGAGATAAGTAGACAAAATAATTTTCTTCTCTGAATTAATAAATTTGTATAACTTTTCCTTTAAATGCTTCTTAGTTGGCGCAGTTTAATATCCAACATCTTCTCCATGTAGGTTGATACATTGCTTTCTATAAACATAGATTGTCACATCATCTATACTCCCTGATTTTATTTATTTTGCTATTTTTTGTCAACATCATATTTACAGGAATGTGTGTACACTATTGCTGCTTGCATTACTTCTATCAACTCGGTTATAAATATGATGAGCTGGAAATAATTCTTAAGGTGATTATGTGTATATCATATAGGAAATTTAATAAGAAAACATCATAGTGGCTTTAACTTGCACCCAAAATGATGAAAATTGTTTTTTCAGACAATTTACAGTGATACCAGAATAAAAACATCAGTCAATAAATCACATCATTTTCCTTTTTTAAGAGAGAGTGATAGAATAAAAGATAAGAGTGATGGAACAAAAGATAGCATAAATGTGATGTGAGGGACACATTTCTCACGTGACTGCCCCATACATCCAGCACAGTAAATTGAATTGAAGAGCACTGAATTCTTCACAAATTAGATATAGTTGTGTACCCACCTGCATCCCGCCAGTAGAACCTGTCTGTACATCTCAACAGATGATTTGCCTCCAAACTGTCTCCCGGTTAAGTATGTATTATGAGACGAATTAATGAGGTAATGTGAAAGGGGCTGTTCCATGTCTTGGTATAACTCCAATCGGTCCAGGAACACGGGTGCGTTCTCATCAGACATCAGGTATCGACAAAGTCCATCAGACGATAGAAGTTCTATGTTAAATACAGCATGAAAATGCATTTCAAGGTAGATTCTTAAGTTTTTAAATAAAATTTTGATATACATTAGTATGCCTTGATATTAAGCTGACAAGCTCAGTTATATATATAAATAAATCATATTAATTCACCAACTTACAGTTGTATAAACACTCTTTTGCACAATGTGAAAGAACATGGCAAACCCCCCCCCCCCCCAACATTCTGACACCTGGGTGGAGAGGAGCAATGAACAATGTACATAAAATACCTTGCTGAAGGACATAAGTGCTGTGCCGCAGGGCTTGAACCAGCGACCTTTAGATTTACAGTCAAGTGATTAAACCTCTAGACATCCTTATGCTATCATAATACTTTTTAAATGCCATGGGTGGGTGTCCAGGGTAAGAGTGGGGATTCATTATCAACTTTAAAAAAATCACAATAGGCCTGTCCACATCAGACCGATGTTGCAAATAATCCGCTATTTTAACTAGCCCGATCTCAAATAAGCCAGCTAATTTGCATCCTCATCAACTGGCAGTTGCAATAAGCGGGCTACTTTAGTCGAGAAAATATCCTGAGAAATGTTGGTCTCGTTTCCAAAATAGCCTGCTATAGCCGAGCTAGTTTGTGAGCATATCGGTCTGGTGAGGACAGAATTTCAAGCTTCGGGACAATAGCGGGTTATTTTGCAGCTTCAGTCGGATGAAAACAAGCCTACTGTGGTACCCATTATAACAATGGCCTTTGATTTATGCTTTCATAAACAAAGCTCTTTAAAATAAAACAATCATCATTCTGCTAAGTCTACTGGCTTGAATACACATTTTAATTGTTTGAAAGAAATTGTGACTGCCTACCTTTCTTAATCATCTCTGGATATTTCTCATAGGTGTCAATGATTTGTAGAACCCTCTCTCTGTCATACATTGGAAAGAGAATCTCATTGAGTCTAGGATCCCTCTGCTTGTCGTTCAAGAATTCAATCAGCTTCTCCACTGACAGTCCCTCTATGTCATTTCGTCCTCTGTACATTACAAAGGTAAAAGAGTATGCAAAATTGAAGGATAATTTTTCTTTTACTTCTACCCATTCTTGCATTTGTAATGTTTGTTTTCTTAATTTAGCCTATAGATTATTATTTAATGCTGTGACAAAAAATTAGTACTTCATTATCAAACCAAGAAAATATACTCTTGTAATAATCTGCTTGAGAAAGAAAGGAAGGGAGAAAAAATACACAGCAGCTCATGAGGTCTGAACTTCTTTAATAAGAAGAGTGTTCTGTACTGACTGTACTGTACAATAAGTATCAATGATAACTCTGTTCTTGAAATGTTTGTTGGAAACAGGATATTCCGTATAAAAATGCTACAACTCATTGCTGGGTTGAAAAAAGAGGAATAAAAAGATGTGACCCTAAATGAAAGTTCTTCCAACATCATTCATCAGTAGAGACTGGACAGGAAGAGCCACGGGCAGCCCTTGTCAGCTTCCTGGCTTGAGACATAAAAAGCCCTTGATTAAAGAACCAGTAGCATGTACATCATTCATTCCAATTCCTCCTCTCCTCCATCCAGCCCTTCCTCAATAAACATGTGAAAATCCTTCCTTGTACACTATGTTTGGCAACAACAAAAAAAGTCTTCTTTTTTTCAATCACTAAAATTGAAGTAAAAGTGACCCGTGGAAAAGATAGAGAGATGACAGAGGAAAATATTGGAAGAAAAAGCCAGGACCATGGGAAAGATTTTCATTTCCAACTGACATAGCATTAGCAGTTGCAGTAGTAGAAGCAGCAGGACTATAGTCAAAAGTAACGACAGACTATATTTTTATAATTGCATCTTGTCTAGTCCTTTCCTTTTGCAAACTTTCCTGGATTTGTATAACATCTGTCATTAAGTCTGTTTGAATGATTGCATCTCAATCTAATGACCCAAGCCACACGTTACTACCATTAGGAATGAATAGGAGGAAAGATAGATGACCATGCAGTCCATTTCTATGTCCAAATGGCTGAAAGATGACGCATATTCTGGTCTTGTTCTGAAAACACCCTTTGGTCTCTTTGTTTTCTTTTATTGAACTGTTGATTGAAAAGCTTAACCTTTACATATAATTCTTTATACCAAAGTCATGCATGATTGTTAAACTGAATTATAAAAACAACTAAATCATTCATTTCTTACAGTTTTAGCTAAATTTCACCCTCTTTGTCTTTCAAGTCTCAGCCATATGATTTGGTAATGAAATGCTAATGGAAATTATGCAATCTCCCAGTGTTTGATAAAACTGTAAATTGACACTCCTGTCTTAAATCTTACTTTTATCATTAAATTAAAGATAACAATTTGTTATGCTTTTCATTAGTACTATTTATATCATTAACACTACCAAATTATGACAGAATCAATCATAACAGATTTCAGAGTATATTCAGTATATTACTGTTTGAGACATAATTTAGGAGTAATTGTCACATACACATCCGCTATTCAAATTGATTATTCAAAATCAATTTCAAGCTTGACTGAATTTAATCACAACAAATAGTTTGGCTCAATCACTTAATGGACAATTAATGTAGTGTCATATAAAAAGAAACTAAAACCAATTTGCCATATTGGATTGGAAATGAATGTGGATATAATCAAAGGCATATATTTTGATGATTGATTACATACAAATTCAAATAAAAGTTCTGTCAGGCCCATGGACTAAGTTTGGTTAAATCATATTATTTATTTATTTCCAGGTTGTAATTTCTTAATGATGGAATTTCTTAATAGTCCACACGATATGGTATATATTCATTTCGTTTGCTGATAAACAAATTGCTCAATAATATTTGCATTCAATTAAGCAAAACTGTGTTGTAAATACTAAAAAGATGTTTCTTAACCTCTGCTGTAACAGTTAGTTTACATAATTTCAAATAATAAAATGAATAAAAAGGCATATATTTCATATCAATTCCAGGGAGATTTTTTTTCTTCATGTACTTTTACCCGCGTTTTGTCTGAAAGGGCTTAATGCATTTATGCCATGCCAAAATGAAACTATATTTCTTGAATGAAAACTTACATATCTTGGAAGAGTAGCTCTATGTCTGTCCTTGGACAGATCTTGTGGTACAACTCATAGAACTTTTCAAATGGGAAGTCTGCAGGATCTATTTCTTCCATCTGTAAAACAAAAAAGTGAAAATTAAGGTTTAACCTGACTTTTCATTGTCAACAGTTGTACTGTATATCTTCTTAATCATACAAAATTTGAAATCATTGAATTGTAATAAATCACAAACACAATTAAATACAGGGACTTTTTTTAAAGATTTTGTGAATAATTTGTATTATTAAAATTATCTATCACATTATGGTCATACAAACCACAAGTTTCATAAACACACCAATATAAGTCACATTATGATCATACAAACCACAAGTTTCATAAACACACCAATTAAGTATTTTCTAATATCAAAAATTAAATATTTTCTAATATCAAGTCACATTATGGTCATACAAACCACAAGTTTCATGAACACAACATTTAAGTATTTTCTAATATCGAGAATTTAATATTTTCTAATATCAAGTCACATTATGGTCATACAAACCACAAGTTTCATGAACACACCATTTAAGTATTTTCTAATATCGAGAGACATAATTGGTAATTTGCTAAGTTAGTAGAGAAAATCATGAAAGAAATGAAGACAGTGCAGAATATTTTCGATGTAATGTCTTCATGTGATATATTTACCATGGCTTGGGAAACAGATATGAAGACAGCTAGTTTTACATTTTGATACTACATTCATTTTAGATATTAATATTTAAAAAAAACAGAATAATGGATTGTAAACTTCAATTGCATCAAAATGCACTTTTGCAATCTTTAACCAACAATGATACATAAAGGTAATATGCTTTATCAGAGTCAGTGCACTACAAACATATGCCTTGCTCTTCAAGTGGAAAGTGTGCGGGGGAGTAACCGTTTCTCTCTGTCTTAGTTTAGAAACCACACAATGACAAAAAAATACATTGAGAGATAGAGTGTGAGAACATTATGTCGCTTTCACCATAAACCACAATCATTGATTCACCTTCAATCATGGATATGTCACAATCATCCTTATATAGTCACTGTACGATCTTGATGTACATGTACATCAGATATAATATATTTCAATGTGGGTGATTCTTCTGAGAAACAGGACATCATTGACTCTATTTATAGGGAGAATTAATGCCTTTCTGCTTCTAAATATACATAAAGAGCTTTGTTATTGTATACTTCAGAACTACTGATGACTCATACCCTTTTCTAACTGCACTGATTTTCATCGGATGCATCCGGACGCATACGATGAAACGGCCAGTTAGAAAGCAACAGAGGAGAAAAAGGTATTTAAATAGCCGATGAAAAGAAGAGAAATAGGCGATTAAATTCTCCTGCTCAAGAGCAGGAGAAATTCTCATTCTATCGGTGTGACACCGATGAAACGGCCAGTTAGAAAGCGTTCGGGAGAAAAAGGCGATTAAAACAGCGATTAAAATGGTCAAAGGTCGCAGTATACGCATGCTTTATCGTAACCAGCTGTGTTTGTTGACTTATGGTTGAACAAGCTGCATGCAAGATAGATGGAGCGCGGGCTTAATAATTACGCAATAATTCTTCACTTCCGGCAAGGGCTCGCCACAGCGAGTGAATTTCACCGGCAGTTAGAAATGTCACCTTGTCACCTTCAAACCCATTACACAAGAATTACTAGACAATCTGTGCATTTAAAAAAGAAGTCTATGAAACCTCCTCCATAGGCGGTGTCATGCAGAGGCCAAAAATCCGGATTTTAGTTATCCAGAATTTAGTTATCCTCTTAATTGCTGTCTGTCATCAATTATCCCATTAAAAATTCTCTAACGAAGCAAGAAAATTCTCCCTTGAAAGGACTTTTCAAGGGATTTTTTAAGGGATTTTTCTGTGTGACACCGCCTCATGTAGGTGCAAATAATCCCTAACTGATATCTACCTGATGTATAATGCAATGGAACACACGGAAATGAAATAAATAGTAGAGAACAGAAGGATCTAATTGATGGGGAAAGCATTTTCATTTAGCACATCAAACAGCAGAACCTGGTAATATGAAAAGACCATAATACCTCCACATACAGAGAGAAGATGGCTTCATAATGGGTTCGAAAACAAACATACATCAGCCTTTTCTAATGGAGTATCTGGGTCCTCTAAACAGTCAAGCTGCTAATATCTCTCCTTCAATGTCACATGGCTTTGAGCTCTCTCTCTCACACACACCTTTTGCAGACCTATTCACACTAGAATATAAAACTCCAAAGAGGTCACATGAGGCCTGTTTTCATCAGCTCGACTTTGCCAAATAGCCTGCTATTTCTGATTCGGGAAATTAGCCAGAAGTTACAAATCGCGTCTTCATCAGCTCAAAACTCGAGATCGAGATATTTTGCTCAGTGTTCGCGCATAGTGCGAGTCTTCGGGCTGGTGAAGATGGACCGGATAAATAGCGGGCTATTTTGCAAACTAGGCCAATATATCTTGTGAAGATTTCCCGAGCTAATAGCCCGCTATTTTGTGATCGGGCTAATTTCCAGAATCAGAAATAGAGGGCTATTTGGCCAAATTGAGCTGATGAAAACAGGCCTATGGAGTTCCTATGAATGTCATTTGGGTGATGCCAGGCTAGAAAGGCTTGCATACTTCAGACAAGGCAGATATGAGCACTCCGCTATTATATGCTTCTCATAATACCATCCAAACCAAACATTCCATAAAGGGTGTAGATTAATCACCTGGCAACAGCAAACAAGCCAGACATCTTGGAGTACTCTGATTGCAGCATTACTAAACACACAATTATGAAACGCTGGTAAATACAGTAGAATGAGAACTAATTTAAGTACGCCATGCCATCATCTGGGTATTAAATTTGCAGTGTGTTTAATTTTGTAGTTCTAGGAGGAATTAAAAAATGCTTATAAGCATCAGCTAATCCATTTACAAATTGGCAGTCTACATAGGATTGCTCATTTTAAATTTGACTTGTTCAAGTTTCAAGTTTCAAGTTTATTTCACATTTCACAAATAAAAGAATTTACATAATTGACAAGAATAGAACATAATATGAAATATACTAAAAGTGTCACATTATATAATTAATTCTTTGAAAAGACGTCGAAATTAATTGTAATGAATATAAGGTTATACAGAGTGAAATGTGAGGAACCTATTTAAAAGCTTAGCTTGTAGATTATAGGTTCCCATAAATAAAACTAACATTTGGTTGAAGTAGTTGTAGTTGTAATAACAGTAATAATAGGTGGGCAAGAAGCCTTGAAATGCTATCAAATGTCCATTTTTATCATTCTTATAGTTCAATAATCTCTTCAAATAAATAAACTGTGTCCATGGTTAAAGCCCCAACCCTCATGATTTCATTCTTTCTTCAAAGATCACTTCTAGATCATCCCTTTTGAACTCTCCAATCTTTCAATTTCAGGCTCCCTTCATCTATATGTACTGCATTATTTTCTGTTTCATTCATATATTGCCCAACCTTTCTCTATCCACCAAGCATCTTCCCTCTTCATTAAACCGGTTCCCTCTTCCGTGCCTTTCATGAAGGAAATTCCAATTTTCTGCTGTACTGAATCCATTTGTTCTATTTACAGCCAAGGCAATGTCTTTCATAGAAACACAAATCAATATTGCTTGGTATCCGTAGAAATACAGATATATTCATCATTTGGTGGTTATTTTTCATTTTTGTCCAAATAAGAAAAAAAAGAAAAATGTATATTTAGAAATGTCAGAGCTATATTTAATATGTTTTCATTGAGAAATACTGCATTGATTATATTTGTAGGGAACATGCCCAGTTTATCAGGTAATTCCATTTTGAAAGAAAAAGAAAAAACTTCATTTCTGACAAAAGTGTATTTTCTTCTAAATTTTGATAATTTGACATTTAACATTTCATTAGCTAATGATTAAAGGCACATATGAAGGTGTTGCTTCAAAACCAAACATCATTATCATGGTATGCAAAAATTAAGATGAATGATAAAATTCATCTAAATTTATGGATAAAGTGCACATCATTCTTGGAGAAAAAAAAAAATTCAATTTACAACTAAATGTTATTAGATCATACACTCTAAAAAAAAATTATTTGAATTTAAAATTTGAATATTGAGTTTAAAAGTGTTTTTTTTTTTTCCTTCTTTTTCAAATGCTCTCTCAAGGTGACATATGTGTAAATGTATCTCCTGTAAATCTCTTTAAAAATCATCTCTAAAAGTACCAAAATATCTTGTAATATAACTTTGACTCCATCCTTCTGATTTTAATACCAGGAGTCACTCAAAACATCTACATGGATTACAAAACTTGAACAAATTGCCTCTTCTCCCTGCAGTTTCTCTTACGACGAGAAATCTACTCATGTAAAACTACTCTCTCATCTCACACGTCTCTAATCATATTATCTAAGTAAATGACACTTAATGAGACAAAGGAGAGAGGATAATGGAGAAAATGCTACACTTGACAATTCTTTACAGGTGTGAGGGTCTGACCTCAATAGAGATCACTTAATTCAATTACACGTGCCCTGTTAGCATAATCGTGGCTTGATTTCTGTTGCCATGGATACAGAAGAGTCTAGTCTGGCCAATGTGTGTGCTAATGAGGCTCTCTCTTTCACAGGCACATTCTCGAGGAGCTCCATATTTTTGGAGAACCTTTTTAATGCAATGAATTTATTACTGATGCACGTTTACGTTATTCTGCAGTACAAAGTGATTAATGCTTAATGCTCAACATCCCCAATTTTACAACTTTTTTAAAAACTAATTTTTGATCAGAAAAATTGAATTATACAAACAACATTGTCATCCCCAGGCTTTTAAAATAACACTAGTGTACCAAGGTACCTTTCAAGAAAATAACTTGTGCCATTCTTCCCAGGCAGGTGTCTATTCTTATCGGGGAAATCTTTTCAACTATCTATAAAATAATCAGAAATCATGAAAGACAAATCTTTCAAACAGGGAAATGTCATAATACACAGCTAGTCTGGAAGTAGGTATAATCAAATAAACATGATCTTCTCCAGCTACGGAAAAGCACATGCATTTCTTAAAGCAAACTAAGATTTTCTCCCTGTGTGTCAGACAATTTACCATGTAATTATCTACAAAAATAGTGCATTCTATTCAGAGGTGGTTGTTATATAGTTGCTTATCTTCATCTATATCACTTTGAGCATTTTTTTTTACGGAGGCCCAAGTGTATAAGGGAAATGAAATTCACAAAGGACTAAGTGAAAAATGCATGTTTAGTGAAAAAGGGTTGTAATGAAAAGTATGTATGTAAACAACATTAGATTTAGTCATCACTGTTTTTCATCTAAACAAGGAGGAAGATGTGATAGACCCCCATTGTTTATCAATCTGACATTTGGATGTCTATCGCCAGCTAGGATGGTCCATTTGAAACGACATTTTCTGGAGCCACAAGCACTCTTCAACTATCCCAAATCGGCTCCTTGGGGCTCACTTCTATCTGCTCTACTGACTTGTCTAATGGGGCTCCACACAAATCCAAATATATCTCTGTCTTCTCCATGATAGTCAAAGATGGGAGACAGGGAGTAAAAGAAAACAGGTCTATAAAGCACTGATTGATGATCCTATACTGTGATCTCTAATTCTTACGTTGATTATCTTTAGTTCCTCTTTTTTGTTTGTTATCCCATCCCCTCTTCCCCCTGTTCTCTATATCTCTACCTACCTATCTATCTATGTATCTATTCATTGATCTATCTATCTATCCATCTCTCCTACCGATGATGTACCTCGTACAGCTTATATTTCCCTATCAAACATTCCTCCACTTTTGTTTTATTCTCTCTTTCTATGTTTTTCTCTTTCTCCCTCTGTCTTTCTCACCCCCTCTCTCCCTCTCTCTCTGCTCTCCTGCTCTTTAGTAAGTCTTGAACAAAGGAATTGTTCGTTTGCAAGAGTACAACGAGGTAATACACCACAGAAAGGTTATAACTTAAACGAATGAATCATTACCTTTCTAACATAATATTTTCTACCACTAATCACCTTTCATTACAATACAACTGGAACAATTGCACTACTTTCAACACGAACATGTAACAAAAAGAAAAAAAGTAATAAGTAAACACATCAATAACAAAAAAAGCATCTGTCTCCTTGGCTTGAAGAAGAAAAAAACACTAGCAAAATGTCATGGAAGTCATCAGTATGTGGATGCCTTTTGTAGAGTCAGATTGCAGACAATCCCATTAATTAGTGAAGAGGGAGTCTTATAGCAAGGTAGTCTGGAGAACAGGCAATTTATATCTACTTCAAGTAGCGATGAGTAATTCACTAGTGAAGATTGCTTCCACAAACAATTTTTGTCGAACACCTATGGAGCTGTTAAAAGATATATATGCCTAATTTATACAGGACACTGGTTGTATGCATAGACATTTCCCCCTCCTCCCCCCCCCCCCCACACACAAATAGAAAGAACAAAAATGATGTTCAAGAAAAGAGTGAAGAGAAAAAACCTTAACCCCCCCCCCCTCCACATGTCATATAACTGGGAGAAATAGTTAACACCCTTAAACAGATTTGGGGCAGTACCAGATATTGATTTATTATTTTCCCAGTTTCTCTAGATATCAAATGAAGCGAGCAGAAATCAGCACAAATCATGTACAGACCCTTCAAATTTAACTCATGCACAAAATATGATACAGGAACCCTGAAATTAGATCTATGTCCTAGTGGCAACGAGGCCTTTCATTTGATATGCATACCTTGCCTGAGGGAAGTCCTAGCTCATCTAGCGACTTGAAGACAATCTTCTCAGTCTTGCCCGATGCAAAGGTTCTTGTGAGATTCCGTACTGGAATTCTGCCATTGGGGTTGACTTGAAAGCAAATTTTCATCCAGCTGCAAGAAGAGGAGGAAGGCAAATAGAGGTCACACTTTCCATTACATCACAATATTAAATCATGGGCTAGCGCCATGAGCGCCCCTGGACGGTGTGTGCGCTCTATAAGTTTACACTATTATCTTTATTATTATTACCAAGTGAATTTCATTGGCATTCATTTTTTAAGAAGCCAGCTCACCAATTCAGAAACAAGCTATAAGAGGCAATTAAATTTTATTCTAATTTTCATTTGCAATTAATGATGAGGGTGACGATATCTACTCTCATTAATATCAAAACCTGTCTATAACTAATCACCCTCACAAAGTTTTATTAAAAAATAATGGTTATATATGCCTGCTCATTCACAATTTAGATTTACTTAGTACTACTTCAATGTAATTTTCAAAATCATAAATGATAAACACTGATAATTATTTGTCAAATTAATCCTAGAATAGTAATTTTTAAGCTATGAATTCAAACCTAATGCAAGAAAGCAACATGTAAATATTTATTAGCTGTAATCAATAATCAATCAATCAATTAAATACTCACTGTTTCTTTAAACTCTGCATTGGACACACATTGTTAGCTTTGACATTGTGAGTTATCGTCAGTAATCCGTCGAACCATACCTGCAATGAAATAAAATAGAATGAACAGGATGAGCCAAGGATCACAACTTACCTTCCCAACAAATGCATACAACCTGTAGATCAAAAATTCTTGATAAATATTACATGTAATTATTATTATTATTATCATTATTTATTAGGCCAATCATAAAAGCACAATACAAATACATTTTGACAGATCATGCAATACATGAACAAAACAACAGGAAAAAGTGTGGGCCAGGGCTCACAAAAGTGAAATTCAACACTATTACCCAGAGGCATGTGAGCCCTCACATGTTGCTCCCGAATCAACTTAGATATAAATATAACATTGACATACACACAATATTGCACATTGTTTCAATTTTTTTTTTTAAATCTTAACCCCCCCCCCCCACCCCCTTCCTCCCTCAAAATACACTGTAAATGATAAGTTGCTACACTATGCTGAATATTAGATTCACAAATTGCACTGCAGCTGGAAAAAAATAGTATTATATATACTGGAAGAGTGAGTTAATTTTTGTTACATGTACATATTCTGACATGACTGAAGAAAACAGAAGAAGATTAGTATGTAAATTAGATCATCTGATTTGGTTATTTCCTTCCAAATTATTCTGGTTATTTGAAAGTAAAAATAAGGGGTGCTTTTACAAAATACAGAACAGTTAGAAAAAATGAAATTCCTAGAATATGGCCACACACATTGTAGAGTTTATGATTATATTCTCTACCTCATGATTGCATTTGAAAGCACTGATTGTGAGTGCATGTCTAGCAATTAGAAGATTAAACAGGTATTTGACCCAGTGATGTAATGACCCATACAAGCTTACTACCGCCTTAGTGCATACAAATTAACCTACCATGAATAGTAGAATTCCATCTTATTTTTTAATGTTTCACTGCATCATAATTTATTAATGGCTTCCAAATTTTACATGCACACAAAAAATTGTGTTTATAATCTGAAAGACTATACAAGCATGGAATATCAAGTTTTTACGCAGTATTAATATGTTGTGACCTCAAGGTACAGCTGATCGACTGAGGGGTGGATATTTTAATTTACAACCAGCTACCATGATATTTGTGTGCCTAGCAGTCAGATGTGCATTTAGATCATTCAAAAAAAATTATGTCACAAAGAAGATCAGAAAGTGGCAAACATTTCTCTGCAACTTTAATTTCATATCGTTCCAACCTAGCATTAATCTAATATGACCAGTATATGAACCCGATTACACAGGTCTAAGATTTTTTTAGGTTAAGTGCTTTGGGAGTTGTGCTCAATGCCCTAAACCAACATCGATTTGATCCCAAACACGTTCTAAATTCCCAGTTCATGACATTTTCTTGCTCTTCAAATCTTGACCTACAATCAGCTAGTAAGTAGCCTTTGACATTTGGGCCAACTAAACACACCATCCCCAAAAAATTATATAAAAATCAATTCTTTTTTGTCATAGAAATTCCTGTAAACGACTGAGGCCCCTATAAAGTTGCATTTGATCATTGCCATTGTGACTGTCACAATTTGCCTGCATCGTTGATAATGAAGAAATGCGAGTATCATTTTCTTTATTAGCATGAGAGTCACCATGAGGTAAATGTCATGCTTCTTAGGTTACCTGTTCAAATTGCTGACAGAGCTAGCTAGACAGCTTGCTGCATGGTGCTATTCCCATTGAATCAATGTGGTCTGATGTTCAAGAAACACCTGCTATACTTCAGTGCTTTAGATACTCTCTTACATTATGATAGTGCTTACATCATGTCTGCTATCTATATTCTTTTAAAATATTAGATTTGTGCAAAGGTATCTCATTGAGACATAAATATGAACCAATGAACATAGTGTACATCTTTTATTGATGATATTTTTGTGTGTAAGATTGTATTTCTAGAAGAAAATTAGTAATTCCATTATAGTTGAATTTATGCTGATGTAGAATTAAGGGAATCTTTTCAAGTCCAGTTCCAATATAGGTTAGCAAGCAAAATATGAAAATGTGATTCTTTTTTTTTTAGGGGGGGGGGGGGGGGGGGAGGTGGGAGAGCTAATGTATTTGACAGTTAAAAAAATACAACACAGTGCTTCTGCTAGGTGATGTGATGAGGCTGGTGGGGGACACTTGGTATCATGAAGCCTTAGACTGTTGTTACTATTATTTGTGACAAGTTCACAACTTCAACTGCACCTCGATGTAAAATGAAGGTCCTTCCCCGCGTGGGTTTTCGGCAACAAAACAACAACAACAACAAAACAAAAAACAATTTTTTTTTTGGCCCCCAAAATAGGGGTGCGCCTTATACACAGGTGCGCCTTATACACAGAGATTTACAGTTCATAAAAAAATATAAAGTAATCCAATTCATGAATACTGTACATTGTTGGATAGATTCATAGAATCAAATAGGTTTGCAACTAGTTTCTTGCATTGAAAGAGATCGAAATAGTAATATACCCGTTACTTATCTGCCTCATCCATCCAATCAGTCATTTTAATGAAAATCAACTGCTATAAAGCTATATCCAGCCTTCGCTCTCCCTGGCTATTTATGGATGTGTTATCGATTATTGAGGCTACATGAGCTATTGTATACTCAAATCAGCCCCTGGATATCCTCTCATTTACAAGTCCTAACCACTATTGTCATGGTGCTGTCATCAATTATCAATCGTTATCCTTCCCTGTAATCAGTCTAAATATGGTCAAAAACAAACCTTTCACATGTGGAAATTTGACAGATTGTTAGTCTTGAGGATATTCATTTAGAGTAATGGCTCATCTTAGTCTATTTAATTAAAGAAACTGTGTTTCCAATTGTTTACTAGAAAACAAAGCATCAACTTCCAGATTATGAACATACTAGGTATGTCTCCATCAGCTCACGATTGCCAAATATCCCGCTATTTCTGATTTGGGAGATAAGCCCTAAGTTACAAATCGCATGTTCATCAGCTCCAAACTCGAGATCTTGCTCAGCGTTTGCGCATAGTGCGAGTCTTTGGGCTGGTGAAGATGCACCGGACAAATAGCGGGATATTTTGAAAACTAGCCCAAGATATCTTGGGATGATTATCTTGACCAAATATCCCGTTAATTGCAACTGCAGGTTGATGAAGAGGCAAATTAGCTGGATAATTTGCGATTGGGTACTTAAAATAGCGGGTTATCTCGAGCTGATGATGACAGGCCTACTGAGACTGGCTGTTTATCATCTTGGTGAATTATTTTCTCCCAAAAGGTTCATGTAAGGTGACCAAGGTAGTATTGAATTACGAACCACACAGGGTAATTTCAATCACTTGGTCCTCCCTGACTCTACTATATATAGGATTGATTTCAAAGGCTCTTGGTATTAGTTCAAGTAAAAGGTTCATAAAGTGAGAGGAGGAGAAAGAAAGAGTCAGTGACAAAAATAGAGAGAGAGAGAGAGAGAGAGAGAGAGAGAAATTGAGAGACTGAGAAAGACAGAAGAGAAAGAGAGAGAGAATTATTCATGTGAATCAAAGTTGAAAAACACTGGCAATGCAGTGGAGACTGTGGACAGACAGAGTATGGACTACACTGATAGAGATAGATTTTAATGTACCGATATATATTGTCATTCCACTAAGCAACAGTTTCTTAAAACACATATCAGAGTGTGAAGGTGTGGAGTACACGGCTCCAATGCCCTTCATGGGTGTATGCAAGTATTGACATGCAAGTGTTACATTTCTCCTCTCATTCACTCCTTGCTGGAAGTATTCATTTCACACCATTTCACATGCCTTCATTCACTCAGCGATCGAGTACTACAAGATTGGTTGATAACTTGTCCATGCACTCCCCTCATTTGCTTTCTTCCATCTTCCCTTCCTCCACTCTTATTCCTGAACTTTTCATTGCTATTTTGCTGTTCGCCTTATCTCTTATTTGCTTTAACCTATATTGCCCTATGTTTTATATCATATTTTCTTGTTTCATCCTGTGCTAACTTTGATTTCAAAATCTTTTTTTTTTTTTTTGGTCTCTCTTTGTACCCCCCCCCCCCTCTCTCTCTCTCTCTCTCTCTCTCTCTCTCTCTCTCTCTCTTTCTCTCTCTTTCCCATTTAGTCATTTCCCTAATGCTGTCATGCTCTCCTTTCCACTCTCTCCTAATATGATTACATTTGATCAAACACACATTGCAGGTGCCACCTGCCTGTGTTACCATGCATCTCTCCATCCCATTCAGAGCCAGTCTCCCCACACCCTAAAAAATAGATCAGATAATGGACGCTGCTCGCATCCCTCGTCGTGGAGAAAATCATCAAGGAGAGATGCATTCCAATCATCTATGCACTCAGCTTCATCCCAATCCACCAAATGGTTGCTATATATTTAGCTGGTTATAAAGAGATTGATACTGGCACCTTCTATCTCATGCTTCCTTTACTCTCTGCTCCACATTTTAATATCATCATTTTCTCTTCCAGTCCTCCTGTATTGGTTCACTTCATTTAATTCTCCTCAATCATCTTTTTGTCCCAACATATTCTTTCATATTCTTTTCCTGACTAATTATTTTCAGTCATCCCTTATCCTTATCCCCCTCTCTCTCAAATCTTATTGCATCTTTTAACAAATATCCCTCATTAATTCAATATTCTTGTCTAATATCAAGACTGAGATATTTCAAAATTACATTTCATACATGAATAACATATAAAGCAGTGAAAAAAATACACGGGGGCTTGGGGCGAATTAGCCCCTGAAAGTCATAAAAGAGCCCAACAAAAATTGCATAGAGTTCAATGAAAAAAAAATTAAAGAGTGTTATTTTCATGCAAGTAAGCTTGAAAAGTAGCCCCCAAAATTTTTAAAGTATTTTTTCCCTGATTTACAGAATTCTCTGCCTATTAACAGCCCGAAACTACAAAATGGCTTACTATCTTAGCACGTACAATGTATACAAGACTAATATATGAGGCAAACGTTTATGTGGATACGTACCTGTGCTATTTCAGGTGTGCTGGCAACCATGTGCATGTAGTTGATATTGACAAAGTCCAAGCCACTGCAGATGGTGATGGTGCGGTCTTCAATGTTCCCTCTACCAAACGGGTCCAAGATGGAACCAACTTTGGCCAAGTATCCTACATCCTGTAACAAGAAAAAGAAAAGAAAGAAAATTAGGTTTAGACCCAGACCCTTCACAAATGCATTTTCGAAAAAAGCAAGTTCCTCATGAAAAAAATGACATGAAATCTCTTTCTTTCTCTCTTGGAAAAACTCCTGAAAGCTGGAAAAAAAAAGTAGTGTGGTCAATGTGAATGTGTATTCCCTTCAAAGAACTGAGTAGAATTACAGCTATTCAACCAAGATGTTCCATCATAAAATTTGAAATCTTTCATTCCAATCATACAATTTCTAACCAAAATAGTAGCTCACAGTATAACATTACTACGAGCAATACATTTTTATAACAATCAAATAAAGTGGGAAACTAAATTCTAGATTATAATTTCATCAAGACTGGGCATCATTTGACAATGTAATTGTAATGTAATCTTACACCACCTCAAGCATGTTTTATCATCTATTCTCTACAGGGGGTGGGGGTCACTCATCCTTTCTTATTGTAGTGGAACCTGTCACCCTATTGTAATTCCTACTGTCATTATCAGAGAAACCAATTGGCCAATGCTTCCGACAGAGGTTGATAGATTCAGTGACATTTTCCTTAAGCCTGTTAATCATCAATAATTCACAATGCCTGGTTTGAATGTTTGTCTCTGTGGTAAGTTATGCAGGCGGGTAAGTTGGCACCTCTGGGTGAGGAGAGGGGTGCGAATCATCTCCCCTGTGACCCAGATGGGGGTAGAAAGAGCAATAAGATACACCCATCAAATTGCACCTACAGCTGAATTGTTCGTAGATAGATGAGTAAAAGTGTATTTCTCCTGGAGAATGGCTGAGAGCTTTGAGTGCAAGAAATCAGGCAGAGAGATTAGTAACGGAGTGGAGGAGGAGGAGGAGGAGGAGCAAGAAGGGATATATAAGGGAGATGTTGAGAAGGTTGAGAGGTTTTGTTATCTTGAGGATGCAATCAACAGTAGTGGTGGATGTGAGATTGCAGTGGTGAGAAGATGCAGATAGGGAGTGGATGAAGTTTATTGAGCTGGTCACGATTCTAGTTGGTAGATGCTTTAAAATGAGTATAAAGGACAAGATTCAGATCTATCAGGGATTTCATTCATTTCTGCTTATAATATCTTCCTATCTGAAACATGCTTGCATAATCGTGTATAAAATATATTAAACTTGTCAAAAGAAACTCCAGTGTTATGAATCCCTTCCTTAAATCGATATTATACTTATACCTTAATAAATAATCCCAAGATAGTATGGAATCTTTCAAATTTACAATTTTGCTAATATTATGTCAAAGTAACAGCGATTCGATATATAAATAACTTTTGTAAGGCATGAATCCCCCCAACATGATCAAATATACGCACATATCAGACCTAGGGAAGAAACACTCAACGCTCCGAAAGTCTGTCTATTGTGAATCAATATGATTCATAAAATCAATGCATAACCTGATAGTCCAACTAAAACCTTCATCCTCCTACCCTGGTATTCACTGCAGGCATGATTTACCTGCATAAGGCTCATTTTTTATTCATGATTTTGATTGAAGAAGTGCTGTTTTGCGTACATACCCCATGTCCTGGCCTACTTTCACTTGTCTACTTCAGGGAATGCATAGAATTCAAATTCAGTAAGACTTAACAATTGAGGTCACTGCAAATCCTTCTAGGGTAAGTCTTGGTATGCTTCAAATATTGAATATAACCCTTACTTTAAAAAGGTTAAGCAATACATATCTTTGTGATATATTAATATTACTGCTATAGAATATTGCTACACATTCACTCCACTACTAATACAAACTACTACCAATAATAACGATACAGGGAAGCTGGTCTGATTTTAAGGGAATAAAAAGACAGTTTGTACATGTCATATTATTGATGCTCAATAAAAGAGGTATTAAGAGGTACTCTTTGTGATGAAAAAGGTGTGGAAATTGGCATTATCTTATTTGTAATGCCCATACGCTTGATAAATCTCAAACTGCAGGTGCACATTGGAGTCATGATTGGCTAGTAGACGGAGAGTAATGAGTCTCACAGACAAGGGGAATAACAGATGCAATGGACCTTATCTAATACAGATGTGAAAGTGGTCAAAATGACTAAAAGCCCTCACAAATTACCTCTTACGAGTCACTGCATGTACCATTCACCAGATGTGTAATGATATGCATAGTGGTTTATTAAAGCACCTTTCCTTCCAAACAGATCAGATTAAGTTATTGGTCGGTTACATAGGCTTACATGAACTTATATGTATATTGAGATAGGCATTTGAGACTGTATGGAGAACATCTGTTTTATTGCCTTGAAAAATAAAAGATCAATTTTGTTCACCTATTTCATCTAAAACCTTGACATCAAATCATCAGTAAACATATCAGTTTAAAACACACACACAAATGAAAACATTTCTATTAAATTCAAGTGCTGTCCCATCTAAATCAAGGTACAAAATACTTTCCTCTAACGGTTTTGATATTCAGAATGAGTAAGGTAAACCACAGGATTTTTGAAAAATTGTGAGATTTTTTGAAATTATTGAAATGGAACTGGGTTTAGCTACCGTAACCTAATTTTCACAAGAGTGGTAAATCTCAGTGAAGAATCAATTAATAATTAGTAAATAATACAAATAAAGGTTAGGTTGACATGATTAAGGCAATAGCTTGGGGGAGATCACATGTGGCAACGATTCAACCTACATATAAGTCATGTCAGATATCAAATTTCATCAAAGAAGCTATTTGGACGCAAGATTTTGGCTGGATGCCTTTTGTGTAATGCAATTCAAATCTGCTTAAATGTCAGGTTTGCATATAATAAATAGTCCGTCTCAATCACACAGAATTTATCACACATATTCAGTTAGCTCACACATTGAACTAATATTGTGTTGAAGAATACTCTCACCATAAATCACAAAAATCTACAAAGTACAAATTTTGTCTTCACTCTAATGTAATGAGTTCTGAAGTCTTTCAATGGACTCCCATCACCGTCTTAAAGAGGGGGGGGGGGGGGATGAACAAACTTTTGCAGGTAAATTGTTTTCTATTTCCAGAGTTATACGTTAGCTCTGTTGGTATAAAGGGAAATACATCATGACATAACATGGAACAACAAACTGGTATGTAGAGAAGGGAAGTATATTGGTGCAACCAGCTGAAAACAATTGGATAGCGATTAGGTGAAATTGGGCAGAGAAATATTCCAGAAGAAGAAGGGCAAGAAGGAAGGGGTGCTTTGATAATCTTCATGTGAATTTGCCAAGATGAGCTTTTATCAATACCTTCCTTTTTTGTTTGCTGGTCACAAATGCAACAATATCTATTTTATCATTCTTGAATTATTTATATTCTGCCCATGTTTTTGTTTTTCCCAATTCAAAGCTTCCCCATTTCACAGCTGGAAATTGAATATTCAATTTAAACGTATCAGAAGCAACAATCTTGTGTCTGTTCTTTCCTGTGAACTTGTAAGATGATCCTATAATGTGGAAAATAGACTGAGAAGCCTGAATCCAGAACAACTTATTGACTCTTGGTGCATTCTGTAAATATAGATTCACAGGTACATTTCCTCTCCTTCTACCTGCAGAGGTAGAATGAATGGATTCAACTGGCTTATGCAAATAAAGATGCCTGGAATGGTAACATGTGATGAGTGGAGAGAAAAAAAGTACCCGGTTTCTTTTGCTATTTTCCCACCTACCATTTAATATTCTTTCTTTTCGTTGTCTTGCTAATCTTGTCTTTAATTCCCTTTAATTTCAAAATGTCATATTTTACTCTCTCTATTTCTCTAGCTTTTCAATGATACCCCTTTTTCTCTTGCTTTTTTCTCTTCACTTGTTTTCCTTTTTCCTCCTCTCATACTAGTCTTCATATTTGTATTACCAAATGTCAGTCTGATCTAAAATGGTACAACACAATGGTATCATGATAAGCAAATGCAGCGATGAATGAAAAATCCCACAATGTGCTCATATATTTTTCTCCAACTCTCCTCTGATATAAGCGGTAGAATATGTATCTACAAGTCAATAGTATATATGATACAAGCCTGTTATTGCAATATTAAGTACTTAAAATCTGCATAGTCATGAAATGTAACATATCACATGCATGCACATTATATTTTGTACTTGTACATTTAGAACCTACTGTAAATTTCTCAGTACACACCAATAAATATTGCATAAGTTCTTTCATCCCTATCCGAATCTTAATCACAGCTACATTATCCAGCAGGCAGCGCATCGTCGTGAACCAGTAAAGGTAAATGTAGCGTAACATTGAATGCATGCCTTGATCAGGAGTACAGAGTAAAGGCAGGGACCATTTAAAATGTATGTGTTGCCTTCCCAGACCACAATGTCTTTATCAGAATGTGACAAGAGCTGATGCACAACTACCAGGGCCGAGCAGTTCTTATGAAAACCCTACGATTGCCAAGCGATTCGCTGCAGAAGATGAATGACGTCAATATGTCAAACGGGCAGGGCTTCGCAGAATTCTTGATTTAATCATTGCCAGGATAGATGTTATGTATCTTGTCTTTATTGTATGATAACTCCCAGGTTCCCGGGTTGTAACAAATACCCTTCTCTTACTTGACATTAAACAACCATGTTTCTCAGAATCTTGATTCTCTATGTTAATCATTGATTTATCCATTAGCTGGATCTATTCTAATGCAAAGAACCTGCATATAATAATGTCTGCTTGTTACATTAATTTCAGTTCTCTCTAAATGCATTAGGTACATGTTCAAGAAAGATAGCTGAAAAACAATATTATACTTATCAATATGTGTGTTTAATGATACAAAACAGAACTGAATTCAATATGCCCGGTATTTTTGTTTTGAAGGGTTGGCTCACAAATTAGTACCCTTTAGTTATTTTCAATCCTGTTCCTTTTTTTGTGGAAAATGGGGAATGTGAACTGAATTGCAGAAAAACAAGAAGAAACTAAAGAAGACAAATTTATTGACTTT